GGGAGGGTCAGCATTCAAGTTCCAAACTCACCACTATGGTCGCGGCGCATATATGCAGACTCTTGAGCTGCCACTGCTCACCTTGGCCCGGCTTGCCAGCCACAGTGACGTTGACTCGCTTGTACCAGCCAAACAGCGTGTCGGCAATACCCAGCACGCCCAAGAAAGGCACGGCGAAACCAGTGGTCAGAGTGGAAGCGAATCCGCTGGTAAAGGGGCATTGCGAGATTGCGACGACGACGTCTGGATCGCGTGCGGCCACGTCGATGACGTGAGCCCCGCCGAAAGAGGTACCAAAGATGCCAATCTTGTACGCGTCGATCAGAGGCATCGTCTTTGCGTGCGCGAGCACATGATCCCAGTCTCCTTGCTGCTTCCAGTAGTCCAAAATTTGGCGGGGTCTGCAATGATCAGACGAGTCAGCTCACGGAAAGAAATGATGTGGCTCTAAAAATTGGGCTGTCCTGCGAGCCACTCTCGATAAACTCACTTTCCCGTCGACTGACCGAACCCGACATAATCGAAAGCCAAGGCGCCATACCCAGCTCGCTGAAATAGCTCAGCATACCTGTTCAGACCCATCTCCTTGATCCCGCCCAGTCCGTGACCAATGACGATCGCTGGACCCCTCTTACCAGATTTGGGCGGATACCACCAAGCGTGACATTCTCCACCTTCCGAGGGGATCAAAATGTCTTCGCGCAGTGGATCTCCACGCGCTGGGGTTGTGACTGCATTAAGAGACATCTTGGTGTGCGCAGAGTGGGTGGATGTGTTTTGACAAAGTTCAGCTAAGCTAGGGCGATGATGTGTGTAATGAAGAAGGAGATGAAGGAAACGTCTTGCAGCAGCAGCGATCGACGCTTCGTGGAGGCGCATCGAGCGAGAGGCAACATCAGCACTCATGACTTTCAAAACATCTGCTGCAAACCTCATGCAGCCTCGATCGGTACAAACATCATTTGACGCATATTCGTGATTTGTGATTTGTGAACATGCCTGCCGAAGTTACCACCAGCAGTCGAAGTGGTCTGTGCAGCTGCGCGCAACGGGCGTACCACCTCGATGCATGGGAGCTAGCCGGCTTTCATCAGCAGCAGCCAAAGAAGCAGCCGTGAGAGGCTTGCAGCGGAAGAACCATCCAGCAGCAAGCAGTCACGGCTAGTGCGGCGGGCGCACTAGCGATGTATAGCGCCAAGCTCGCACGGAACGGCAGGTCAGGCTGAGCCGAAAAGGCTACCGATTTGGTGCTTGCCCGACCCCCGGAGCATTCGCTTTTGCAGATGCATCGGGCCATCATCGAGCACTCGACTCCAAATCAGTTCGACTCCATACTCAGAGAAGTTCCTTCAACAGAATGCATTGCAATGGTCGGTGATACAAGATGAGCTGCTCTTGCGGGAGACTTGGCTTCCTCTGGTGATGGCGACGACGAGGGTACGGAAGGTAAGAGCGGGGTAGGTAGGTAAAAGGTGGTGCTGTAGTGACTTCGGACACTCCGAGTAAAGCGGTGAGCATTCAGTAAAGCGTTCCTCCGAATAGCTTAATGGCTGGAATATGCGCCATAGGCCTGCCTCGCCAATCATCTTCGGGAACCTCGTGATTACTGTTGGCGCAACAAGTGGGGCGGGATGGCTTTCCCTGAAGGACGTGCGGCTGCAAGGGGCGGTTCCGAAGAGACAGAGGTGCCGCGCGTCGCAGTTTGGTTTTGCGCGCCGTTTTTGCCACTTCGCGTCCGTGCCGACGGCGCTGAGCGAGAGAGCGTATGTTCCGAAGAGGCGTTTCCCAAATTTTGCGTCGTAGTTCCCTCATCTTTGCGTAGTGGGTAGAATCTACTCTGTCTCGGTAGCTCTCGCGCAGTAGGGGATCCTCTCGGTTTCTTGGCGAAAGTCCGGAATGAAGGATCCTGCCTGATCCTGTCCAAGTCACTCAGCGAGTCGTTGCTGTCCTTGTCGGGACGTTCGGGCAGAGAGCCAAGCAAAGGATTGAGTTCCTTCGGCACATTTGGACCGCTGTCTTCCAGCCAGCCTCTCTGAGCGCGCAGCTTCCTCTTGTCTTCAAGATGAGTCAGGGTGGGAAGGTAGTCGCGGAGCCGTTGGGCAGCTCGCGGATACATGCGCAGGGCGCGATCGACCCTGGTTGCTCCAGGGACTGCATCTGGCTCCCTCCGGTTGAAACGTTTACGACGCAGCTCGCGCATCGTGGCTATGATGGACGCCAGAGTCTCGGAGTTGGCGAACCAGAAGCGCTGTGCGGGCGGACCGGAAAAGAGGCTTTCCTGCGCCGAATCCGCTTGGAAGTCATCGACGTGGGTGTGTGCACCTCGGTCTAGGTACTCCGTGTAGGGAGGTGGGTCGGAAAGAATACCTTCCGGTGCGTCCGCTTCCTCGAGTTCACCCTTCTCACCATGTTGGTGGGGATGGAAATCCTGTCCATGGTTCTCTGGACCTTCCTCAATCTCCTCTGTTATGTGAGGTGTACGCGACCCTTTGTGCGCGTTTGTTGAAGGTGATGGAGGTGCAGCGGTGAAGCGGCTGCTTGTGAAGTCTTCGGCATCGGCGCGTGGGACGAACACCTCGACCAAAGCCGGATCGGGCTCCTCAAAGTCAGCATCTTCGATTGCAAAGGACATTTGCTCATGAATGTCTGCGCCGCTCTCAGTCAGGAGGTCACCCTCTGTGTCATCAGCAGCATAGATAGATGCTGAGGTACCTGCTTGGTGTCCGGCTTGAGTCTGCCAACGCGCTACCTCGTCGTCCGATGGATATATCGAAGCGGCCGTCAATGTTGCACCCGAAGCCTGGTCTTCGCTCCGATCGAGAACCCATGCGAGCTCGTGGACCAGTTCGGTCGGTAAGGGATCGAGCTCAGACTCAACTGGGAAGAAAGGTCGAGTCGCTGCTGCAAGATCAGCCGCACTCTCTGCGCCGAAATCGTGCTGCAACAAAGTCGGGTAGAATGGCCGAACTTGTCGACTCTTCGCTTTCTCCTCTACCGATGTAAAAGAAGCCCTTGAAATGGGTCGGGGCGATATTTCGACCTGTCTCACCGGCTCCCCAATCTCAAAGGACATGACGCGGCGCTGACGAGGGGAAATACGGTGCGTGGGCTCCATTCGCTTGATCGATTCTGCATCTGAGAACACAATCTCGCCATTGATGACGATGGGCTCATTGGCGCCGTCTGATGATTTGCTGCTGTCATGAACTTGCGCTACTGATGCTTCGCCTTCGGTGGCAGACACTTCGGCATCGGCATGACCAATGGTACTCTTGTCACCGAGCCAAGAGCTCTCGTCATCGTCCGATGTACCAGGAGCGTCGTGTCCACCTTTCAAGACGCCAGGTGGTGGTCGATCATCGGCCTCGAGCAAGAGGTCGTTGAAAATGCGTAGCGCGTCCTCGAGCCGGTCTGCTCTGAGCAAGGCTACGACTAGGGCGTTCCAATTTTGTGGATCAAACGCAAATCCGTTGTCTCTCACCTGCGCCCACAGTCGGCCGACGTCGTCGTGTCGGCCTGCCGCAGAACACGCATCGATCGCCATAGAGAGGGGCACGCAGAGCAAATTGCGCGCATGCGATCTGACGTCGGGAAGCTTGAGTGGGTGATGAGCTCCCGCTGCTTCGTCCTCAGCTTGCGCAGCAACACCGTCCTCGAGTGTGAATTTTCCGTCACGTTGCTTGATCGCGTCTCTGAAGATGGAGTCCCATACTCGTTCCACAGCGTCAAGATCGCGTGCCTTGCGATGGACATCCAACAGCGTGATCCACGTGTGAGAAGAGACTCGAATGCCCAAAGCAGCAATGCTTTGTACTGCATCTTGTGCCTCTTTCGGATTGCCGCTCCGTGTAGCTGCTAACAAAATTGGCAGGTACAACGCTTGTGAATCAGTACCTTGGCGAAGTGCAGGTGAGCTCCACGTCGACTCGTGTAGGTGTGGAGGCTGACTCGACTCGATAGCAGCGCGATCCGCTATCTCTTTTGCAATAGACAGACCCTCGCCATGACGCATCCGCGCGTATCCCGAGATGACGACACCCCAAGTGATCTTGCTGGGTTGTATGCCACGCCTCTGCATTTCCTCGAATACTTGGCGACCTTCATTGAAACGCTTGTGCCGAATGTAGGTGTGCAAGAGGATTGTAAAATGCCGGCGCGCTGCACCACCGCCCTTGTGCGCTGAGACGTATGGCTTTCGCAGAGCGTCGTCAAGCTGTTGAAAGATCTGAAAGGCTTCTTTCAGTCGTCCGCGGTCACAATACGTTTGCAGAAGATATGCCCAAGTGTGTTCGTTTGGCGGGTGGCTTTTGCGTATATCGTCGAACATTGCTCTCATTTCCTCGGGGCTACTTCCACTCAGCATTTGGCCTTTGAGTAGAATAGTGTGCGTCGCGGCCGAAGGCCGCATAGCTGGAGAAGGGTGGTCCCTCATCCATGCTGCCAAGGCTGTCATGGCTTCCCATTGGCCGCACTCTACGTAAGCATCGAGTAAAGCGTTCCACATGAAATGATCTGGCCTCAGACCGTCGGCGATTGCAGCTTGCACTGCTCGATAAGCGCTATCAGGGTCTTTGCGGTGCGCAAAACCTGTGACAAGGGATGTGTAGGTCCGGATGCTCAAGGGCATTGAGCTTGCCTTCAGCTCATCATATAGTGAAAGGGCTGATACCATGTCCCCTTGTCTTGTGTAGCTGTCCATCAGGAGGTCGACGATTTGGGGCGTCACGCGGCTGTACACTTCAAGCACGCGATCGTAGAGCGCCTCGGCCTCGGGAACATGGTCACCGTAAGTCAAGGCTTCCATGAGTCGCAGTGGTGCAGCACGAGGGAGCGAATACTTCGCGTCGTCCGGTAAGACTGAACCGAAGGGCTGGCCGTCTTCTAAGTGTAAGCCATAAGCCCGCATGACACCGGGCAAGTCACCCTTTCTTGAGGCACAAAGCGCTTCAGCCTCTTGTAGCAGACCGAAGGCATGCTCCGATTGTGGAAACCGTCGCATCAGGGTCTGATGCGTAGATCGGACCAGATCCGATGCTCCCCGTCGAGCGTAGTGCATGACGAGCGTACGCAACGTGCCCTCCTCGAGTCTTGGCGATCCGTCCTTGTCGGCGGGCGCCTTCCTCCAAAGATCGTCGCAAAGCCGTTCTGCAATGTCGTGCATCCGAGCTCGGCTGGTGAGCCTTAAGAGCCTACGACGCAGTCGTTCTAGCAGACCTAGTCGCGGTGATGTGTCGAACTGAGATGGCTTGGCTCCAATCATCGTGACGTAGACCGTGTAGGCGTGAAGTAGCTTTTCACGACTGCTGAGCGCAAAGATCAAAATAGAGACTGCTTCGCTGCCATGTGCTGCGCGCCAGGCTTCGGATTGCCCTGCCCAAAGGGTGCTTGCAGACAGCACAGGTTCGTGCAATTGGGCCAGGAGACCGTACAGAGCGCTATGAGCCCACTTGTACTTGGTACCGCGGAAAAAAATGAAGGTCTCTGGGCGGCGCCATAACCACACAAGCCCCTTGAGCGCATAGCAGTCTTGCCGACTTCGAGGCTTGTGCAACTCAAAAGCCTCGCTAGCAGGATCTGATGAGACCGACTCCTCCTCCGCATCGTCCTGATTCGACCTTGTGCTGCGCGCCGTGGCCCCTTTCGCAGGTCGTTGCCCGGAGAACAGCCAGGCATCGAGAAGACTGCCCACAGCCCGACCAAGATGACGAAGTATCTTGGAGGAAGCAGGCTGATCGCTCGAGATCGTATCATACGCTCCGGCCAACAGTAGGCTTTGATGGTCCAGGAGTAGGCGGTCGACTGCAGATTCCAAGCTCTGTTGACTCCGCTTGGTCATAGCTAACAAAGATTGTGCTTTGATGCGCAATGATTCAACCCAAACGCTCAGCTCTTCTGTTGAAGAGCGTGGAGCGCTTGGTAGGGTGACGTCCGCATGCATCACGACTGCTTCCATCCGTGATCCAGCCAGACTTCTGACGAATCTAGCTGCATGCCACTCCCGTCGTAAAGCAGCCTCAAACCTCCCGAAAACGAAGAGTCTTTCCGCCGTCTGCACGTGGTCATTGGCACTGAGTGCTTGAAGCTCATTTGCCCTAGCCCATGCGCTCCAAAGCTCAGACGAGGCCGCCTCCCATTCATCCGCAGTCCATATCTGTAATTTCTTCCGCCCCGGCGCAGATCGGTTTCTGGCGCCCCGAATCGAGTGGGACTTCAGGAATGCACGAAGTGCTCTAACTGCCTCTCGTGCCTCTGGATCGACGACATGCGGGGGAAAGCCGTAGAGCTTGATCGGATTGGCTGCGTGGTCCTCCGTACATGCCTGCAAGGATTCGAGCTGTGAATGGTGCCGCGTCGAAGTTTGTTCAATCCTGGTTTCTCGCGCTTGAGACGCTTGCCATCCTTTCGTTGATTGTCCGCGTAGTTGGGCAAAGTGTTTGTGCTTCATGACATCTTCGAATTTTTTTGACTCGGACTGCGCCTGCGATGACGCTGGCTCCAGATCGATGACCGGATCGGATGCATGCTGCTCCCCTTCTACGTTTTGGGCTGCAACCGAAGCTACTCCTTTGCGCTCGCGGCGAAATATTCCCGCTTTTGTGCCCTCCAGTGGACTGGCATCGCCGCGAAGCGGCAACGGAGCAGCTGAATGCATGCCTCGTGCAACTACTGCTCCTCTGAATGTCTCCTGAGGCCAATTTTGCCACCGCTCTTGCAGCACTGGGCATAAAAACGGCGGCAAGACGAGGGGAGCTTTGCGCGTGCAGGGCAAAGGCAGCTTGACTGCACTTGTCGTCGCCTCCGTGCTTGGCCCGCATGACAGACAGCTGTTGCGGGCGTTCCGTGAGCATGTGGATGAGGCAGTGCTTTCAACGCCATCTGTCTGATGGGGTGCTACCGCTGTATGAAGCTGTCTAGCATTCACTCTGCGCCTAGCCTGAATTGCACTTCGCGCGGGGAGCAGTGACCGGGGCAGACCACCTCGTCCCATGCTCCCGCACCCGACTTGCGCGGCGGAGCTGACTGGGAAATGCAACTGCAAGACTCGAGCTGGCTTGCACCTGGGTCGAGCAGAAAGTATCCAATCGGCACACGCCTGACAAAGTCAGCACCGCGCATCTTCTCTACTTTCAAAACGCCACTTACCGATACCGGCAGACTAAAGAATCATTGGACAAAGCGGGCGTTGTGCTTACCGTGTCAAAAGTATGAGCGCTCAAAGGGCTCGATGAGGGCGTAGTAAGCGGTGGAGTGATCGATGCCAGAGGTAAGGAAGAGTGTCGGTGCCATACGCCTCACATTCGTGATTCGTTCAGTCACTGTCGAGTTCACGTCATCCATTCAATGATTGAAACTCGTGATATTTCGGATGTGAGAAGCGGCGGCCTTCGCATCTTCGCCGAGTGGTCTGCTGACATTCTCATGCGTCTTTCGGCCGATAGACGCCTACTCCACTTGTGATTGATGCGCTAAGTCACAGTGCACGTGATGTGTTGGGCGATACAGCTCGCGCATCTATTCAGATTGAAATTCATCATTCAAGGTTATAATCATGCTAAGATTGTGTATAACTCTGTCCAATACGAATCTAAGCCAGACGTCGACCTGCATTTACATCGCTGTTCGTGATTCGTGATTCAATTGCTGAATTCGTTGATAGATCAAATGATATCTCAATTCCCTTCGTTGCTTAGATCACCTCGACCTGCACTTCCTTCTGTCTGTCCGAGGGTCCGTTCAAAGCGTCAAGGATTGCCGAGCGCACCGGCGACCATCACTGTGTACATCACTATTCCAATGCTGGCACCTCGCCCAACGCTCTTTGCTGCTAGTGCATGCAGCATCTAGGGAGTCACGAGTAGAGGGGAGGGCCCTGTTGCCAAGGACGAATTTCTCGCATACAACCTCATCCACTCTAAATCCTTGCAAAGTCTGGAGCCACTTCATGTTGCGTGCCGCAGCGTCTTCAACGAGATACTTCAGCCAGCGGATTTCTGGGCCAGGAATAAGCTACCCTAGCCTCACATTTGCCTATGATGGCGCCACGAACCTCGCCAGTCACTCGGGCTCGTCCAGGGCAGCCTGGCTCAAGCTACTTGTCGAGACACCCTCCGCCCGATCCTTTCCATCCTCCACCGGACAACGCCGTGTTTCGCGATCTGCTCATCTTCGAGGAGCGTCTCAAGCAGAACGCTGCTCGACTTGTCAAACGAAGGCGGAAATACGTCGGTGCGTCGGTCGTATGGCGGTAGACGAGACGCGCTCGAAGGGTCCTTTTAGTTAGCTAACCAGACTCCGAATGCTCCTCCACCTCCTCCTCCTCAAGTGCTCTTGACGTCCTTCATCGTAGGCGTTGCCATTCTTAGCTACCGGATCTTCGTTCTGACCCCGCCAGTGAAGCCTGTAAGTAAGGACTGCTGATCACAAAGGCATCGCTTCCTCACTGAAGCAATTGGCATGTTGCGATCGCCGCAGTACGGACTTCTACACTACTTGCAACTGGGCGCGCTGCTTCTCGGGGGAACGACGATATTCCTGTTTTTTGCGAGCGGAATGTATTCCGAGCGCATTGGTGCAGCAAATATGTGAGTCCACGATGTCGCTATCACTCGGAACCTACTGCTGATGTAAGGCATGTACATCAATCCTCAGCTTTGTACCTCAAGCCAATCGGGCTCTGCGCTACTTCAATCTCTACCTGAATGTCAGGAGCCCACCCGCTGTGCACCTCTTCTCGCTGCTCAGCGCAGGCGATGCCAACCCTGCCGGCGTTTCCTCTCCCGCTCTGGCCACACCAGGCTCCGGACTCGTCTTCAACCCTCCCTCTCCGACCAATCCGCGGGGCGAGCTTCTCTTCTTCCCTCGGGTATCGACCGCTTTCAAGGATGGCTACGTGCGGTACCGGGCAGCTTATGAGAGGCGCAGAAGCACACAAATCAACTCGCGGAACATGCAAAGCTGGACCTGGCGCCTCTTTCACTTTCGCTGGCGAGGGTCAGCTCTGAGCGATGCAGTACCCACCGAACGCACGCCGCTGAACCGGTCTGCTCCCGATGGTGGAGCCGAAGAGAGTCAAGCTACCTACTCACCGCAACAAACAGTACGTCGAGGCTCCAGAGATCAAATTCACTCTCGTTCAAATTCGAACGCGGCTCGTGATCGGAGGAGAAGTAGGTCAGGGACGAACGCTAGCGTATCTAGCGTTGCCAGCTCTTCCAGTGCGTCCTCCTTCGTCTCTGGTCCGGAGCCCCCTGCAAGTTCGTCGATGGAATCGATTAGCGTGGGGGCCTCTCTTGGCACGCCGAACGGATCAAGAAGCACCCACGGCACTCCAAAATTGGACTCTACTACCGAGGAAGATTTGGAAGAGGTCAATAGCTCGGCCGGATTTACTCCTGCTCCGAGATCGACCAGAAGCACGAGAAACACCAGACAGGATGAGTCGCCAGCCAGCCGGCCAGTCTCTATACCTATTCCACGACCGAGGACCAGCTCTTCGTCTCGTCGAGGCAGTCCGAGCAGCAGCGTTGACCAACGCTTAAGCTCGTCTTCAGCAATTAATGCACGACCTCACAATTTGCGACAAGTGTCCAGCTCTGATATTTCAGCCGCAACTGCTCCAGGTCCAGCTTCGAGGGCTGCTATGGCTGCTCTCGGATCCGGATCAGGATCCGGCGACGACTCTTCTCTGCGTGGCGAAGAACATGTGTCTAATGCCGATCAAGAGTACACGCGAGCATCTCGGGCGGAAGTCAGAGATGCGAGAAGGGGCAGAGATAGGACGCCTAGCGTCACTGCTGTCGCAAATCCGACTCTCGCTAGAACGGCTAGTCAGCGCTGACAAGCATGTGCTGTCTCGCACATTCTTCGATGTATAATCTATGACCATTCCGATTCGATTCCGCCCGCTCGAGTGATTGTCAGTACAGACTGTGCAATATCAAAGTCATCGATCAGCATTGTGCGGACCATGTCGATGATGCTGTCCGTGTCCTGCGCCGACGCCTCTTGTACAGGTTCTGATGCTTCGATAAGCGATTCAGAGTGCCTGTTCTGCAACATGCTATGTAGAAGTGAGAGTCTTGAGGTCCGATCATCCATTACGTCTTGACATAACTTCATGAGGGTCCCATGTGCTCTCTCTTCATTTTCGTCGCTGACGTGATGGCGCAGCCCGAGCAGGGTAGCTTCCCATCCCTGGAGTTCTGCATTCGTGTGCCCGGCAGAACGGTTGATGGAAGGGGCAGACGTGATCGGATAGGTGCGCACCAAGTTGTTCTGATCAGAATGTTCGTGAACAGAAGTCGAGCTCAAGGGTACGTGCAATAGTCTAAGGGCGCAGATAAGTCGATGCGAAGCGTGAGGTGGGAACGGGTCTGGGTGAATGGTGTAGTCTCTGTCTCCAGCCAAGGCATTTGACAAGCACTAGTCCTCAGCGTTGTTCGACGCCTTGCCAACCACGTGTCAACATCACTCATTGACTCACAGCCAGTAGCCTCTAGCTTGTAATAAACTCTCTTTAGCTATGCCTTCTTCTCCCTGCTCTTTGAAAAGCCTAATGATTTCATCGTCCAATCTGACCTCAGCGAACGGACAGCCGTTCCATTGTTGCACTGGGCTTGACTCCATAGAGGGACTTCGTTGGCGAGGCAGTACGAAGCCGTACTCCGCGAAAAGCATCTGCAGCACATCGACAGAGCGAAACATGAGCAACGCAGAAATTCAGGTGAGGCGCGCAAGATTCACTCTCACCTGTGCTGCATGAGCTCCATAACAGAATGTGACTTCGTCCCCTGATCGCAAAGCTCCCCGACGAGACGGAGCGTGTAGCTCCAAGCCGCTCGACGGAGTGTGCCTAACGTTGCAGGCACCAACATCCGAAGAAGAGCTCGGCTTGTGGTTTGCCAAATCGAGAATCGGCTGTCATTTCGCGGAATCAGTAGGTCAGTAGCAACGTCCGTCGTCTGCAAATGAACCCTAGCCGCTCTCACAGCGAGCGTCAGATTGTCTGCATGAGGAGTCAGACCTTGAGGTAGATGTAGACAGCGGCTGCGAGGATGAGGACTGATGGTAAGTCCGCTGCTCGGCTCTCGCTACGTCAATCACGACGGGCGCCGCACTTACGTGTTGACACACAACCAGCCCCACTTGAAGTGCTCCTTTGTCACTGTAATGGACGGCTGAGGTAGCGATGCCTTTTTTGTTGATGTCAAGGCCTCAGAGATTGCCTCAAGCGGAATCAACATTTCAGGGTGACGTCGCTGGGGATGAGCGGGAGCGTGAACCGGAACGTGAGCTTGACGATAGCTCCCATCTTCCAATCAATACTTCATTACGCACTTGTAAGCTCTCGATCACGGACCAGTCTCGATGAAAGCGACTCCTGACTCTTTGCACAAGCTCTGAAGCGTGAGACGGCAGACACTTGGCCAGAATGCTTGGCACAAATCCAGCAGAGGGCTCGCTCGAGTAAGACACGGGGTGAGTATCGTAAGAAGCTGGAGCTGTGCCCAAGAAGGCGTCCAAGAATGCTGGCGAGGCGCCATCTACCAAGGTACTCGCCGATGGAAGCGGACCTTCACCAGTCTGCTCGTGAGAGCCATTTTGAGCCGGCTGACGTTGTGCGGATTTCCAAATTGCCAGCAGTAGCGCGAGAGCTTGATGACTGCTCAGAGGAAGAGGCACGTGCGCCTCTCCCTGCTCTTTCCCACTTAAGGTGTCTGCTTGTATCTCTTTGCAGCCCGACTGAGGTGATTGTGGCGATTCTCCGATTGTTGCATTATTGTATGGATGACTTGGGCTTTGTTTGGAAGGTAGTAAAGACGTGTGCAGCCAGCGCTTAGCCGTGCGAACATTGAGTAGGGAAGTAGAGGGGACGCGCAAAAGTAGCTCGTCCGACTTGCTCGGCTCTGACCCGGCCAAGATCAAGCCTCGTCCAGCTGAGCAACGAGATGCAGGGATGGTGAGAGGGGGCTTACTTTGAGGCCCTACACCAATGCCGAATCTGCTTACCAGATGTATGCTCCGAGATCTCTACCAAGCCGGCAAAGTTGAATGACGCCAAGAGCGCTCTGGCGGTCTTCAGCCTCCCTTTCTGCTCCTGCATCACTAAGCGGAAGCCCTTGCTCCCTCGATACTAACAGCGAAGCGTCATAAAGCTGCTTTCGGTCTACACTCGAGGTGCTTCTGTGCGCGAGCTCGACTCTGTGGCTCGGAGATCCCCCTTGTACTCGCACCCCCTCACCCCTTGATGACTCCCTGAGGCTCGACTGATGAGCTAGACCTGAGAGTCCATGGCGAAATGGGGGATGAATAGGGTGGCCGGCTGAGTCTGTGTCTCTAGGAGCTTGCAGGGGAGGTCTTCTTGGCGATGGCACTGCGTTCGTTGCTTGTGACTGGGATTGTGGTGCGTGAGTCGTGACGAAAGTGCAGAGGCGCAATCCTCTCGCGCTGGCCCCAAAGTCACGAAGCGAAGTCGTAAGTGGAGAAGAGGCAGATGCTGATAAAAAGAAGGCAGGTGCGCACATGGGCGCGCCCTGTGTGCATGGCCCGACTGGGTTCCATCTCGGCACGGAGGTGCGTTGCGGCAGAAGACCGCATCTATATTCCGTCGATAGCTGCTCGTTCGCCTCTTGCACCTCGTCAGCTCCCACTATCTCGATAGTCACGAGTGAGCCCCTCCGACCGGTAGCCGCGGCACGTCCACTCTGAAGCGTCATCGCCACGCGACATTCAGATTCGTCCAAACCGACCTTGATCCTTGGACAGCAAAACAATGAGCTCTTTGGACCAGCCGGTGGGGCATCGCCTCTACAGCCTTGCTGTTGTCACTCTAGGAATGGCATTCTTCGCACGTGCGGGCCTGAACATTCTGAACGCACACGGGCGCTCTGGATCTCTGGGTTCGTTTCTCAGCGGCTCCACGTCTACTTCGCGCTCTTCGGACAGCTCTGAGCATCAAGCTGCAGTCAAGGTCAAGCAGAGCAAACCGACTTCAGATTCCGCCGTCCAGGTCTCCTACGCAGCTACACTGGACATGTGCGATGCTCGAGCGGATGCTCCAGGTCAATACTTTGTGCGAGCTGGCGCTTTGCTCAAGCTCATCGACATCGTAGCTGGCGTCTCGGCTCGTCGACATGCATCCTGCAATTGCGTGACCATCTCAGTAGACGCTGTCGTCCTCCTGGCTCCCATTCCCGTCTCTGCGCTCGTTCACCTCTCAGCTTCCGTGAATAGAGCTTGGTCCTCCTCCATGGAAGTGGGAGTCAGAGTCATCTCCGAGCATAAAGGACGCAAGGCGTACGTCAGTCACTCCTATTTGACTTTCGTCGCCTTGCCGTCGGTGCAGGGAGGCCCTAAGCCTGTGCTAGCCAACGTACAGCCTCGCACTACGCTAGAGGCACGAAGACATCTCCTGGCCGGTCGAAGGAGGCATAAGCGACTGGAGGACACCAAGAAGGGAGACGCGAGAGATGGTGTAAGGGAAGAAGTGAAGAAACGCATGAGAGAGGAGATCGCTGCGTTGCTCGGAGTTCGAGAAGAAGCGACAGGTACGGCGCTCAGCCAAGGAGGCGAACAGCACGCAGATCGCATAGAATTGGAAGTGAGTCGAGGTCGAGAGAGCCCAGACGAAGCAGCTTGCTGCGGCGTTCGTTCACCATAATGTCGCTCTTTCGCCCCTCTTCTTTCAGTTCGTCACGCGTGCCTGGGCAGCGCGAGATCCAGGTGTATCCCTGGATGGAGACATCGTCACGGTAAACTTATCAGGTGATGCACCATTGCAGCGCTCGAAGCAAGCCGTGCAGTCGCTTGCTAGAGAGCTCGGATTGAGGCGTAGCAGCGAGATCAATCTTTCTGAATCAAGGAAAGATCCCGGCTGGACGTTTGATGAACCTCAAAGTATCTCGACAGTATCCAAAGCAAACAATGCAGCGCACGAAGACGAGGCGATTCCAAGCTCCACTGCAGACGATTACTTTGACTCCTTCAGGAACGCAGGAGGTTCTCAATCTAGGCAAGGGAGTTTTGCGCTCGTCTCAAGCCAGCCACAGACCATTTTGGTGGCAGAAACTCTTAGCAGGTCTCTTCACCTCGTCTTCCCTGAACACACCAATTCTCAAAATCGGCTGTTTGGAGGTCAGACGATGGCTTGGATGGAAAGTTGCGCATTGAATTCCGCTCGAAGCTTGGGCGTGGATGCTTGGAGCACGGTCTCTGTGGATGGACTAGAGTTTCGAGAGGCCGTAAGAGTGGGCGAGTAAGTAGTTTTGGTTGCGCAGCGTAGTGTCCTAGTCGCTCTCTCTCTCTCTCTCTCTCTCTCTCTCTCTCTCTCTCTCTCTCTCTCTCTCTGTGTGTGTGTGTGTGTATCACTGACGCGTCTCCCTGTCGGCCAGAATCATGACTCTGCAGGCTGTGGTCATACGCACATTCTCGGCCAGCGCTGAGCTGTACGTCCAAGCGCAAGCCGAGTCTCAAACCGGCTCCTTGAGGTGGACAAACGACGCGCTATTCGTAGTCACATGCGGACCCTCAGCTTCCAAATTCCCTGATCCGAGTCAAGGAAGGTCCTCGATTCTGCCACGCGTTGTGCATCCGCCCGGATCAGCGCTCGAGGATTTCGCTAAGCCATCTGATGCTAGACGTGCTTGTGAGTATCGCGGACCGCTTCGACGTGTCGCCATGATGCGCAGTAACCGTTGTCCTGACATCCTCCCCACTTTTGCAGCTCGCCTGGAGCTCAGAGACATGCTTAGAAAGGTCTATAGCTGACTATCTCGTTCCTTTGTGACAAATGTACTTGTGAACGTGATTGTATTTTATTCCAACATCTGTAAATGATATCACTTCTTTTCTGCAGTGTCGACGAGAATAGTTACAGGTCCGTCATTGGTCAAGCTGACATCTGAGGGGCAATGACGTGCACAGCGCCAGACTGATGTTTATCAACTGCTCGACCTGACCGCATGCAAACGATGAGGCGAGCGAGAACGTACCCATCATCTGGCCGAAAGCGCCATCTTTGATCCGATCTGGCTTGTATGCTGATCGCAGGCGCTCAAGCAGGGCATCGTAGATCTCTCGCGCTTGCTGTCCTCCCTGATTCAAAGCAGACAAATAGACGTCAGATACTGCCCCGAGAGAAATAGAGGTCAAGCCTCATTGATCCACTCGCCATAGCCTTTGGAATCGCGTCAAGGTGTAGCGAGGGAAGGAGTAGCTTTATCAATTCATCATCATCGTTGCGAGTTAAGCCGCACGTGGCTTACCTTGTGAAAGTCGGGCTTCGTCCCTTTGGACAATCGCGCGTGCAGAGTAAATTGAGAGACTGAGAAGAGGTGGTGTCAATGTTTTCTACGGCACATGCTTCGCCAAAGTCATGATGCTTCACAAGGCGCAATCAATACTGACCACAAAGAATTTCGCCCTCGATATCTTGCACGCTAGATCTCCAAGGTCTGCCACCCCAGACTTCTTCTGCCCTTGAACCTTCGCCTCCAGACAACTTTTCATCGCTTTCGCTTCTGCTTTTTCCTGCTTCTTCCTCAGCAGAAGTGCGAGACTTTGCAGCGCTGTCGAGTGGTGCGTACTGGACAGGCACATCAATGGCGCTAGCTTTTTGACCTTCATTCCACAGCTTTGTTGACAAGAGGCGCTTTGCAAGTGGTTCAATCTCGGCCATCGTATCGTCTGTAATGAACAGAGCGTCTGCGTTCGAGTGCGCATTCCTCGAACCGAGGCTAGTGCTCGAAAAGCCTGATCACGCACCTGTGCCAATGCCAATGAGAGCTACGAGACCAGGTCCTGTGCGAGAGACGAGATTGCCATTTACTGTGCAGCGCATCATTGATGGGCAACGCACGTTCAAGATATACTCAAGATGAGTTGATCAAGTTCTTCTCAAGCATGAGTGCAAGAATTTGAGACCCGCAATCGACTCACCATGCACCGTTGCACCCTTCACACGCTGCAAAACCGCTCTCATGATGAGGTGCTCTTGATGGTCTAGGAGCAACGCAAAAGATCCGTCAGGTGCACAACGTGGCACAATCTCTCTGTTCCGACAACCTATCACCGAATCGAGTGTCTGGGACACGGCGATCCTTGTCCCGAATTCTTGCTCCTTCTCGCAACAGATTTCAGCTGCTTGTTGTTGAAGTGGAGTGAGCGTTGCAGGAATCACGAGTGAATCGTGATTAAGATCAAGATGGCCACGCCGTCCATGCTAACACGCGTTGCACACCGCGCGCAACGGCGCCACGCACGCACGCACGCGCTGCTCTGGCGCTTCATAGCCCAGAGGCGCGATCCTTGACACGACCACTCGCAACTCACCACACTTTTCTTGACCCGTCTAGTTCACAGCTCCCAGAAATCGGCTCTGGGTGCACCTCTGACATTTCGCGTTTCGAGTGCGGACCACATTCTGCTCGCGCTACTACTCTTCACGAGCGCACATCACTCAACCTCTCCCTCGCAACGGCCTGACTTATCGATTCGGCAGGAGCACTGCAGGCATGCAGGATGGATCTACAAAACGTGTCACTCGATGTGAACGTGCACGAAAGCTGCAACATGAAGCAGTGACTATTGACAATGTGAATGTGAATGGGACAAGGACGCTTGACGCGTGCATGTGCCGTGTGCCAATTCATTTGAGATGACCTCGGATCCTTCGATGGCGAAGCAAAGCATCTTTTCTGCAGGTCGAAGATGGGACACGATAAATGCGAGATCAGGTATAGCTGGTCAGGCGGTTTTTTGATGATGCAGACTTACCGGCTAAAGACGCTACCACAGCCATTTCTGCCGTCGCACCTCCACTCTACAGTAGCGAGACTCTTGGCGGGGTCGACCTCCTTGTAGAGAACCCTGCACTGTTCCTTGGTGATAACGCCCTGTCTGAGCAAGGCAGCCTCTTCTTTTCCATGAATCGTCTCGCGATGCCTAGCCAGATCATACGGTCGGTGGAATTCTGTGCCGCAGAGCTCGCCAGTGCTGTGAGAGACGTAGTCGCACTTTGTGATGCCCGCAGCGTTCGCTGCCGAGTGCATTGCGGAACTCGAAGGACCTCCGCCGCCGCTAGATGGACCCCTGCTGGGACCCTTTGGACGTCGACGCTTCTGTGATGCGATTTTGCCCTTTGTTCGTCCTGTAGGGACGCCGGCACCGCCGCCTGGGTGGGTGCCGACGTCCGGGGCATAGTCTGATCCTTCCTCGCTGGGGTCTTCCCCAGAAGTGCCGTCCTCCCAAGCGTCGTCGTCGTCATCCGCGCCAAGATCGCCAACGCTCTCTGCGGTCGATTTTCTGGTGCGCGACCGGCTTCGATCACGTGGGGCTGCTGCTGGTGGTGGTGGTGGTGGTGTTGGCGCATACTGACCGCCAGGAAATCCGTGCGGTGCAGGTATAGCCTGGGCAGAGCTGCGGATAGATGGGCTGATACTGCCATCGTCATCTTGACTCTGACTCGTGCTCGCACTGCGACTTCGCCAGCCTTGACCTTGATGGCCGGTAATGTGACCATTGCCGTTTCTGGTGGCTGCCAGCACTGAGGGTTGAATGCTCATGCCAGACTCCGAGCTGCCCGCCATTTGGCCATAACCGGTCATGCCGTGCATGCGCTGACCAGGCATCGCAGTGGCGGCTGTACCTGGCAGCCCGCGTCCTCTGAGCGACCCTGCGGCGTCGCTTTCCGATTCGCTCGAGCTGGAAGAGACGTCACCAAATCTCGGCCCGGCACCATGCGCCGAAAGCTGCGAGTTTCTGTCACTGCGCTTGCTTGGCACCCGGCGGGGGTGGTACGTGGCATCTTCGTCGATGGTGGATGATGTTCCGAAATGAGCTGCCGAGGGGCTGAACAAGCTTGGACCACTGCCGCTACTCTGGGAAGCATCGTCATTGCTCAGTGTTTCGCTAGCTGTCGACGAGCGTCGGCGGTCCTCTGGGTGCGCAAACTGCTGCAGTCCTGGTCGCGCAGTGTCGTTGCGGTCGAGGGGATTGCGCTTCGAGAATGATGACGCTTGCGGCGTATCGGGTCCTCCTTCCGAAGGAGATGAAGATGATGAGGATTCTCTGAGTCGAGCAGCATTCGCTGCGGCGATTGACTCGGCCAAGCCAGGTACACCGACATTGAAGAGGCTGTACGTCGCCCCGTGTGGAGGCTGGTAGTCAAGGAGAGTCTCCTGTGGACTGACAGTCAGTCCGCTGCGGTCACGAACCATAGGCGGGCGTGCACCGGAAGCTGGATTCTGTCGATCAATAGACGCCCTCTTCTGCTTGGAAATCTTTCTCTGAGTGCCAGGGCTCTGACTGCTTTGAGCCCTCGTCATGCCTTGCGACTGCGGGACAGAGCCAGGAGCGAACATGTGTTGCAATTGGCCGGCGAGGTTATTCCAACTCGCAGGGCCATGGGCAGGCGGTGGCATCGATTGCGACGCAGGGTCGTTGCTCCAGTCAGAGTGTTGTGTTGCCATCTTTGAGTCCAGACTGCCGCTTCGCTGACGCGCAGGAGGCTCTGGACGTGTCGGTTGTCCAATGTTGAGGGCGCGCGGATCAAACATCGCTGGTTGGGCACCGCTGTATTGCCAATGACTGTCAAGGCTGGATGGCTCGCTTGAGGCGCCTTGCAGACTTTGTTGGGCACTGCGCAATGGCCCGCGCAGAGCACGCGGATCCACTCCAGAAAGATCTTCGCGAGACTGTAGGAATTGACGTTGGCGTGCATAGTTGGCAGGCGTTGGGGTAACTCCATCCATAGGTTCTGTGGGCGTGTAAGTGATGCTTTGTCCGTACATCTCGCTGGGCTGGCCCACTCCATTCACAGCCGCCAAAGGGGCTGCAGATGAGGATGACGATGTGGCCGCCATGCTCATTGCGAGGAGAGCATGAGCTTGCCGCTGCTGCTCCGATGTCGCGCCGTGCCCCGGGTTGTTGCTGGTGCTTTGCTCGTCGACCTCGGGGAACAGGCTGGAGAAGCCCATGCTACCGCCGTGATCGCCTAGCGAGAGGCCCTGCAAGCCGCTACCAAAACCTTCGCCACTAGCATCGCCTTCCCCGCCGAAAGGAAAGCCTAATTGCCCAAAGGTCTCTGGTGAAGGCTGGACACCCAAGCCAGGGACTGCGGGGTGCGAGAAGCGATTTGCGCTTGGCCGCGCGCCATATTCACCATATCCCATGCCTGCAGGCCCGCTATTCGATCCTCCCCAGCTGCTGCTGTGCGCGTGACCTCTTGCGCGCTTCTTGTTTGGCAGACCGGAACGCGGATCAAGAGTACTGTTCGCAGGAGAAGAGCTGAAGTCATCCTCAGGCCGCGTTGCTGGGCTCGAAAAAGGCGATTCGCTTGGACCAGGATTGTTGCGGTACTGAGTGAATGAAGCATTGCTCTCCATACCTGGACGTGTGGCCAGTGACGGCGCATTGCTTGAGGTAGCCATAGGCGCATACACCCCGACTTGTGCGGGTACGCTCGTCGGCGTTGCTCCGGTGTGCGCAACAGAGCCGATAGGTCCTGTAGCCTGGCTGTGTGAGGCTGACCAGCCCATGGGCTGAGCGATCAGACTCCACTCTGCGCTAGATACTGCGGGTGCGGGAGGTGCTACAGTGAAGGGGCCAGGCTCATCGAAGAGAATGAAATCCTTGGCTGTTCGATTAGTCTGAGCAGCCGCCATGTTGAAGGATGGTGAGGTGGCGCAGAGAGCAGTGCGGACGCAGTGTAGGCGAGGTGCTGATGAAGTGTCTGCAAAAGACAATCTGAAGGAAGTCAAGCTTGATGCTGGAGAGGGCCTCTTGATGGTAGGTGCATTAAAAGCGCACAGCGCCCGTGACTAAGATAGGATATACAGGGGTCCTGACTCTAGACTGGTGCCAGACACGTGCTAAAGCAAGGCGAAGAAGCAATGTCTTTGCTTTGCTGACAGCGATGCAAGGTATTTATACAGCTGTCTAGAATGTTGGAAGGACTGCCGTAGAGCTGGGGCATGGGCGCACTTCGTCCTACTATGCCCTCCCAGCAGTTGCAACCGCTATAGCCGCACGCTTCCGATTCTCTGCTGGCGGTGCTATAGGTGACGCTGTCCCTATGCGCTGCGGTGCAGTCGTGAGTGCGCAGTGCCCGGCCGTCGCGGTACCTTGCTGTTGGCGTTCGCTTACGCCTCCGCCAAAATCCAATCAGCGCAGCGATGATGGGGATGGGGCGGCCAGCAGTCGCGCTCTCGCGGCGGTAGCTTGACTGTTGCGAGCGGTCGGCGCACTCGTCTGCTGCCTTCTGGACAATTTCGGTACAGGTCCCAACGATTGATGAGCCTTTTGAAGTCTGTTCGCCGCTCCGAAGGCGCGTGATCGCACGCGCGTATGAATGTGTATTGATATAAAGCGACCAAGGCGGTCGTCGTGTTTCAGCCCCGCCTTGGATGATCAAGTGTGATTCAGTTTCTAATTCGCGATCGAGTCGCCGTTGCTTTTGGAGGAACGGTCTGTTGAGTTGCGCTGGCGGAAATAGCCCGTATGATGAGTTGAGATTCGATGAGTCCTCGTGCGGAGCAAAGCACACGAGAGGTGTGATGACCGATAAGCTGGATCGTCTGCTCTAGCTGTGCCGATGTACGTGACCCACTCTGCTCTTGTCTGCGCAGGCGTGCAAAGTGAAAGCGGGAGGCTGGGAGCGGTTCATTTGCGGTGCCCGCTCGGTTGAGGCGCTTCGGGTCGTTCCTCTTTGCGCCATTCAAGCGGGAAACTAGGATCCGCCGCTTCGAAGACTCGACGACTCGTGAAGGTGACTAGGTTGGGCAGAGGCAGCAATGGTTGTGGGTAAGTACTCACGACTGTTGGATGTCGACCATCCTAGCTGGTCGCGGTCCTACACGAGATGTCCATCCGAGACTACACGCAGATGCTTGGTGCCCTAGTATGAATCATGAATCGTCAAATCGGAGTTACGATTTGACCTGCACTCACGACTTGTGACTCTTCTGTGCGCTCGACACATGAGATCGCAGCACGGTCAGCATGCAGGCAGGCAGGCAGCATCAGCGACTGAATCACGAACGTGAACGTGAATCTCTGCGTAGCTCGCCAGGTGGAGGGGCCCGCGCGCCTTGCTGCTGACGCGAGCGGCGCTGCAGCGTGGGAATCGGTGACGACAGGGTGCAGTGCCCGCCCCCGCAAGTCGTGCGAGTCGTGCGTGAAGGTCGATCAGCTTACGCTAGCCACGTGGTTGTCGTGGTCTGTTGCCGGTATCACGTGTTTCACTTGCCTCCTTCCATATAACATCAAACCATATTCACGATTCTGATTCAAATTGCCTTTGTGATTAGAAGAACAGCCAATCACAATCTGACCTTCTCGACGCCACGTCCCGCATCTCCTTTTTTCTTCGACCAGTTAAGCGCATGTCTTTGAATTCCGTCGTGTACGCAGACCCGATTAACCGAGCGCAGACTCTGGGACTCACCCGACGCTCGAACCATTGATTCAGATCCGTGATCCCAGCTTTGCTCCCACAAAGACACCTATGACAACGTGAGACTCTCACCTCACCTTGTCTTGGGACCGAACCGACGAACTAATTTCTGTAAGAGCAAGGGAAAGATATGAACGACTCGCAGTAAGGCAGTGTGTCCAAGCACTCCGCCAGAGCTCGAAAGTTATCGTGGTCTCGAGAGAATTCTGGCTCAGCGGGGAATCCGTCAGGCTGTGCAGTTCCAAGCTGTCGCACACCACACGGGACAGACTGGTTTCGCAAGTATCTGCGCTATCTCTGAGTTGATCTCTGGCCATGCGTCCCGAAGCAGTCAGACTTAATTCATGCAGCAGTTGCGTGAGCAAGCTGCAATGACCTCGTGGTCTTCGTCGGAGCATCACTTGGAGTCTGGCCGAGGCAACAAGAATCAGTAAATGTTGCCTCTTCCGGCACACGAAATCGTGCGGACCGCGTGAGGCATCAGAGACCAGCTTGATTCCTCACATACTCAATTTGATGGACAATCGCGGGTCGTTACCGAGTGGGTGAAGTAGCGCAAGAACATTCTAGCCATTTTGAATTTCACCTCGCTTCGTGCCATCCGTGCTGGCCTGCAGCGCTCACAGCCAAAGGAGTCGCCCCATCAATGGCAAGCGTGAATGCTCTAGCTGCTGACGATGGTCTGTGTGCCAGCTCGAAGTCGTTGAGCGGGGAGTCGTGAGTGCAGCAGCAAGGGCGCCAGAACCCCGCGGGTGCGTTTGCGCTCATCCCCCTCCGCGGCGCGCCAAGAACGCGCGGGCGCGCATGCAGAAGTGTTGCTCTCCGACGTGAGGCTGTTGTGAGTGTTGATCTCCAAGTTTGTCTCTCGAGATCGAGAATTTCATCATCACGAAGCATGCATAGCCGCTGGTCGAGCGATATACGTGTCGTGTGTCAGGCCCTCATCGAAGCGGGCCTGCAGCGGAAAGGAATTAAAATGCAGCAGCAGGATATGGGCGTCCCAAGCCAAGCATGAACTCTATATATAGGTCGGCGAGGAGGGACCGCATGCAGCAGCTGCAGGAGGCTCCTTAGTTCGCTGCGCCCAATCCCGAATTCTTGGAACGCGCACCAGCATCTGCTATTTTGCCTCCGCGAGGATCGTGGATGTGACTCGTGTCGAACAGCCTCGCTTAAACTTCATGATGAAGAAGGAGCCGATTGCTGCCAGCGTGGCCGCGCATGGTTTGATCTAGGTGACTATAGGCAGCACGATCGCACGACGTGCTTCACGCCGAATCTCACTGCAGCGATAGTTTTAGCAGCCTGTCATGCGTGCTACAGCATATGGTTCCAGCCCTACTCGACGATCATTGCCAGCATCCGCTCTTCGCATTCAGCAGACATAGAGGTATAGTGCACCAGCTGTCTCGCTTGCCTTGGCCCTTTGGCTCTCCTTCATGCGCTGCAAAGGATAGCTTCTAGGCTTCGCCGTAGCGCCGACAGTGCTTGGGCCATGACTTCATGCCGAGCAAATTTAGCGCCCGTCGATCAGAATATTCAACCCTTTGTCGCGGAGACTCGCTGCTGCCTAGCTGCCTCGGCTTCACTCATCACTGGCGCCTCGGATCTCGCACTCTGTGTGAATGGCGATTGAGAACAGTCGAGCGAGTCACGAGTCGGCCGTGGCATGGCGACTCTTGATTGGCAGGGTCGCTTCTGATTGGCCGCTGACATCTATCCTTGCGCAAGAGCCGCGAAACGACTTGTAACAGGCATCCGATCGCAATCATCACGAATCGAAACTTGTAATGGAGAGTCTTGGATTGCAAATGCACCAATTAAGTACCGAATGATGAGGACAGCGGGGAGCCCATCGCCCGACGGACTCCGCAAGCGTGCTCATGAGTTCGAAATGGCGTACTGTTCCGACTGTCTCGCATTGCCCCTTTGCAGGCGTCAACCGAGAGGTCCTCTCACACGCCATGGGACTGGGCTGAGTCTCGGCGTGGCTGGCCGCTCGGTTCGGCGGATGTGTATTGAGTGCACCTAAAAGACTTTCAAATTGCCATCTCTTGACTGGGCGCCAGAGGAACTCGATCCGTGTCCCTCACAACCAAGAATTAAGGGTCAGGGAGAGTCAAGAGTGTGATGCCAGAAAGGTGTTGCAGCGAAATTGCAGATGGCCACGCGGTCGCCCGCAGGAGTGACCTTGCGGCCGCAGACGTCGGCACAGAGGTGCAAGCGATGCATGGCAGTCACAGCCGCCGGGAGAAGGAGCAGTCGCGATACGGTCGAGTAGTCCATGCATCGCGCATGTATCTGAAAATACCTCGCCGTCTCTTTCCAAAAGTCACCGCATGTGTCTTACCGCGGTGGAAACAGCTGCAAACAAGTTCCGCAAGCAAGCGGCCGTATTGAGAAGCAGAAAGAGGTAGAATGGCATGACAGCTATAGGTCGTATAGCCGCCTTGATGGCTGCGCTGCCCTGGAGATTTGGCTGAGCGTCTGAGGAGGTTGCGTGGGCATGGTTCTTACACCGCCGTGATGCGCGTCTTGCGCGGAGGTGTTGGCGCTGAACTGCGCCGACTGTCAGCTCGATATGCGGCGCACAAATGCCCGGCGGGGCGGCGGAGCGGCTGTTGCATCGCTGCTCACCTCTTCGGTAGGATGCGCGCGCCCGACAGCGTTCACGCGAAGTCATTTGGCCATCGCTCGCGCCGATCACTTCAATTGAAAGTGCTCACCGCTAAGGACTCGCGCCGCTGAGGTGACCATATGGCCGCATTCAAGATATGCCTGACGTGGCCGGGCAAGGATGACGGCATGATCGCGTGTACAGCTGAGCTTCGATTCATGATTCGCTTAGGCGTATGTACGCGAGAGATTTGGCGCGCCCAAATTGCTCTCGCGTGGTCGATCAACGCCCACAAGCATCAAGACTTCAGCCCACCGGCATTCGCATGCATATTTTGACATTGCGCGCATCCCTGCAGAAGAGCTGTGCAGCGCTCAGCGGCATTGCTTCCGGGGGTGAACGGCGCGGCGGGTGCTTTGCTGCGTGGCGAGTTGGCGCCCACGTCGAGGCTGCATGCATGCATGCAGCAGCAGAAGGGGCTAGCTATGTCGGCGGGATGCCTTTGCCGACTGACTCAAGACTGTCACAAGGCAGCGGTGAGGCAGGATCGAGCGTGAGTGACCTGACATGCATCGAGCGGGTCAGTGTGGCGGACAAGTCTATAAAGACAATGGATGGAATGCGCACTCAGCCCTTTTCATTCCCCTCTCTATCCACCAACGACCACAGAAAAAGCAACGCGAGCAAAGCTCCCTTGTCCAACAGTCGCGGCGCCTTCCTTTGGTTGTCCCGGCTTGACCACCTTACTCCCCCCTCCGCCACTAATATCTCGTCTAATAGTCAAAGGAATCGGTCAGCGTCTGGACGCTCTCCCATCTTAGACTGATCAAGCAGAGGACAAACATAGCCAAACGACACCAAAGCCAAGACCGCCAATCTCACAGCTGGACTGTGATACTCTCCCCCTCCCCCTCTCCCAGACTTTCCTTCTCTACAATTGCTATTACGACTTTTTAGTCAACTCACGGCTCTTCAGCGCATCGTCTCGACACAGCTCACTCCAGCCTCTCTCAATAAGGCGTTCGTAGCCCATTTCCCTCAAATCTCGACTCGTCTTGCCTCACATCCAAAATGGCTGCCGTCCTCTCCGCATCTCACGTGGGCAACATGCCCGGCTCCGCTAAGGCGGCCGTCACACCCGTCAAAAAGGCGGCACCCTCCACCAAGGCTGCTGCGCCTGTTCGCAAAGTTCGGTGAGTGTGGTGTTCAGATGAAATGGTCGAGCAGCAGTGTCAGGGCGGCGTGCAGACAAAAGGATTGCAGGGATGAGATGGGCGGCGGAAAGGACACGCGCGTCGAAGCGGACAAAGGGCCGGTGCTGCGCAGCGTGTAAGCGTGGGGGAGGATGATGGGACAAGTAACGCGCGCACAGGCTGTGTGGCTCATCTTTTGTGAAGAAAGGAAGACGAGCATACAGCCAAGCCATTGCAACTTATCGCAACGACGCTTGCGCCGCATCCGCACCCTTTGGGTCGTCATCACTTGTTTATAAGTATGACGACTCGTTGCGGTCATCGTCACCGTGTGTCAAACGCATCGTCTCATCTTCTATCAAGCGCAAGCTCGCTCAATAGCACCGTCGAAACATCGCACTGACTCTGTTCTGCTCTCTTCCATCCGTTTCGTTCTCTTGCGCGCTCTCTCTCTCATCATCACCATGGCTACTGTTACTCATCAACCATTCGACGTCGCCTCCTCTAATTGCATTACCACAATCAACTCGCGTCGGTGCTCTGCTACCGTTGAATCTGCTGCTGCCTTCGTCCCGGTCGCTACTCGCTTGGCACCACAACCACCCACCGTCACCATGGTCTCGCCACATTGTAAATCTACGATCGCACCACCACGTCACTCGCAACCTGTTTCCGCCTATGTCTCCGACGACGCCGATCCATCGCTTTCCAACATCTCCATCAATGCCGACGCATCTCACCGTCGATCATCTCGAACCCAACAAATATTGCTCGACACCAGCTTCAACGTCGGATCCAGATACAGAGTCTGCGACGTTATCGGAGAAGGCGCGTACGGCATCGTCTGCTCAGCCATCCACAGACCATCTGGACAAAAGGTGGCCATCAAGAAGATTCAACCGTTCGAACACCAAATGTTCGCTCTGCGAACATTGAGAGAGCTCAAGTTGCTGCGCTATTTCCAAGACTGCGAGGTCTCAGAGAACATCATCTCCATTCTCGACATTGTCAAGCCGCCATCTTATGAGCAATTTCAGGAAGTCTACCTCATCCAAGAGCTGATGGAAACGGATCTGCACCGCGTCATCCGCACCCAAAAGCTTTCTGATGATCATGCCCAGTACTTCACCTACCAAATCCTCCGCGCTCTCAAGGCAATGCACTCCGCTGACGTCATCCACCGTGACCTCAAGCCTAGCAACCTGCTCTTGAACGCAAACTGCGACCTCAAGGTCTGCGACTTCGGCCTCGCTCGCAGCATCCGCACTGCCGACCCCGGAGGAGAGACTGGTTTCATGACTGAATAGTGAGTTCTATGGTTGCTTCCAGGAGCTGCTGCTTGCAGAGGACCTGCATGCTGATCATCTGCGCTGCCCTTTCACAGCGTTGCCACTCGATGGTACCGTGCACCCGAAATCATGCTCACCTTCAAGCAGTACACCAAGGCCATCGACGTCTGGGCAGTCGGCTGCATCCTCGCAGAGATGATCAGCCAAAGGCCCTTGTTCCCCGGCCGTGACTACCACCACCAGCTCGCTCTGATCCTCAACGTCTTGGGCACACCATCCATCGACGACTTCTACTCCATCGGATCTCGTCGTTCTCGAGACTACATTCGCGCTCAGCCTTTCAGAAAGCGCAAGGATCTCGGCAAGATGTTCCCCCACGCTTCTGCCGAGTGCCTCGACTTCCTGACCAAGACGCTGGCTTTCGACCCCAAGAAGCGTCCCACGGTTGAAGAATGCCTTGCTCACCCTTACCTCAGCGCTTATCACGACCCAGAGGACGAGCCTACCTGCCCCTCCCTCGAGCCTGAAGAATTCTGGTTCGACATGGCCAAGAGCACCACCACCACTGAGGACATCCGCAAGGACTTGTGGGACCAGATCAACGACTTTACCCCTCTCGTCTAGGAGAGAGGTGAACGGTGCTCAAGCCCATGTTCTCTGAACTTGATCAGCACGAATGCACATGTCCATCCCCCATCCACATCTCGACTCATTCTCACTACACATCGTATCTCCCCCTTTCATCTTCTGCTTGCATGCATGCTTCAACTTGCAATGTATCTGCCGGGCTCATAAGTCACCGATATCATCCACGCACACGTATCCATGGCCCAATGGGCCCAGCACATCAATCTTTTCTTTGAACCTTTGGCGAAGCTCTACGCTTCTTCGTTGCCAAAATTTTATTCCATTCGCTCTCCAAACTCAAGCTCGATGGCGGTAGCGATAGTTGCGACTCATTTCCTATCATTCAACATTGTCCTCAGACCGGATCCATAGAATGCTTCATGTGCTTTGCTGAGTCTATACACTCGGATTCTCAGTGTGATCCGCCTGCACACCTGGCAACGAGTGCGAAACACAGCCTTTTCTCAGAGCAGGGGCCCAGCATTGTCATTGTGGATTTTCTGACGACCAAAGCGATTCGGGACAGCGTAAGCGATGCGAAGCTGAGATACGACATTTCGCATTTGTGGGGCTTAGAAATGCGCCGTAAAGAATTCGCGCAGATCCGACGAGAGGGCATTCGGATTGTCCAGCGCTGCAAAATGACCTCCGTAATCGTGTTCCTTGAGGCTTTTGAGGTTCACATCCAACCTGCCGATCCAAGGTTTGGGCGATCCGGCCAATTCCCAGGGAAAGCGGGAGTGTCCAAAAGGTTTCTTTCTGGCTGGGGCGGTAAAGGTGCGATCTTTGGCGAATTTGTCAAAGAGGTAGCCGCTCTCGTAGTAAGGCAAAAAGGAAGTGTGGGTGGATTTGGTGAGGTAGTAGATGGTCGCGCTGATCAAGATGTTCTCGTCCGTCATTCCGCTGCTCTGCTCTCCTTGACCAGCAGGCTGGAAAGCCGGCGCTCTCCTATCGCTCCACTCTCTGAACTTTTCCAACAAGTAGCTCAGAATCCCTACGGGCGAATCGTAGAGCGCATAACCCACCGTTGCGGGCTTGGTCGCTTGAATCTGATAGTATCCGCTGCCCACGCTCATGTATTCCAAGCCGCGCTTGAGAAGGTTGACGTCCCTCGCATCGAAAATGTAGGGCAACAGTCGATCGGTGATGCTGCTGTAACCCATCTTGGCCAGGCCCATCACTGGCAGCGCATATGTGGGAATGTTGGGAACGAGGAAATTGGTGTGGTATGCTGTGCAGGCATCGTAGCGCGCCAAGAGCCTAGTGATGGTGTAGCCCCAATCACCTCCATGTGCTGCATAAGTCTGGAAGCCCAACACTTCGGTCATGAGCTTGTCGAATAATCTCGCCGTGTCTTCGAGGGACCAACCCTGCTTGGGTGGTTTGCCAGATAATCCGTAGCCAATGAGCGACGGCACCACGACGTGAAATGATCGTCCGGAGACGTCGGGCCGCGTCAATTTGTCCAGCAGCAGATCAGCCTCGAAGAAGCTTCCTGGCCATCCGTGGCTGAAAATGAGAGGGATTGCATCCGTCTCTGGCGATCTTGCTACTTGATAATGCACTTGCACACCCTCGATCTCGGCAATGTAATGAGGATACCTATTGATCCTCTCCTCCACCTTTCTCCACCACGCACTCACTCCTCCTCCAGGTCCCGTGTTCTTCCCAAACGCATCCACCGCATCTCCTCTCTTCCAATCCTCCACCAATTGCTTCAACTTGGAAAGATCAGTGCCATACTTCCAACCCGCATCTTCTACAAGCTCTTCCTCTGGAAGCAGAGTGTCGTCCAATTGTCTTTGCAGCTTCTCCAGGTCCGAGTCGGGAAAGCGGAAGCGGATGGGCTTGGGACTGAGCTTTGGAGCCATGATGTGCACGTCTACAGATGGAAAGGGGTGCTGATGATGCGTTGCGCGCGCGAAGAGATCGTCGATGCGAGGAAAGCTCTCCACTTCGAGTACAAGAAAGGGTGGGGTGCAGTTGGTAGGGTCTGTATGCCAAGCCTCTCGTGGACTTTAAACTGACGTTCTGGGGGAACCAATCCTTTACATCCGCCCGAGCTCAGTTGGACTTAAGCATCTCGCTGCTGGAGCACTTTGGAGATACCTTTTCTTGTTGTAAGTCGACCACGCTGCGAGGTCACGCCATCGAATCCTTGATTCGTAGTTCTTCGTGAGCCGTTCGAAATCGCAGTCAAAGTGTTACAGTCGCAGGCGAACGATCAGCAGAAGGAGCGCTGCTTACTGATGCGATATGTGGAGGTAAGCATGCGGGACCCAAATCGCGAGCATGCAGTGCATGTGAGTCACGAGCGGTCATAAGGCGACCTGCCCGCTAGAGCCGTGGATAAATCGAGTGGCCTAGTCGCCAAAGCCATTAGTGGTGAGAACGCCGACACTGCGTCACTCGATAGGCTCGCTAGAGCTGACCAGCGGATGCTGATCCATTGGCAAAACGCGTGACAGAAAATATGATACAGAGCGTAGACCCACAAGAGCAAGCCAAGTCAGTAGGTCGTTAGGGAGCAAACGAAGACTGTCAAGGTTCAAAAGGAGCAAGGCGAGGCGATGTCGAGTCATCGCAGACGGCGAGCAATCACTGCTCCGAGTCCGAGTCGAGCAAGATAGCCTGAGAAAGACGAGCGCGAACCTTTCCTCTGCGTCCTGCTCTCGTACCTTCAGATCTGAAGATCGGTTGCGAAGGCGCTTTAACAAAGACCACGCTATTATTTTCCTCCTCCTCCTCCTCCTCTCCATCGCTGTCAACCTCCGCAAGAGCCTTGCGAGAAGGCAAGCTGGTAGCCCCACTCCTCTCGTCCGCGTCTCTCTGCGCTCTTCGAGATGCGGACGCAGCGCCAGCTTCACGACGTGGCGAATCTTGCAATTTCGTCTTGCGAGGCGACTTGTGCGGCGGTGATGAGCTGCGCGCAGATTTCGCTGTACTCTGAAGGCGGTGAGCCCGGCTCGTTGGCAGCAGCAATGTGGAAGGACTTGGCAAGCTTTCGTCGAGATCTGTACTGATCTCTCCTACCGCGCGAGGCGTGAGTGAGAGGCGCTGCGGTGGCTTCGAAGAGCTGCGCGGAGGCGTTCGCGTGAAGATCCTAGGTGATCTGCTCGGCTGAGCGTCATTTGCCTCGGTATCTGACCTGGAACGCTCTGAAACAAGTGTCTGGCTTTGAAAACGATTCGAATGCTGATCCTCGAGCCAGCCTGATTCACTCAATAGAAGGTCCGTTGCCCGCCGAGTAGCAGGACTCGGTGACCGAGTCCACATAGCTGCCAGCTCGGCGTCTGTCAAGGGTCTGTCCGGCGTGCTCGACGCCAAATCGCTGTTGTCTTTGGCTACGCTACGCGCTTTGGATTGAGCACGGCCGAGAGGGCCAGCATCAGATGTCTTCGCCGCACGCCGCGAGCTAGATGTTGAGTCCGAGGACGCTTCTGAGCCAGTACGCTCGATCGGTCGGGTGCTCGAAGCGAGCGCAGCAGCTCCGCGTCGAACAGATTTGGACGGTGAGCCGACCGTGCTCGGACCAGCGATAACCGACTTCGCCTTTGAAGCGCCAAAAAAGTCAGCTACGCTACGCTGCCCAGCCTTGTCTCTGAGCTCCTTGGCAGATCGCTCGGCCCTTCGCTGAGCAGCGTCTGCAGCCTTTCCACTCTTCTCACGCTGCTGGGCTTGCCAAGTGCGCAGAGCCAAGCGGGTACAGGAGCTCCGTTCCAACAGCTCTAGAGGCAGCCACAATCGCAACGTGGCGGAGTGGTCGATCTGCTTTGCAGGCCTTTGCGTCCTCTCCCACGTCTCCGAGTCGGAATCGAGAGGCTTATCGCTGACAGCTTCCTCGGTACCGCTTGTATAAGGCGCATCGTCTCCAAGCCTTCGACGCTGCGCCAGAGCTGCGCGCCAGTCATGTTCCGAATCGCCGATAGCTTGGCGCGCACAAGCCAGAAGATCGGTCACGTCCCACTCCGTCCGAATCTCTTTTCCGCTAGGACCATCGCGAGCCGAGTGTATTCCGCAGAGCTTGGCAATACACGCGCTGAACTCCCGGCGTGATGGCGTCTCGTCTCGCGCCTCTGGGCCCAGATGTGGAGGATCACTGTTAATTCGTGCCGAAGTTGCGAAGAAGTCGGAGATCCTCGTCGCAGTGGGAGAGTCGTAGAGCGGCCTTGCGCGCTGCTGGCGCGCAAATGTCACGGACACTGTTGTTTCGGGCATGCTCTCCGGCGCCCTCGACTGCCCATCCGAATCTGCTTCCAGCTGCCGTACAATGATGCCTTCCCAGATCAGACTGCGGCAGCGCCTCAAACAAGCTTCCTCTCCCCAGAGCATTTCGACGCGCAGAATTTTGACGAGGTGCGCGAGATCAGGCATCGTTGCAAGCTGCGGTTGCTCGATCATCTCGTTCGCACCATCATCGCGATCCTGTGCAGCCTCGATTGCTTCGCTGACAAGTGGCCACACGTAGCTGGCGAGTACTGCCAAAGCCTGCGGCGTGGCCAGCAGCTCATCCATCTCTTGCGAGTCTGCCAGAACCTTGTATCGCTTTGGCAGCATTCCTGTCGCATTGGTGCGCAGCTCATCGCGCAGAGAAGCGATCCACCGACGTCTGAAGTCGCCCCAGCTAGCCTTTGTTTTCGGCGCAGGAAGCCCTTGGGCCGGCGCGTATGCACTCCGCAATGGTCGAATGCAATGCTCCTCGAATCCCTGCACCAGCAGAGAGCCAAAGCCTGCGGCTGCCAACCCCATCGCAATCTAGGAACGAAAGGCAGGCCACTACTTCAGTGGATGCCGGCGAACTCAGCTCGCACGCACTCACCTTGGCGCCGCAGCGAACCAGACCTTTGACGTCATAGTCTCCACCCGCCATCAGCGCGACGAGTATGAAGCCCTCCCGATCCAGCGCCAGGTCTGCCGTGCGAAAACACGCGACAGATGCAGCAGAGCCAGTAGCAGCCGTTGCTTTCTTCTTGCTGGGTGACCCGGCACGCTTGCGTGGGGAAGCGGTTCGGCTTGAACTGCTGCTTGGATGCTCTTCCACCTCCGAGGGCGTACAGGAGTAAGCGGGAGCTTGCGAGACGTCATCACGCTGTTCTCCACGAAGGGAAATACCCGAGCTCCAGCTGAGAAAAGGTGTAAGCGCTAACGTCAGCATTGGGCAGCGGGGACACAGACGAGCGATGTGATGCGCACTTGCGAATCACGATGGATGCACCAAACACGAGCGAGTCGACATCGTCGCTCAACACCGCATCCACAACTCCAACGATGCAGCGTTGAGCGAGCTCGGCCTCAGCCTCGCCAGGCGCTACGATCCACTGCATGCCCAGCGCGTCCAGCAGCTTCTTGAGGGCATCGATGCCGTACCAATCTTGCGCATGGCGGGACGCGCCTCGCTTCATGCGAGGCCGACCTGCTCCATCGAACACAAAGACCGGTCGAAGCCTGGGCACCATCAACAGGCGCAGCAGTCTGAAAAGAAGAAGACGTAAAGCGGCGTTGGCACCGCCTTGAGACGAGGTGGCGTGATACAGCCATGCCGAGACATCGATACCGACGATCAGAGCTGGTCGAGACTTTGCGTTTTCCTCTCGATTATCGCAGATCAAAAGCTCGTCAGCCAGCCTGCAGAGCGGAATGTGCGCAGAGGGAACCAGATTCGGCCAAAGTCCCGGGACGCCCATACTGCCGCCGTCTTGCCGTCCAGTGAGCGCTTGAGCCTGCAAAGTCGAGGACTTGTGTCGACGAGAATGCTTGAGGGTTGGACTCGAGATGAAGACTAAGCGGCTTGTGTTCTCGATTTGCGATGCCCATGCGGCCGATCAGAGTTCATGTCTTCATCGTCGCAGCCGGTGCTGGCCGGTACCGCGCTGTGCCGAAATTGCGCCATGAACCTGTTTCAGGGAACGCAGGTATGCAGGATGCCTTCAGTTCCGTACGCTTGAAGTGATATTACAGGCACAGCACTGCGCGAGTGCGAGTTATCTCGCTGAGAGTAGCGAGTGCCAAGCAAGAATGGTTGTGATTGCAAAGCGAGTCTTGTGTGAACAAGCACGACGGCATTCATCATCGAACGTCACCTGCTGTACGAGCTGCCTGCTGTGTGTGCCACTCGTGACTGTGACTCAAGACTCACGACTCTTGACTCATCAGACTACTCAAGACTCACCACTAAGAACAACACCGCGCCAACCGCACGACTCAGCTGGCCAGCACGTGATGCCGAACGCGTCGCTCAACGCAAAGCCGCGCGCATTCAATGATTAGGTCAAATGTTCTTCTGGTCTAGCTTTGGGGAGGAGAGACGGGACTACTACCCCGACCACCTCCTCGAGCCGCGACTTGACTTCCGCACCTCACTCACGACTCTTGAAACGCTCGGCATCCCTGCGGAGAGCTCACGCTGTGATAGCGCAATCCCTTCAACAATTTGGCAGTAGCAGCCAATAGCGGCGCTTGCTGTCTGGCGTTTCGAGCCCCGAAGGTCTTGATACACTCGCGAGGATGGCCTTTTCCTTCGCACCAGTGAGTAGTCGTGCGTGCTTCCAGGGCGATGTTGTCAAGTGTGGCGCTGACCTTTGTTGTTGTGGCTCTGCGTGCGATCTATAGGCTGGCAGCAGCACGGCGGGTCCAAGCGGTTCCTTGTTCGGCAACACCGCTCAAAACAACCAAGCTCCTAAGCCGGCATTCTCGTTCGGCACGCCAGCGCCAGCGCAGGCTCAGTCCAGCCAGCCCTCTCAGCCTGCTGGCAGCACCTTTTCGTTTGGACAGTCTTCACAGGCACAACAGCAGCCCCCGGCGTCAGCACCGACGCCAGCTGCAGGTCAGGGTCAAGGTCAAGGGTCAAGCTTTGGTGGGTTTGGATTTGCACAAAATCAATCTGGACAAGCTCAGAGTCAGGCACCGGGACAGAGTACGACATCGGCTCCAGCGCCAAGCACTTCGCTTTTTGGCGGCGGTGGTGGCGCGTTCGGCAGCTCTACTAGTAAACAGCAGCCTGCCCAAAGTGGGTTTGGAGCGGGTAGCACAAGCACAGGAGGAGCGGGGTTGTTCTCTTCTTTCAATCAGAACCAGACACAGACTCAACAGCCGCAGCTGACCCAACAAGCGCAAGCGAAGCCGTCGTCGCTCTTTGGACAAAGCCAAGGTGGAACACAGACGCTCGGTGCTACAAGCACGGGTCTCTTCGGACAGTCTCAAGGCTCGCTTGGTCAGCAATCTCAGCCGCAACAACAACAGCAACAGGTGGACAAGCGACTAGGACCCTCATTGTCCGCTAGGTTGGCTGCCATTCACCAAGCATGGGACAACAACAATCTACAGACGTGTCGCTTCATGGTGAGCACAGCTGAATTCTGCCTTCTCCGCCGCGCCTGCATTTCTTTGCTTACCCTTTGATCGATCCTTTCAGCACTACTTCTATGTGCCAGTACCCAACGATCAGCTGCACTTCTTGAACCCTCAACCGGACGCAGGAGGTGGCAGTGTTAACAGCAACTTTGGCAGGAGGAGCGATGCGGTTGGCCCCAGGCACGAAGAGCTGTGGAGGGACGCTGTCAATCAAAATCCCAATCCTCGTCGGTGAGTGCTTTGAGAAGCTGAGCGCCGGTCGCAATCGATTCTGCGTCTCATAGAGCTCATGCAGACGCGAATTTCACCACACAGACTTGTGCCCGTCTTGGCTGTAGGTTTCAGCGAGCTCAAGAGTCGTGCAGATGCTCAGCAGAGCGAGGCAGCTCGTCAACGACAGCTTGTATCGCAGCTGCGAGAGAAAGCAGCTGTGCTAGCTCAATCGCACACACTGAAGAATACGACTCGGACTTCGGCCGCGTTGCGGAGACAAGTGGCGCTTCACCATCGCTTGATTTCCAGTGCTAGGAAGGCAGCTGCGCTTCTTCCACCCTCCGCTTCTCAACCTGGCCGATCGCGGAGCGGCTCTCATACTGGCGCTGCATATGCGCAAGCGAGCGTGGAGGACGAGCAGCTGAGATCCAGATTGGAACAGTGCGAAGCGGAGATCAGAAATGGCAAGCTGAAAAGCAGGGTCAATGAGCTGTGGGCCGCACTTGGAGCGGTCAAGGCTCGTGCAGGAGCCAGACCAGGCTCTGCCAGTGGATGGAGCGGGACCGCAGAATGGGCGGTAGTGGATCCGGAGGCGCTGGACGAGGTGGCCAGGGTGAGTCTTGCTGGAATTTGGGTCTCCGAAAGGCAAAGGGCATCGTCAAGACATGGCGATGACCCGCGCGCTTTGCGACGTTGGACGTGACTAACCGCAGTCCCATGCTTTTGGACGACTCTCGCTCGCAGATTTTGGGCTCGCAGCAAAAGGGACTGAATCATCTGGTGGCGACAGTGGAGAATGATACGAAGGTGATGAACACCATCCTCAAGGGCTTGAGTGGAGTCCAATTGACTGGTGTCAGAGGACCTCAGTACGCGTTGGAGGATGAGGAGTAGACGCGTTGGTCTTGCAAACGGTCACATGCAACGTCAGCGTGGTGTCGCTTCTCGGAGTCTTTCCGCGCTACCCCCGCCGCACCACGCCGCCGCCAGTTGCGCACACTCAGGACAATCATAAGCAATCGAACATGCTGTCAAACCTCAAGTGACCTTCACACGTGAAAATATAATCGCATTCATTCGCGTCGTACGTGAGAAGGATCAAGTGTTACAATTTCAGAGGTTCTGGAAGACTGAGATGAATGCCCTTTGTAAGAGAGATCGGATGACGTGGGTGATGCTTGCCGTTGCCCTCTTGAAGTGGTTTGCTGCTAACGTATGGATTATATCGTTCTTTGAGATAGAGGTCGCAATCGCCAAGTCGTAGATGCTGAGAGAGACGCCGAGAATATCGGTGCTGGAAAAGGGGTCACTGAAAGAGGTCGAACGCGGAGCGTAGGACGGTCGTCGAGAGTGTCGAACAGTTGGAATGAGTAGGTAGAGGCCTATCCGAAGATGAGCTTCTGGATCGTCAAGTTGTACGAAGCTGGAATTCAGTCGAATCCGGGTCGAGTTCGAGTTCGAGCAGAGTCAAGCCGAGCCGAGCAAACCGCTAGCAGGAGGGAAGGGCAAGCAACGCGCACTTAAGTTGATGACTTCATCCGATGCAAGATGGTGGGTCGACTGGAAGGGCATCCTTTGACCAATCGACCGCTTTGCCAATCAGGCAACACCAGGAGCTTGCATCGGGGTGAAGTTGGCCGAAGGCGCGTTGTTGCCAGCTTCCGCTGCTGCTGCGGTAGCGTTGGTGGCCGTGCTGTCGCGACGCTTGCCGGATGTCTTCTTGCTCTTCTTCTTCTTCTCCTGGACGGGAAGGATCTCTTCCCAGACTCTCTCGGCGACCTCGCCCAGTTTGCGGGTGGTACAGCGCTCCTCGTCCTCGGCGGCGCGAAGCGTAGCTTCGAAAGCTACATCACCGAGGATCTTGCGGAGGTGCTCAGCATTGCGCTTGTACCAGAAAGCAGGGGCCAGCGTGCGAGTAAGCTCCTCGGACGAGGCGAAGAGAGCTTGGTGACGGATGGACGGTGCGCCTGGAGAGGTCTCGATGGAGTGAGATCCGGGGATCATGGCGTCCTTGCGAGAAGCGTTGAGGACGATGAGTCCGGGAGCTAGGGTCATGACGAGATAGGCAATGTTTTCCATCGGCTCGAGGACGTCAAAGACGACGTTGGGCACACGGTCCGCTTCGTCCGACTCGGCAGCGTCGATCTTCAGCTTCCAAACCAACGGGTCGGAAATGCCGTAGACGGTGGAGTGAATGTTGCGTCGAGTGTGACGGTGAGTCTTGTCGTCTTTCTTTTCGTCCTCGGGCTTGCCGCTTCGATGGAAGTTGATAAAGGCTTTGGGTACACGAAGGTAGACGACTGTCGGAGTGATCAAGGTGGACCGGAAAAGAGTCAGCGACCACAACGGTCACCGTGGCGACGGGATATGACAGCACTCACAACCATCCTCGGTGAAGGAGCCGTGAGGAGCGTTCTTCTTCAAACTGTAAAGGTCGATCTGAACCAGTGGAGTTGCATGACATGGCAAGAGATTAGCGACCGTCTCGGAATGTTGATAGCTGTAGCCTCGGGCTAGCCCACTCACACGAGCATTGTCGGCAGGAGCCCAGCCCATGCCCTCGAGCTTTTGGCGCTGCATGAGCATCCAGGGACGAGCACGCTCCCAAGACTCGCGAGCGAAAGGCTTGGAGATGTGAGGAAGGCGTACCTGCTGTTGAGCAGAGTCGAGCGTCTGCTCGGTGGAGAGGAAGTCGATGGTGCCGGCGGATTTCTGTGCACGATCAAAAGGGGGCAGCCAGGTGTAAGTACAACGCGCGATGTTGCGATGCAATGGCCAGACGCGAAGGAGGAAACGTTACGCACCTGAACTTTGTCGCTGGCAGCACCGTCGGCGTTGGCGTTGCCAGCGTTGTTCTTGCTCTTTCCCATTTTGTTTATATTGAAGGCGGGTGATACAGATGAGTCGGCACGGTGACCAACTTGGGGGGGTTGCGAATTGAGAGTGTTGAAGAGAGCAGGTATGCTGATTTCCTTGCTTTTCGAAAAGTGTGTCGGGTGAAGGGAGGGAATCACAATTGGAGGGGCGCACGGCCTCCAAGCTCATTATGTACTTTTTGTACGACGCTCCAATCGTGACTGTCCGAGCGTACGAGTGTGGGGCCAAGATGCGGTTATCGTATTGCACGGGCCAGGTGTACCACCTACCTGGTCAAGTCGTGAGGCATCCATTGCTCAGTGGCTGTGTGGCTGTCGCCTGCGCGGATGACCCCGCTCAGACCACCTGCTGCGGTGACGAGTCGCAGTGCGAGAGGACAGCTAGCCAGCAGGGTCACACGAGCCCGTCAAGACGATTATGCGGTTCATCAAATATAGCCGCGAGTCATCGATGGATTCTATAATCGTCAATGTGCGTGCTTAATTGATAACACGGCGGGGCAGGGGTGGGTACGGCACAGTAGCATGAGGCATCAGCTGCAACCAATTCGTGATCAGACCGCGGTTCTGCCAAGCTGCGTCAGGCTCGCACTCGCACCCTCAAGATCTTGCCGCGCGATGAAAAGGGGCGAGCTGCCCGGCAGGATCTCACGAGTGGCCCCACCCTGATGCGTTTACAAAGGGCAGACTCTGGCGGAGGACCAGGACACGGCATCCGGCGTTTGTGCTGATGCCATCGCGGGCAACTTGAGTCGTGATGGGCAAGTTGATGATGAAAATGTGGGGTCGTCGCGCCAGATAAGCCGGAAGTGGTCAGGGCGGGCGTGGGTTCCAACGCCGGCAAGGCAGCTCGCCAGTGTGAGTCGAGCCCTTGATTCACCCTTCGTGATTGCTGAAAGATGTCAGCTCCTCGCCCGCCTGCCTTGCCATGGCTCGCCCCGCAGCAGACCCACCATCACTCATCGAGTGCTTGGACTTGCCGTGCAACGGTGCAGGGACCGGGGTCGAGGCGTCGAGCAAGTTGAAGTCAGAGTCCCAGAGTGCGTCATCCGAGCAGTGAGTAGCAGCGCGCCTCGCGAGCAGCATCCGTCAAGACGCGGAGCTCTTGCAGCGGGAGGCCCCATTTCAAACACACAATCACGAATCACGGCTGCTCGCTCCCTTATTATTTGGCGGATGGGAAAGCGCCACTCACGGCTCAAGATCACTCCGCGCGCGTTCAATTTACCCCAACACACACGCGAGGGCATCCAAGACCACCGCTTGCGTTCGGACCAGTCGAGTCCTTGCAGCAGCCGCGGGTGATGTACGCTTATATAGTGAGAGGCACTCACGACTGACGACTACTACTAGCACGGCTAAGGCGGCCGGCCTAGACCAAAGTCCTTCTTTGTCTGTCAGTCTATGTGCAGCGCATTCAGATCGTCCTGCCCATCAGTTGTAGCATGGCGGGCTTGTCAGCGCTGCGATTAAAATCGAAACATCGCTGAAGGGAGTAGTCCATGCCGTCCTGCGTGCCTGACGTGGCTGCACAGCCATTCACACATTTGCTCGTCGCCCTCGCCCCTTGACTCGTATCGTGTCCGCTTGCGGCTGCTGCGAACCAGCACGTCCTCGATTCAGGCGGGTCCGTGCGCTATAAGCTAAGAAAGGGAGGTAGCCTAGCTTCCGCGGCAGCGCTCACAGGCTCAATTATACGCGACGGGCACACGCCTTGCTCGCGTGACCCCACCGGTGCATGTATATTGCAGCCGAGCTCGCGGAGAATCCGGGTCGCCACAAGGATCTTGGCCAACCCCAGTGGTGAGTGTGAGTCCCTGATGAAAGCGGCTAGCGCTCAGGACATATGCTGCGTGCTTCGGACCCACCCCAAGGCAAAAGGCACATGAAGAAAGGTCGACCAGCCACAACTCGAGCGACTCATAGTCGTCAATTAAAACAGGGGAAGGCCGCTCCATATGAGCCGGCGCCAAGTCATGATGGATTCGTGAGTGCTGTTGCAATCACGAATTTACCCGCGCACATGCTGTGTGTGATGATTGGGCCGCGCACAGAATTGTGGGGATATAAGCATGAGACACTTGAGCCGCGCATGCATGCATGCAGCACTTCAACTGCGCTGCTGCTGCAATTATCACGAATGTCTTCTCCACGTCGAGCGCGCACGAGCCACTTGACCGTCGATATAGTTGCTGCAGGGGCAGTTCTCGCGTGAGTCCCTGCATGATGATGCTGATTGTCAAATATACGGTACGTATGCACTTCACCATTCGTGATTCAAATGTCGAGATGAACTTTTCGGCTTCAGATCCCGCCTGCGCATTTCCTGGTCGCCCGGCCGAGTGCGCGGTGGAGCGAACCTCAATTTGAATGTGAATGGGGAGCAGGAATCAAGAATCAGATCCACGATCTTTGATTCGCGATCTTGTGTTGAATGCAGAAGAGGGATGGCTTTCGAGGCGTGCACTCAGCAAGGCAAGTCGCCAATCCCAAATGTGACGCTGGGACTGCCTGACCACGCGTGGCACGTTGGTAGTCAAAGTTCCTGCAGTAATCTGGTATGACAAGCACGAGAGCCTCAAGACTCACGGCTGCGAGATCGTCGCTCACTGTTATTTGGCGAGCATTCACAGCGTGGGCCACAGGTACCCCTTGCCAGCACGTCGTCACCTCAAAAAGGACCCAACGAAGTGTGGGCATGAGTCCGCGTGGCTTGCGGTAGCGAGGCGGGCAAGACGAGCGGCCTGCTGGTTCTTCAAGGCGCAGGCAGGCTCAGAGGCAGCAGAGCCTGTCAACATTGCGCGCAGCGAGATGCTGACCTCGATCGGGCTCCGATGATGTGCGCGTGCAGCCTACCAAAGACTCACGACTGTGGCTTCTGCGCCACGTCGCCCCACGCAGTCCCCACACAGCCTATTCACGATTCAGATTATAATTTGTGAAGATGCTCTCTTCTGGAGAATTGTGAATGCGCATGGAGGTCAGAAGCACCAACGCCTGATGAGATCGTGATTGCGGTCTGGAAATTGCCCTCGCGAGAGGGAAGCAAAGGAGCTGCGTTCAGGTCGGGTATCGGACCTCCCATCAGGAATCAGATGGCAACTTTAAAGCACTACTCACGACTCACGCGACGCTTCACTCTTGACTTGACTCGTCCTCGAGATTCTTGATTCATGAAGAAGCGATCGGCGAACAAGCTCTCCTCAGCGGCTGCCTTTTCTGTCGGAGGCACGCTGCGTGGTGTGCACAGCGTGAGCGGGTCGGCGCTGTCACGTGCCCGCACGCGTGGTGGACTGCCGCTGCGAGCGTGGATCGCTTTGCGGGGCTACTTTGCCAAGTGTGACACAAGTCGCGTGCGTGATGTTGTTGCTTTTCAGCAAGAGGAGCAAAAAGTCGAGACGAGACTCACGACTCGCGACTCGTGACTCGTGGTCTTTTCCTCAACCTTCGCAATCAAAGTTTGATCGCTATACCTACACATACACCTTGCATTCCGTACATCCACGATTCCTGATGCTGTTCGCGTGTCGCCCCCAGAGCAACGGATGGATGCCGTTCGAGAACATTATCGCATGTCATCACTGGACGAGATCATGGCGTGCTCGACGACCACCAAAGGCGTCCAAGGCGACCCTTCGGTTCCGAACCGACAGAAGTGCCAGCTGTCATGCATGAATGGGGCGACCCTTTTTGTCAGGTGGCCAAGCGCTTTGCGTAGCAGCTTGAGGATGCATGTATCCCACGAGTCGCAGCCATGCCACTTGGATGGAATGTCATTGTGATTGCTGATCCCAGTCAGGCGCCCCGACCGGCTCAATCATTAATTGAGAGAGTCGCAGTCCCCTTGCATCCCTCGGCCTGGCGGATATTCGCGGCTGTCCACCTTGAAAGCTTTCCAGCAGATCGAAGATTTTACACCATCTGCTCGGGCTTCAAAGTGATGACGCTTAGTGATCGCTCGCGAGTCGGGCAGGCCCTTTTGCTTCCCATGTAGCACTTGCCGCCATTCGAGTTGCTGCGACCGACACCTAGGGGCAAGCAAGTCTCGTTGCCACCGCCGCATTACGCCAACCTCTCCTTTCAACTGAGTCAGCTCGCAACACTTGCGATCCGCCACTGTCCCCGCTCGACATCTCGTCCCTCGCGATGCTCGGCGTCCGTACACCTTTTGGCATCTTGTTGTCAAGGTCGCAGACCCGAATTATGGAAGTGGCGTGTCGAATGCACCCACTGGATGATGTGGCAGGCTTCGTCACGCCATCCGAGGTCTGACTCCCGCCTCCGCCCCGTTTCACAACGCAAGCTGTTCATAGTATGCCAAGACATGGCTTGGTGGCGAGTGGGTCGCTTGCCACCAGCGCTCTTCGCGTTGGCATCAGCGATAAATGGTGCTGGCTGAGTGACTCGGCTCATACGTGCGCATTATTTTCAAAAATCCTTGAGAAGGCACTGCTCATGGCCAATTCAGCACCGCCGCTGCCACTAGCGTCCATTCCTCTGACACTTTTCTTACTCCCTGGACGAGATCAGATCTGATCAGCTCCATCGACGAAGCAGCCTGCGTGCCTTCATCGCATCGTCATGCGCCTTCTCCTCGTCTGGCTGGCCACCTTCCTTTTGCTGGCCACCGTCTGCGCACGGCCAATCAAACCTTTCGAATACCTTGAGGAGACCATGCACGCTCGCCTACTTCACGACGAAGTCAGGCTGCGGGAGAAGAGCAAGCAGGGCAGCGCAAGCCTGAAGTGGCTGGTCAAGATACGACCACTTACCAGGCGACTTCTACGCCCTGTGACGGGTACTGCACCGAGAGCGTACGACCGGGTGATGACCACTTCGGAAGCAGCTCGAGCTCGCTTCGCCGCTGCTTTTCGCGACCCTCGCGTGGGGCTCCCGATCACTGCCGTCACCGGTGTCTCCGTGTTTGGATGCCTGGTGTCGTGCGCTGACATCGTCGAGCACTACAAAGAAGAGAAGAAAAAGCGCAAGCAGCGTGCCAAACAGCTGGATTCTGCGAAAGCTATGTCGCCATCAGCCTCGACCTCCGCGTCAGCATCTGATGACAAAGCTCACAAGGAGACTGCTCCGCCTTCGCGGGCTACCAATGAGGATTCTCAAGGACAGCACGCGCAGGAAGGACTGAGACCACCTGCACCTCCGCCTCGCAAGCGAGACACAGTCGGCACTGACAAAGACGCCGTCCTCACTCCCGGAGCAATGGCGGCAGCTCATGTAGGCGCCCACCCCACGAAGCACAGTCTGAGCGAACCACAGACCACTAGAGCGGCACCTTTTGGGGCCGCCCACGACTGGAGCCGAGATGAATCGGAAGAATTGCACTCATTGAGGGGGATGCGGTTTCTGCCAGTCGCAGGAGTCTCTGTGCTCTATCGCAGGCTGTCTTCGGCCCTCTCCCGGCCAGTCTTGTTGCACGAAGCAGCTTCCTCTGGTGTCCTTCGAAGCCCGCTGCAGCTGAAGCAGCAGCGTGGTAGCGCAGGGAAACCCATGCACGCAGTCGACGGGACCCAGACACACCGAGTGGCGACAGCACCAATCGTGGGCACCTACAGTAACGCCGGCGCTGGTTCAATAGGATGGGTCACACCCACAAGGAAAGTACCGCCGACACACAAAACATCAGCAGAACAGCATCAGCACCGAGGGCTGCACCTTCAACGCGCGCACGGTCAACCAATCTTCAATCCCACGCGCCTTTTACGTCGTGGTGGCCAGGTAGCGTTTCAAATTGTCACGCCCGTTCAAGCTCGTCAGCGCGTCACCTCGAACGACACCTTGTTGATGCGCCCGACGTGTGGCTCAGAACAACCACGCATGCTGCGGCGGCGTCATGTTAGCTGGAAGCTCGTCTGCGATGTGACGCCGAACGCACACACTGCGACACGGCGCACATACAGGGAAAGCGTGTTGCCTACCATAGTTCGAGTTCGGAGACGTCTTGCCACGCTTGCCTCGTTGAGACTGGCGAGCTTCGAGGACTACAAATTCCTCGAGAGGCGAAGAGAAGACACTCGTCTCGACAAGCTTCGCAAGGCCGTTCAGAAGTGGAGAGAGAGAGCCGCGGGACGACAGACAGCGAGCAGTGCGCCTCAGCTCAGGAAGCGTGACTTGGCACGCCGCCCATCACGCTGTGGACCGAAGGAGCACTCATACGAGCGCGTTCAATCGACGCTCCACAAGCGATTCATCAATTGGAATCTGGCCTGCCGCGCCAGAGACTTGTTCCGCAATTCTGCATCCTACCGCACATTTCAAACCCAAAGAGAGAGAATAAGACCGCATCTCGCAAATAACAGAGAGGCCATGGTCCTCTTTGGGTTCGGTGCGCTGGTTGCTGGGGCTGCGGGTACGACTGGACACTTCGTCCAAAACAAACATCATCATCATCATCCGCGAGATGGCGGTGAGCCGAGGCCAGATGGTCCGACATACAGATGTCAATTACGAGGCTGTCGACTCGTGCGAAGCCCATCATCGCAACCTGCGGCGAAAACGAAAGATGCCCAGATATGAACAAGGGTGCTGCGACGCTACCTGTCCTATTCGTGCGGAGTGCATCGCAAACTGGCGATGACCACCCAAAACAGTTAGCCGTAGACAATGATTGAAAGATGGAGAGTGTCAAATGTGTGAGAAGCCATCAGCGGTGCCCTCATCTGACTCACTCGGGACAGCCGTTCCGGAAACAAAGGTCTGCGCATCTGACTATATGCACTTCTTCCTCTTTCCTCCCAGGCCTACCAATTCTACTCCACGTTGTGCTCCCCAACGTCCGCTTGCCCGCAGAGCCCACCACGTCGCTGTTGTGAGCGAGCTACAGCCCAAATCGGACTCGCGCGGCCGCGCGGATGCCCTTGAAGAATCGCTTCCGTCAACAAAAGATCGATTGGAGAGGTTGTTCTTCAGACCTCACTTGGCGCAGCGTAAGTGTTGAAGCATCAAGTATAGGTACCTGGTCTGCGCGTGCGCAGACTTCGATGATACAAATACAAACCCGTGTCTCCATCAAATGACGAATACCAACAAACAGAGAAACATAGTCATGATGGCTGATCTCGCGGTCTAGAGCTCCTCAAGCGCAGTACTTCAATGCAGGTCCTCCTACGCGGTGCAGACTTGGAGGGGTCGGTCATCACAATGCTGACTATAAAGAGCGTCGCGACTTGGCCACAGGAGGACTGATGGGCTCGAGAATCCTGTCACGCATCAACGCTCCTGCATCCTCATCGTTCCGAACCGTTCATTCCTAAACTTTTGCTCGTCAAGATGAGGCACAGACCCCTTGCGCTTGTCATGGCTGTCAGTATTGCCAGTGTGACGGGCGTCGCGGCTGACCGAGGAGCATCATCTATCCCGCCTGCCGATCCTTCATCGACGATCGCTGCGTGGATGGCAGCAAATCCCTCAACTTCTCCGCTTACCTTCGCGTACGACTCTGCAGTTTGCAGTCGTGTCTTCAAGGAGGTCTTTGGCAAATTCCCTCTAGAAGTCAACGCGAGTTCCTACGTGCATAAGCAAGTTGACTGCGCTGCCGTTCAAGTACCGTACGACTACACTCAATTGTCTGACAAGCGACGTGCGAACATCGGCCTGTTGAGATACAGACCCCTTGGCATCGTCGAAGGCAAGATCAAGCCATCCGGAAGACTCTTCACCAATCCAGGAGGTCCGGGTGCATCAGGTCCAGTCTCTGTTCTCGATGGCCACGAAAAGATGGAGGAGTTGACAGGAGGTCAGTACGAAATCTTCGGCTGGGACCAAAGGGGAGTCTTCAGCTCCACCCCTTCCGCTCCAACTTGCTTCAAATCGGGCGAAGAGCAAATCAGATTTGGCGTGCAGTCCTCCATACAGATTCCGCTCGTTCCCGACGGTGAGAGCTTTACTTCGAAGCAGGTAGAGCAAGTGCGCAGCTCGGTGTAAAACGCCTGGGATCGCCTTGCGGACATGAAGCGCGGATGTCTCGAGCACTCTTCGAAAGAGAGCTTAGACTTCGCTCCATATATGGGCTCCTACTTCAACGTGCTGGACTTAGAGTACATTCGAAGACTGCTTGCTCCGTCATCTTTGCATTCTCCCTCAAAGGGAGCAATCAACGCGAGGCCGCAAGACGTGGAGAACGGTGATCTGATGCACTTTCTCGGCTTTTCCTACTCGGCAGCTGGCACGGGTCAACTTTATCTCAGCATGTTCCCGCAATTTGCAGGCAAATTCATACTGGAAGCGAATGCCAATCTGACAGCGACTCTGCGAGATCCTCTCTACAAGCAACCAGCCACCGATGCGCTGCTCGAGACCGAAAAGGTCATGCTGCGATGGCTCGACGACTGCGCCAGCAAGGCTAACAAGTCACAGTGCCTGCTGCTCGAATACGGCAAGACGCCCTCGGAGATACTAGCTCGCGTCGACCAAGCGTGGGCAAAGTTGTACGACCATCCGCGTTTTGTCAAGCCGGGCAACAAGACGTATCCCGCCGGCGACAGCGCGTTGAATGGCCTGATCACCATTGCAGCGTATCGAGACATGATATTCAGGGCGATGAACATGTACTCTTACGATTGGTGGGACAATCGGGACGACTACATGACCTGGACCTGGAAGACGATGCTCGATGACGATTGGGACTTGGCATATGCCATCGCCTTTAACGACACATATTCCATCACGGGAGGAGGCGGCGCAGGCAATCACACGGACGGAACAGCCTGGAACTCTATCACGCAACTCGTCTACTGTCTGGACGCGGCAAACGACGACAACGTGACAGTCGACGACTTGGTGCAAGAAATTTCCCACAGAGCCATCCGCACCTCTAGACACTTTGCCCCGGCTCCGAAGAGCGAATTCTTCACATCTTGCTCGCGCTTGGGTTGGTCGCATCCAGCAGGCAGATGGGAGGGAGCCATCTTGGCCTCTCAACCTCGCACGACCCCACTCTTTGTCTCTAACAAGTACGACTCCATCACACCGCGAGCTAATGCTGAGGAAGCCGTCCGAAAGTTGGGAAGAGCAAATGCTTATCTGGTCGTGGACCCCGGGTATGGTCACGAGACCTGGGGAAGAAAGAATACGACTTGTACTTTCGAAGCGCGAAAGACGTACTGGAAGGATGGCAAATTGGCCAAGGATACTCTTTTCTGCTAATGCAAAAGCCGAACAAGTTCCACGAACCCTTGAACAGGCTTCGCCATCAAAGGCAACATCGTTGACCAGAGCCGGAAGAACAGAGTCTGCAAGGAGCTAGTAGTAGTAGTATTGAGCATGCATGTACAAAGATGATGAAATTTTGAAACTTGATACAAGTCATTGTCAGAATCTCGACCTCGCGAAATTGTGTGCAAATTGACAAGGGCTGTGTAGCTGCTTTCGATTGGCCTCTACCGCCTTGGCAATCTGGCTCCTCGCTTGTCAAAGCTGACAAAGACGAGGTCATACCCTTCGAACTCGTACAAGATCCTGTCCGTACGTCGGTAGCCGAGCAGCTCGAGCGAGTGCAATTTGGTGCCAGCATCGGCATTGAGCAGAGTGGAAGCATTCAGCGTCGATGTGGTATCCGTTTCCGCATCCGCGTTGGCATGGCCCACAGCCTCTGACGCATCTTCGCCCGATTCACTCTCCTCGACTCGAGAAGTGGAGACAAAAAGAGTGACGCTCAGCCGACCAGGCTCAAAGATGCTCACTACCCGCTCGACCAAGCCTTCGAAGCTGTTGATGCCCGCCTTTGCGAGCGCATTATTCTCGCCCGTAGCAGCCCCCTCTGACTCCCCGAATGTAGTAGGCTCGACAGTCTCGATCTCCACGTTGGTCTCAAAGCTTGCATAGCTGCTGTCCTCCTCCGGTGTAACGTGGACAGTCCAATAGCCTGCGCCGTTGAAGGCAGACTCGGCAACAAGCGCGTTTGCAGAGTAGCCGCAAGGCTCAAAGGCGTATGCATCGAGCTCAGAATTGGGAAACAGAGCACTGAGACCCAAAAGGTCTGAGGTCTGCTCTCCCAAGTGATGCCCCCGGTCAACTCCAGCCGGTGCGAGAAGCGATGCAGGATACGCGAATCGGGCACAAGACGCCGGTGAGAGGTGCGTCATGAGCACTTCAAGCGTTTGATCGCTTCCAGGGTGGCCCAATGAGGGTAGAGCCAGAGGCCTTTCGATGGGGGCGTGATCGTCTTGAAGTCCAATCAGCTTGTTCGCAAAGACTGATGCAGCTCGTTGCTCTTGGTCTGAGGCATCGGCTAAAGCCATGTACAACAACCAATGGTCTCCGTTCATCTTCCCCACAGTGTAGGCGGAGCCCCTCTCGATGTACCTGTCCAGCACCGCAACTTCCAGCATCCAATCCCTGTGTGGTCCCTTTTGCCTCTCGGGAAACATGAAGCTCTTTCGAGAGTAGAATGCCGTCTGCACGATTTGACCGAGTGCTCGAGCGGACTTCTCTTCGCGTGAAGAGATGACCACGGCAGAGTCGGAGCACGCGATCGGCTTCTCCTCGGCCTCCGCCTCAGCAGGAAGCGCCTGGCCGAGCGCTTCGTGTGCGAGACGCAAGATGCGCTCCAGCCCAAGCAGAAGTGTCGTCGTACCGCAGGTCTTGAGGATGAGCTTATGGGGAAAGACGAACATTGAAGATTCGCTGCATGAAATGAAGCGAGGTGGTAAGACATATAGCTTGCGAACCAAACATCGAGGCGTGGTGTAATTTCCAACAAACTCACCTGAGCAGGAAAGCGTCGCAGTTCTCGTTCTCGATCACACTCAACACTTTGCAGCTGACAAGATCCAGCATGGCCTCCCATCTGGGTCTCTCTATCGCACAAAGGCCCCTCTTGGGACCTTGAGCTGATGTACCCTTCATAGCTGTGTCGGGAAGTGCTGAAGCTGAAGGGGCAAACCAGAGCTCGAGGAGCTTCTCTGGACCCTCGAATGGACCTTGCGGCTCCTCGTCATCTTCCTTTGTCGCTAGCTGCTGGTGAGATTCGGCGACTTGCAATCCCTCGCCTCGACTGAGGGAGTGGGAGGCATCGGCATCGCGGGGCGTCGACTTAGCGCTCAAGTGCAGCTTGGAAAGCGCATCTGCGGTATCGTGTCCCCGTGGCAGTGCAAGAGCGGGCATTTGCAGTGTTGCAGACTGAGCCACTGCTCTTGGCGTGTTTGTGCTCAGATGTTGGTCAAAAGGCGAGCCTGGAGAGTGCGCCAGTGATGTCATTTGTCTGATGACACGCTAATGGTCGAATCCAGAGAAGCCGAGTCTGAGAAATGAATGAGGAAGTTGGGCCGCTTGGCGATGCTAGGGCGGGCAGAGTGGAAGCGGTAGAGGTGGAGGGTCGGGAATGCGATCGAGCGGAGGAAGAGCCTGAACCTTGGATGGAGGGAGAGAGCAAGGTTTGTATGCCGGGCGGGGCGAGACGGAGCTCAGAAAAGCGGTGATGTTGGGAAGCGGTGAGCGGTGACTTGAAGGTAAGGCTCTATTATCAGGATCGTCAGTTGACATTGAAGGAAGCGGACGCGGGGAGCAGCAACAGGGTTGCGGATGGCGAGGTGCTGGCAGCGACCAAAGGAAGCTGCTCGAGGAGTTCTCGAGCGTGGACGCCTCTTGAAGCTGGCGAGTGCTTGTCGGGCAGGGCTTGGTGTTGGGCGCAATCACAATGTGGCCTCGATGTGCGTCAGTCGAGTGAGAGGCTTGGTGGCGAGGGGTAAGAACAGAAATGCGCGTATATAGCGATTGACGATCAACGCTTGACGAAGATAGCAGTGACCGGGTGCTTTGGTGGATGAGAAGGGCAATCACAATGAAGGCTGTCCGATGCTCACCGCAGACACCTATCCGAATGGCCCATTGCAATCTTCAATTCTGGCTCTTCTTGGCTCATGCATCGCGGCAGCGCAGGCACAGAACGGAGGGAAGAAAATCTTGGTGTAGCCGCAGCGGAGCTTCGAGGGAGAATTTGAAATAAACAATACAAATTGGCACCTCGTTCAGGGCAGCTAATCCATCCTGACGGTCTGTGGCTGACTAGCCCTGCTCTAGCGCCTCACAAGCCACCGCGTCTGGACTTTAAATTGGTGCTGCTGCTTTTTGGCGCGCGACCGGCCATGTCAATTTGAATCTTCAGGTCGCCCGCACGCGCGCATATATATATATATATGTACCATGCATCATCTCAATAATAATCACGAATAATAATCTTGACTCTGATTCCAGTTGGGCAATGCGCACTTCGACCTACACTCCGCGGCACTCCTGACTGATGCTGTCCATCCGCCGCATCAATTAATTGAGCGCCCCTCACACGATTTGGTGCATCGGGCGTATATGGTCCAGCCGCTCTGCACCGCCGCGTTCTCTATACCGTGCGTGAGTTCAGCTCGAATTGGCCTGCCTGCATGCAAAGGCGGGGCTTGGGCTGCTCACAACTGCGCACGCGCAGCTATTTGGTTGCGTAAGTTACCTCCACAACATCCTCGTCATATCAGCCTCAAATCCTCCCTCGCAGCAGACACTCCACCACGCAGCGTCGCAACGCATCACTTGCGGTCCACAGGGCTCACTTGGCCACATCTTGCATCCAGCAAACATCTCTCACTCTCCATCAAAATTCTCTTTCCTTCCTCTGTGGTACGTGATTGCCACTTGGAGCAGCATCGCCTTCGTGCCTCAAGCTTTCACTTCCGCAAGCACAAAGATGAGGCGGCCTCGATCTTCTTTACAGCGTTTGGTGGTGGCGATGGCGAGTGTCATATTGCTGTCGTCTTCTCACAATCAAGCATTGCAAATAGAGACCTTTACGGGCAGTCCAGCCAATCTAGCCAGTCTAGTCATGCAATCCGTTCCAAGCACTTTGCACGATTGGTGGGGTAGCGATGACTCTGCCGAGGCAGGCGTTATCAAAGGATTTAGACTAGCGTCCGCCCACCATCAATCTTACGACGGTCGAAGGGCCATGTATGCGCCATGGCAGCGTCCCAGCATCGAGCGGCTTAGCCTACAGACCGGAGGCGAGATGCGAAGCTTGAACGCTCAGCCTTTCGCTTTGCGATCCGTGCAGAAACCTGTCACGCGGCTGCGCGATCCGAAGAAATATCTCGAGGCAAGACGGAAAGACTTCGTAGGAGCCCTGTCTGCATTCCAGGCGGATGAAGACTCGTTCGAGACAGTGTCCATCTCTCAGCCCAACGTATCTGACCGACTTACCCTCAGGACGCTCGCGCAGATGTCAAATCTGGCCTACTACGCGCCCAACGATACGGGCGTGCCAGATGGAGGTTGGAACGCTGATGGAGGCTGGAACTTGAGCAGCAGCTTTGGTTGGGTCGAGGACGGCATTCGAGGTCATGTGTTTGCCAGTGAGGATAATAAGACTGTTGTGCTGGCGCTGAAGGGCACCAGCGCTGCAGTGCTCCCGGGTGGCGGAGGAGAGACAGCAAGGAGAGATAAGATGAACGTGAGTGGTGAATGCGATTCGAGGGTGCCACGTCCTCATGGACATGCTGACCAAGGATGGCGTTACACTTTCAGGACAACTTGCTCTTCTCGTGCTGCTGCGCCCATGTCGGTTGGACATGGCACACCGTTTGTGACTGCTTTGGGGACTCTGCTCCGCCCGACGACCCAGACGGCAATTTGACTTCCATCGGATCAGAGCTGTATCGAGCAGCCTCTGTGCCAACTTGTAGCAAGAACTGTCTTTCGCGAGCCTTGGTGGAGAAGAGTCTGTACTACCCGGCGACAACAGATCTTTACAACAATGTCAGCTATTTGTATCCTGACAGCCAAATTTGGGTGAGGGGACTGTTGAACTTATGCGTAGCCCCTCCGCGCTTTCGAAATATAGCTCACGGTGCATGCGACCACTCGACAACTCTTGACAGGTGACTGGCCACTCTTTGGGAGGAGCTCTTGGAGCCTTGATCGGATACACTTTCGGCGTGCCTGTCGTCTCATTCGAAGCGCCAGCAGAGAGGATGGCCGCTCAGCGACTTCATTTGCCATTCCCAAAGGGCCACACACCGGCTGATGCGGCGCACGTGACCAGTGTTTATCATACCGCTGATCCTATCCCTAGTGAGTAGGCCTGCGTAATCGTGTCCACGTTCCAGACGTTACGAAGCGAAGTTAGCAGGCGCTACGAGCTTGACGCTGACTTTTTTTGCGTCATGCGGCAGTGGGAGAATGCATCGGTTCAATCAGCGCGTGCGCCACCGCCGGCTTTGCAATGGAATCCAAGTGCCACGGCGGTCAAGTTGTGCTGTACGACACGGAAAGGCTGCTGGACTGGAGCAGTAACGTGCTGACGCACCGCATAGCCACGCTGGTGGATGACGTGTTTGGGATGGACTGGGGAGACAAAGTCAGGGAGTATCAAGAGGGCAAGAAAGGATCCAAAATTGATGAAGACGAGCTGAAGAGATTACAACAGACGCCCCTCATCACGAATGAGCGCAAATGCGTTGGTAAGTCTTGAGCATCAAGAAGAGATGCTATTGTGCTCCACGCACCACGCTGATGCCACACACGCCTGTCCGAAAATGCTGCAGAGTGCCAAGCGTGGAAGTATGTGGACAAGGATCTGCCGTCCAAAGCGGAATATGGTCTGTCTATCAACAGCTAGGTGACTCCCCTTTCCGATACGGAAACGCGCTTCTCATGCAAGTGGCAACGGCATCCACGGTCATCTCTCGGCTCTCCCACAACATATTCACCCTTTGCATGCAGCACTCCTTTCCCCCAATGTTGTAACAGTACAGAAAACATCTGCAGTCCTGCGTCTTGACCCTGTTGATACGGAACTTGCCTCGCAATGCAGATACATCTGATCGATGCCCCCTCGCCTCGGAGTCGACACTGTGCCGCCTGACCGATGATTGGGCGGTGCGCTCTCTGTTGCATTGCGGTGTATGGTGTATGAAGAATGGTCACAAAGTGCAGATGTGTGAGGGACGGGGACTTGAACGCCAAGGGACTGGGGAGGGGTGAATCACGGATCGTGAATGTCCGTCGGTCCTGACCGGCCGAGCGAACGAGCGAACGGCCCACGCTCCTCGCGCCTCGCAGGACAACTTGACGTCCGACGCGCAAAGTCGCGAGGTGCGAGGTCTAAACTTTTATCTACTCACTTTTATCGACAATTCGCGATTCATGACTAACATTCACACAGATTCGCATCGTGCTTTACTGCTTCGCTCATTCACGATGCACGATTGGGGAACCTCGGTAAGCAGCCTTTATGCGTGCATCGCCGCCCATCATCCCCAAAGCGCGTCTCACGGCTCTCACTGACCTGTCGTCAGCTCTGAGCACCTCGAGGAATCGATTGGCCAACGCTTCGTTTGTAATCGCGCAAAACAGGATTGCTCGGCCTTGAGGCGATAACGCCCGAAAGGCAGGCACATCTTGACTCAATAGTTCCCGCTCGGCTATCGCACTCCAAGATGAACATCAATCGAGGCGAATGGAACTTGTAGTCTTCGTAGCCATCACACAATGGCGCGACCCACCCGAGCGGCAGCTCGAACGGCTCGAGCAGCTTCGCAGTCACAGCTTCGCTCGACCGGTTTCTCACCAACGCTGTCTCGATCCAGCGCCGAATCTTCGCCCGAGTCAGAGGTGGCTCTTTACCCATCCGCTTCTGGCTCCTCTTTCGCACTGCCTTCGCAGGCCGATAGCGATGAGAGCGATTGGCAAGCTTCCGATTCGCACCCGGACGCGAACGCGAGGTCCAACAGGAATGCGTATGGTCAGGCATCCACATCTGGTCCATCCGACGCGAACAGAAGACCGTCCAGCTCTGCAGACTCGGCGTGCGAGGAGAAAGAAGGTGAAGAGCGCGCAGAGAGGAGAGCACGACTCAAACAGAGCTTGACTCCACGCAGGAAGAATTTGACGAGGCAAGAGCTGGATATGTTTGACGATCTGCTCAAGGTCGACATGAGTCCCGCTGCGCAATGGTTAACTCAGAGCGGTCTCAAGGTGGGTAATTTGATGTCTGAGCAATCTCTGGCTCGACGTAGAGGCAAACGCAAAGAGCGTCAAGCAGACTGGGAGCTAGCACAAGATGGGAATCGCAGAGGCGCGGAGCTTTCCGAGATGGATCTGGAAATCACACACAGGCTCAGGACTGTTGACGGCAGGAAATCATCGATAGGAGCGAGCATCGACTACTGTCATCCTCCCAAGCCCGATATGACGAGCAGCAGATGGCCCTCACAGCAGGTGGAAGGCATGGCGCTCATCGATGAGCTGCAAGCGGTCATGAGAGCCGAAAGGGATGAGCGCCGTGAGCGCAAGCGTGGGATTGGCGCGGTTCGAAGGGCTTCCAAATGCCACGCTGGCGCGGACGTGGAGATGCGGACCTCCCCGAAGGAGACCCGTAGCAAGCAGATGAGCGAATCGCACGACAGTGATTCCTCGAGCAGCGGCTCGTCTACATCATCAGCATCGAGTAGCAGCGCAAGCAGCAGCAGCAGCAGCAGCAGCTCATCAAGCAGCGCAAAATCCAGAGCATCTCCACGTTCGGACAGCGGTTCATCAGGCTCGGGTCACTCATCACTCTTCGATGCAGGCTCAAATTTGCGTTCAAGATCACTATCACCACCCCAAGATCTACTGCCCAGAGCCCTTCGTTTACAATCGGCGCTATTTCGCTTGCTACATCAATGCACCCCGAGCGCGTACATTCTCCGACCTCGATTGGATGGACAGAGCGTGCTCGACAGGCTCGAAGCTGCTGGAGCTTCTCTCGAGGATGTGGAGAATGTTGCTGAGCGATTGAAGGGCATCGTCGATCTCGAGGTACGCGGCGCAAAGCCGCGCTGGGCATCTGAGGAGCAGCATGAGAGAGAAGATTACGAGATGACTTTTTCGGGATTGGCAGGAATGGGTCGAAAAAGGTCCGGCGAGGCGGACATGTACAGCCCTTTGGGCCCTTGTGGATGGTCCCACTTTCGTCGTCGGAGGAAGCCCTCAGCCTGGGAAACGTCTCATTATTCCAGATTTGCCTATTTGCGAACTCCAAACTGCGATGTGCGGGGAGTGCTCGATGATCCGCTCCTCGTTCCTTCTGTCCCTGCCTCCACCATTCCACACGCGAACAACACGGCGGGCTTGGAGACGCTTCTAGCTCCCAAAGCTTTCAGGAGACGAAGGACGGTACTGGACAAGTCGATTTTGCTGGTGACTTCAGAGGAAGCGGTATCGCAAGCGGGTGCTCCAATCAAGATTACGAGGAAGCCTCAGCCGAGCGACGGCCCCGACAAGGAGCCCGTAGAGACCTTCCCTGCAAATGAACGGCTGGAGAAGTTGATGTACAAGAGGAAGATCTTGAAGCTGGTCATGAAAGTTGAGGAGAGACAGGCGGAACAGGAAAGGATCAACGCGCTTGTGCGCCCTTTTCGATCCGAAAAAGGTGTGCAAGAAGGGGGCAGGGGAGATGAGGTGCAAAGGACGCCAGGGTCGCTAGTGCGCATCAAGCAGGAAATGCACGAGGATGCTTTGGGCCAAACGTCGCAGATTGCAGAGGAAAGTGGGCAGGATCGTCGTGCAGCGGGCAAAGTTGCCGATGGGCGACAAGCTCCGGAAGCCTCTCCCTCTCCCGAGCAAGACGTATCAGTAGGCAGAGCAACGCGGAAACGCTCCAGAGTCTCCGCTCCCGCTACCACGCCCGAATCGCATCCGCAGAGGGCTAAACGGGCCAAGCAGTCATGATGTCACTTTTCCATCGTCTCGCAACACCCTCTTCGAAGGCCGGCATGAAGCGTATCGGAGCATATAAGCATCACATTGGTATCAAAATGGGCGCTGTTTGTACAGATCGATGGGCGAATAATTTTATGAAGAAGGCAAGGGGCCTACCTGGACAGTCTCTCTGGCCCTCCTCTCGGCTTCTTTTCTCTTCTCCCTGACGGCTTTGTTATGCTTCTTTGCTTGCTTCTCCCATCTCGCCTTGGCCCCGTGCTGCAACTTCGTCAAGATGATGCTGGCTTGACCTTTTGTCAGAGCAGGCAAGGCATCTCCCGGACGAGGCGACCGATTTTTTATATTCCATTCGCTTCTTCGAGAGTCTTCTTCGGCGTCCTGCACCGATGCTAGCGCTGCCCTGGTCTTGTCGAGACCCAGTCGCTTCTCTACAAAAGCGCGTTGCTTTTCGCTGGAAGGTCTGGATCTCCATGGTGACGTCCTCGCTAGCAGACCAGTCCCTGGGGCGGCTCTGCCAACGCGTTTGATGGCGTATGAATCGGCACCGCGAATGGCTGCTTCGAGCTCGCTGGCTCTCAAGATTTCCGTCGGGCGCCGAAAAGGAGAAAACCGCTTCTTACCTCTCGGACTGCCACCCGATGCCGCCGCCGCTTCGTCGGCGTCCGCATTACGCGCTGTGAAGTGTGCGACCCATTCTTTTTGCACATGACGAATCGGATAAGCTTCCAGGAACAGGCAAAGCACATTCCCATTCTGCATCGTCTCACCTCCTGTCCCTTCCGCTTTGCCTTCTTCGTCTCGCTCGACCTTTACGTATCCCTTCTTCGGCGGCAAGTCTAGCACATAAATATCATCTCCACAATCGACCCAAGCATTTGGGCTCATCCGCTCAATGATGCCTCTGGTTCGCGACATCATTGCTTGTTGCAATTCGAGTGGACCCCACTCTTCATAAGTTACCTTCGAGGGATCGGGGATCTCTGTCTCGTTGATCTCCTCAGTCTCGCTGTCCTGCTGAGAGTCTTCGCCGTTCTTCTCCCGCGAGTCAGCTACAGCACGCAAGTCTTCAACGCTTGCTTCTGAGAGGGCAGAGGAAGGCGTGTTCAGGGGTGTCTACACGCTTTCCGCTACGCACTGGAGGCATCTCGCTCACCATTGACGCTGTCCGGATCTAGACCGAAAAGGGTAGGGCTGCAGACAACGCCCCTCTCAAGCGTGCCGACCAGGTCCAGCATGAGGCAGTCGGCCTTTCCAGTGGCCTGGGAGAGACGCATTCCTCTTCCAATCATCTGAGAGAACAAGTTCCGACTGCGTGTAGGCCTGGCGAGGAGCACGCAGTCAATGGCAGGTACGTCCGCACCTTCTGTGAGGACTGCACAGTTTACGAGGACAGGATACACCCCATCCTTGAAGTCTTGCAACAATTGTCTTCGCTCCCTGATGGGCGTAGAGCCATGTAGCCAGCGCGCGTCGATGCCAGCTTGACGGAACTCGGCAGTCAGTGATTCCACATGAGCAATATTGACGCAGAAGACCAACGTTGAGCGACGACCTTTCGCTTTGTCGAGCCATGTGCGAACTATCAAGCGATTGATCACCGGCTTATCCACCACAGCAGCGAGTGAGCTTGGTGAAAAATCTCCAGAAGGCCCCGTGAGTCGCACTTCGGAAAAGTCGATGGAGGCTCGAACAGCGGTGAAGCGCACAGGACAAAGCCTGATGGGAGCAAAGAAAAGCAGGCCAAGCTCAGCATTTTAGGGCAGCTCATTTGAGCTTTGACCTAGTCTCACCACTCCTCCTCAATCATCTGTGGCGAAATCAACGTTGACATTAGCAGCTAGACGAACTCGCCAGAGTAGGCCGAGCTCACCTCCAAAAAGTCTCGGTGGAAGACTATGCGCTCAAAAACTGAGCCCAGAGCCACACCGTCGTGCCGTGCGAACGTAGCTGAGAATCCGATGATCGGCAAATCGTGCTTGGCAAGTGCAGCTTCCATCGGGAAAACGGGCTGCTTCACGTCTTCTTCAACGTCATCCTGCGAGAGTGTCTCTGGTCGCCCTACATTTGGATTGAAATGATGGAGGATGCTCCTGTAGCTTGGACTTGCAGCATGATGCGCTTCATCGACGATGACGCCTTTGAAGTTCCTTGGATCGAACTTATTCAATCGTCCTTCCGATCTATTCAGCGTTTGGATGGTGGCGACTGTTACGTCGGCTGCTCCTGTAGCGTGAAACTTAGATCCTTGCTCGATCTCGACCAGTAAGGAAGGATAAGTTCTGCCCACCACCTCTGCAGTCTGAAGCGCTAGCTCGATTGAGGACACGATAATGAGGACTTGATTTGCTGATCTGCCGTACTTGGCCGGTAGTTGCGGCAAGCGCGCTAGCAGAGAGGTGAAGATTGTGGTCTGTGAGGGAAGGACCAAATCGATGAATTGATTGGAATACACATAAGGATACCTTGGAAAGAGGATACGCACCTTGCCGCTCCCCGTGGGAGAGCTGACGCCTATCCGCTTGAATCCTTCGCTGATTGCTTGCAAGCACTCGATGACGCATTCCTCTGTTTGCACAAGCAATCTTGAATCGTCAGTGAACCAGCATGCAGACGCCGCGTGATCTTTCGTGAAGTACCTTGATACGGTCTGAGCTTGGGGCCCTGATTCAGAAGCTCAGAGGCCGGCTGAGAGGGTTCCAAGCCATCAGGCTTGAGTGCTACGTCGTTTGACTTGACTTGGCCTGCTGCTTGTGTCGTCATGGGTGCGCTTGAGGTGTTGAGAAAATGGCGAGCCACCTGCTTGTTTGCAAACACGCTATGGCCACGTTCAGAGGCAGTTTGAGTCGTAATCTTGCCATTTCCAGAAACAAGCTTTGAATTGCTTAAGGTCGGAGCGGAAAAGCCTCGCCGACTCGGGATGGAAAGGCACGACGCTCCAAATTGGGAGCAGAGCGGACGACACCAGCTTGGACCGAACGGTTTCATACCTCAGGCTTGATGTGTCGAGCTTCACTGAGTAGGTGATCTCCAGTCAGAGGTCGATGTCGCTTGCAACCTCCTCTTCCGTCTTTTGGCGGAGATGCTCCTAGTTCTTACGAATGCTGTGTATCGAAAGAGAGACGACATCGGGGCTCAGCTGGAATCTCATCGCTCTTTATGAGGTTGTAGCAGGCAGCGGGTACTCTCGGCAATGAGGCAGCGAAGGCGATGAGGCGATGATGATGATGATGATGACAGATGAGGCACAGATGATGATGAGCTAGCGATGTGTTGCATGCGAGGAGGAACACAGGAAGCGCCGTGTGGAGAGTCAGCTCACGTGACCCCAAAGCACGGATGAGACGGGTAAATTTCTATTCGGAGATGAGTGCATATTACAAACGGAGCTAGACAACGGCATATATGGACGCACCAAAATGCGCGGCGCCATGAATTTGAATGCGCTGCTCTTTGCGCCACTCAGAAGTCACTCATTCACGATTGGTGAGCCAAATTCATATGCACGGATCTCACCCCCGCGCCTGCCGTTGGATGCTGCAGCCGCCGCTGATGACGGTACCTCGACGCGTGACTGCGCGAGGCTGAAGATGGCTTCATAGGCGAACAGCATTCTGCCAGAATTGGTCCACAATCAACACAGCAAGGCACTCGAGACAATCTCTCTTTGAACGGCGCGAGTCACAACGCGGTCACACTTTTCCAAGCGATCCCACGACTCTAGCCTCGCAGCGACGATAAGACTCATCAATCTCTCCTGTCGTCCAGCGCAGAACACGAGATTGACAGCACTGAGGCAGGGCGTCAATCAGCCACGCGTTTGAACATACTTTGCGCACGCTCGCTTGCTCAATCGAGGTACTCGACTGGCTCTCAAGATGGTGTCACAAGCTGAGCTGGAAGCTGCCATCAGGGCAAAGGTGGATGGTGTCACAGCACTGGTAAGTAGCGTTGCTGAGCTCGGACATCCGCATGTCTAGCGGATGCGACATGTCCAGCTCTCTCGCTGACCCTACATTGCTCTGTATATCTGTGCACAGGTTGTGTCTGACGTCTCCGGTGGATGTGGACAAGTAAGTGACAGTTGCAGGCATTGACAATTTGGCAACACATGGCCCGGAGGGGCGAAAGGCGCTCTTGCAGGGACACAAAGCTTGCTGGTCAGAAGGCCGCCTAGGGCGTGGCTCTACAGTAGCGCAAGCACCCAGCGATGGATCTCTCATTACTAGAGAAGCTGATTGCGCTGCTCATCGCCTTCAGGCCTACGACGTCATCATTGTTTCTCCGATTTTTGAGGGGTGAGCCAGTGCCAGCTAGATCTGTGCCCGTTCAAGCGCTTTATGCTCATCTTCTGATGCTGCATGCACAGCCTTGCGACGCTGAAGAGACATCGCCTAGTCAACGACTTGCTCAAGGACCAGATTGCAGAGCTTCACGCGTTCTCCCAAAAGACCTTCACACCTAAGCAGTATGAAGTGAGTCCGCTTCGATCGGAACTTGCGCAAGCGCAGGAGCAGGGCAGGACACAAGAGAGCGTGAATGGATACTAGAGGCGATGGGTACATGGACAGCTCCGGCTCCATCAATCTTGTCGCGATACACGCCTGCTGCTCAGGATGGACCTAGAAGCCAAATACATGAATGGACAATCCCGTGCATTTAGCCGGACCTTTGGTTGCGAAGTGCGACTTTGTGCAAGAATCGTTGTCGGAACGACGTGCTGCAAACTGCCTCGGATCAGCGAGCCTTGCCCATCTGACGCATACACGACTGTCCCCCTGCCTAGGAACAAGGTGCCAAAGCGGTCACAGTGCCAGCTGATGTGCCATCGACTGCTCAAGCACCAGCGCCCAGCTCTACGCTGCAAGGCTTGTCACCAGCCGCGAGCGGCAAGAAATCGCATCATCGGTCTACATCCTCAATATCGGTCCCAGAGTTGACTCTTACGACGGATCATGATGACTTGGTTGGTGGACCTCAAAGTGGAAGCAGACCACTGACGCCCGGACATCAAGGACCGAGCCACGGACCTTTGCAAGACTCGCAAGGCAGAATGACGTCAAGCGCGAGCATCAGCAATTTGCATTTGGCGCGGATCAGCAGGTGAGTGAGCCACGGGCAGACCGTTAGGAGAGAAAGATTGCTTGCTCAGCTGCTCACGAGTTCCCCGCGGAAAATCATCCGCCTCAACTCCAGTGTCGGTAAGTGAAGCCTGAGGCGCCCAACATCTCCGTTGGCTCTTGTCTCTGACAGATTCCGGTCTGCCTCGACGACAGAATTCTGGGACGGCTTGCGCGCCTTCTTGGAGGGACAGTTCTTGGGGCCTCAAGGTGAGGCGGGCTCAGCATCGCCGAATACCAATGGCCGCACGAAGGGGGAAGCCGAGATGAGTCGGTGAGTCGTTGTCAAATCTACAGCAGGGCTTCTCGTCTCCGAGCGCAATCACGATGGTCGCCCTGCTGATTGAATTATTGCGGACCGGTACAGAATCTTTGAGGACGTGCTTTCGAGCCAGAGATCCTATCTCACTGGTATGTGTGCTACGCATTCTCATTTGCTTTGAGGTCGCACGCTCACCGCCGGCCCTCTCTTTCGAAACTCAGCGAGTGACATCGCAAAGATTAGAGATGGCACGGGTATGACTGGGCAAGGAGGTGTCTGATCTTACACGACCTCCGGGTCGTCAGACTACCTCCAGTCACAGAGTACTCGGGCTGCCCTGTCCCGACAAAATTGGACTCAGCAGTCATGCCTGGTACATTCCCGCAATTTGCGATTCATGTCTAATGCATTTTTGATTGAACATCGAATGCATCCGACAAAACGTCTTGACACGGCTTTGGAGCCGTCGTCTGTGTTCGCGTAGCTTGAGCTCGGATATCCCTACAAATGATGCTCTAGTTCAAGCTCACGTCCTCTCGAGCTACAACACTTTGATGCTCAAGCACCAGACACAAAGTTGTCTGACTCAATTTCAGCTATTTTGACTCCGATGGACGAGGTCGCGAATCAGGATCGAATGACCAGCCAAAAGATTTGGCTGTGGGATTCCCGATTCTGATTGAAGATCAGAGCCAAAATCTTGAATCGTGAATTTTGAATCAAGAATCAAATCTTGACTTCACGATCCACATTGGGGTATCACGTGAAGTCGCGCGCACGTTCCATGCAAGACCGTGCTGCTGCATCATCCGATGAGTTTGCTGCGTTTGCTGCGTTTGACAGGCGATCTGAAAGTGAGTGGTCCATGGAAGAAGAGGCACGAGGTAGCAAAGCATGCATGTACAACAGCATGTACCATGGCCGCCGGGCCGGAAGCGCTCGTACAATTCACGCCATTAGTTTCGTGCCTCGCAGCGCGCCTGGCAACGGAATCTTCCTCTTCAGCTGTCATCAGCTTGGTGACCTTTCCGCTGTCATACCTCGCTCTATCAGAGGTTGAGACATCCGCGCTTCGACGATTCGGGCAGCATCCCTCTCCATCACACTGATAGCGCCCAAAGTGCTTATGGTGTCCCCCGTCTCTTTCTCACGCAGCTCAAAGCCGGACTTGGGTCCGGAAGGAGCAAGTCAGTCATCTTAGAAACGCGCAAGCTTCAACTTTGATCAAATCGAGTCTGACCACCCGCGAGACTTCACTCATCTTCGAACACAGTCGTGCAATATGGCGCTGGCATCCAACACGTCCTCACCCTCGAGGTCGACCTCGAGCACCTCTCCTTCCAAAAGGGCGAGCCCATCTGACGTCATCTTTGCAAACAATCACGCCCAAGATGTTTCACCTTCCATCGGTACTGTACTCGGGGGTCTGGCAGGCTCGAGCGGTATGCGTCGATCCATCACCGAAGAGCTGGGGCTTATCGCGGATGCTCGCAAGGATCGGTCGAGGTCTGCCTCTGCTTCCAGATCGAGGGAGCAGAGCATCGCACCCGCATCAGCCGTCGCTGGGGCTCGGATGGGCAGCGATGGTCTTTCAGCCAGATCTGGTGGAGCAGCAAGCGGATCCGCACCAGGCTCGGGCTCCATAACTTCTGCGCCTGCTTCAGGATCAGCGTCGGGCAGCTTGGGAGCATCTTCGAACATGGGCAGCGGGAGCGTCAGCAATGGCGGGGAAAGGAGGTCTGCAACCGCGTTGGGCAGCACTACGACACATCGCACAACGCCGCCGTCCGAAAAGGCAAAGCAAGCATCCATTGCTTCAACTAGCAGTCTGGCTGCGACTGGGGAGCCATCGACTAGGGTTCTACCCGGCTCTTTCGAAGATGCACAGCCAGACGACGTTATCGTACTCGTAGGTGAGTAGTCGTGATGAGGGATCAGTTGCTTTCTCTGGGTTGCATGCAGTCACACAAAGCTGATCTCCGTTCGAAATCGTTCTTGACATCCATTCCGCGCCGCTCAGCGGACATGCTCACGCGATTGACAACACACAATGATCAGCTGCCGCTGCATCCATCTGCCTTGACGCGGTTCCACTCGAGGGCGACACCCGCAATCAGTATCGAATCGTACTTACACCGCATCGCCAGATACACTTCTTTGGACAAATCTTGCGCCCTCATTCTGCTGGTATATATAGACAGGGTATGCGAAAGGATGGAGGGCTTTACAGTCTGCAGCCTCACCGTGCACCGCTTCGTGTGCGCTGCGGTTGTATGCGCTTCGAAAGCGCTGTGCGACGCCTTCAGCACCAACGGACACTACGCCCGCGTAGGAGGCATTTCTCTCATAGAACTCAACATGCTGGAGAAAGAGTTGCTGAACATCATCGATTGGAGACTGACCTGCAGTGGGGTGCTCTTGCAGCATTACTATTCCTCGCTCGTCAGGTCGCATCCAGATTTTCAACTTGCTGCTGAGCCAGATTCTATGGACTTCCTCATGCACAGCGCTGAGGATCTCCAAGCGGAAGCTCGAGGAGTCTCCAGCGTTAGGGACGAGGAGGACGAAACCATGGATGACGCTGTACCTACCAAAGAAGTGATCAATAAAGCGAACTTGCGGCCCTCTGAGCGCTCGACTGCGCACGGGACGGCTGCAGCAGGAGACGCGCATGAAACCTTTACGAGCACGCCGAGCGCACCGACACATACCACCAATGCTACTTCGTCAGTGAGTCTAAGAATGCTCACAAGCTCACACAAGCAGGTTTGCGCTGGTCCATTAACGTTAGGATGTATTTCATTGCTCTTTCTGGTCAGCGCAGTACTAGTGAGGAGGTGACGTCGCCAGCGAGCCATCAGGTGAAAGCTGGAGCTTCAGCTTCAGCTGCGAGGCAATTTGTCGTGCCGGAAAGTGCACCTCACCTTCATATTTGGGTTGTGGATGTCAGCGAGCACTCCGCTCTACTCTGTCGTGGCGGCGATGCCAAAGATGTCGCTGCGGAGCTGCTGCCTGATGGCGAAGCTCGATCTGTCGCGCGATTCGTCAGACATGTGGACCGAGCACGTGAGTGGAAGGTGCCTTGGGGTATGCTGCAGGGATTCAAGAATGACTGTCCTCACGCGTTGGCATTTCGATTCCCACTTGCAGGAAGCCTCGCGGGCAAATTACTCGTTCGCTTGGCCATGACCATCCTCGTCGAGGAGTGCCGAGTCGCAGGTTGGCCTCGATTGCGCTTTGAAAAGGAGGCCGAGGGGAGGCCTTTCTTGGTGAGCCAAGGGATAGGAGCTAGGCCCATCTCAACTTGATGCTGACGGTTCTGTGAACCCGTTACAGGCACATCCATCGGTACAAAAGCTGGACTACAACATCACTCATGACAGCGACTGGGTTGCGCTTGCCATCCAGGTGCCCGCCTCGGATTCGGATGACTGGATCGACTCAAAGGTCGGCATCGACGTGATGGAACTATCTCTGCCTCACTTCGAGCCCAATATCCACAGCTTCGTCAGCACAATGGAGCTCGCTTTGACAGCACGGGAATCGCACTGGATCCTACGCGCACTGGACCAGCGAGTGGATGCGCCAGCCACCGAGGCTGAGGCTTTGCGACGATTGTACGACCTCTGGACGCACAAGGAAGCGTACACAAAGGCCATCGGAAAAGGGCTCGGCTTCGACTTCACCCGACTTGAGTTGCGACTGTGGGATTGCATTGCGACTGAGCCACGAGCTACGAAATCACCATTGGTCCAGATTGATCTGGCAGCCAAACGAGCTCTCGTTGCGTCCACCGAGCGGGCGAATCGCCGGGGTGACAACATTATGCACAGCGATGGCGTCGTTGTGCCACACTACAGCTTCACCGAGTTGCTTCTTCCCCCGGGCAGAGCACACGCGCTTCGCAGAGAGAATGCTGCACCACACTTGGCGGATCTGAAACCTGGAGAGGGCACCGGAGCACCCAGTCAGCTCGTTCTCGCCCGTGGCCCACTTGCCGGGTCCGAGGCTCGAGGTGGCCAATCGAGTAGCACTCAGATCGCACCTACTGTCGAGCTGGAGCTCGCCAAAGCGCAGGGCTGGTTCAGGAGTTTTACTTTGGATGAGATCATTTCGGCTAGCCGCACGGCTGCTCGACGCTGACTGCCGCAACGGTCGAGCAAATTCACACACCAGACCTTCACACGCACCGGAATTGTCACGTAGCATTATTCAACCCAACCCCTGCAAATTCACGTCTTGGCTTAAGCCATCTCCTGCATCTGTATTTAGTGCACAACAAAGTAGAATAGAATAGCAACGAGAAGCGCCTCAATCCTGTCACCATCGTCATGGATAGTGGAGCCTCCGACCTGCTTCCTCTCTCTCTCATGTGAGAGGGTATCCGCAAGTCGTGAGACTGGCTCGATCACAGAAGCTGCATGGCTTTGATGATCGCTGACCTCCGCAATCGAGAACATTGTCGAGCACACTCTCCAGCATTCACGATTCTTGATTGTAATCAACGATTCGAGACCTTCATCAAACGATATGCGACAACAGGTATAGCAGCTATAGGAAGCAAGACTGAGACTGTCCAGCTGTCGCTGCGACATTGCGTCACTCACACTGTACGGACAAAGGTGGGAAGGCTCAATATGCACGCGGAAGCAAGGCTGATGTGAGTCTTGAATCTCACATCTCAATTACTTGTCCTCTTCCCGAGGTCGAGTGATGGTGACTCGGTGAGTATGCTCGCGCTCACTACTCGTGACTCAGTGACTGTGCTGTATGACAGGTAGACCAGTCTGGGTCAAAGTCGCACTCAGACTTCTCCTTCCTTTCTCGTCCTTATAGCATTTGCGCTCACGCATGCACCTCTGGGCGCTTGTCGCCGCAACTCCGGAGAGGCCAAGTGAACCTGCATTGCAGCCCCGCGCGCGCAGCGATCCGTGCTGATGGACCGCCGCGTCACGCGAGCGAGGAGATCCTTTGCATGACCTTCATTCGTGATTGCTGGGCGGCGTTTCATGCGCGCTTGTCGGTGCCAAGAGATTCGCGCTGAACGCCGAAGTGCACATGAATAGCATCGCAGCACGTTACTCGAGCCTACTGGATCACGCTTGCTTTCGAGCCCCACGTTGCACTCACGACTCGGATGAGCAGAGCATTCGCACCCCTGCAATCGTCTGTCAAAAATTGCGCGGCAATCTCTGTTAACGCGCGCTTGGCGTGCGCACCTACAGACGCGAAAGCTGACACCTATAGTGTACAGTACAGTACAGAGGGGACAAGCCATGCTTTGTATTCAGTGATACGCTCACCCCCTCTGCTACAAATGAGCAGCGGGTCAAAGCGTTACGTCAAGCGGCGCCATGAGCCGCTAGTCTCCTAGCTATCTCGGTGTGTACTTTGTACAGCCTCAGCCCACGCTATATGCGGGTTCAAGTTACTCAGGCACTGTCGGAGTAACGCATCGGGCGAGGAGCAACCATCATGACGGGACAGCGTCTGTCTGTTCGCAACCAGCAGCAACTCTAGGGCTGTGACCGCGGGTACGTGATGCGGTGATGAAGACGCCGGTATACAGTTGTGACTCGTGAGAGAATGGGAGCAGAGGGCCGGCAAGTCTGAGATGAGTGCCGTGCATCTCAGCCCGACCATAACGCATATCAATTAACGTTCGGGTCGTGTGATGAGGCAGCATTCACACTCCATGACCAATCTCCACCCACAACTAACTGACTAGCTGCATGCATGACTGCTCTTGACCGAGCGCGTGAGCCTTCGATGCACCATATATCGAAGGGAGTTGCCGCCGCTGTCATACTTAAAGGGACCCGATCCCAAGCTGCACCCGCCCGCTATCCCCACCCTTCTCACAATCAAGCAGAACACACTCGTCGGGCTTTCACTTAACAGCGTAACTCGATCATCGCTCAAACCATCTCCGCCTTTCTCATAAATACAAAATGGCGAAGCCCAGAGGCAACAAGACGGCGCCCGTCTCTCGAGGACTGCTCATTGCGTTCTTGGTGTTGACAATCGTCACCGCTATATTTGCCGGCTTCGCCACAGCCTTTGCCCTTGAGTGGGGCGAGGAAGGGGCGGCCGCGTATGATACCAGCAATGCATCACTAGCCACGAACTGCATCGTGGTCATCTGGTGCCTCATTCCCGGAACCATCATACCTTCTTTGGATCTGGATCACCGTCTGGATCACAAAGGTCGTCTGTCTGCGTGGCTCATCCACATTGGTACGTGGCTTGTGTTTCCGCGAAGCTGAATCAGTAGGCGCTGACGAAAGATCCTATTGCCGTTCGTCAAAAGTCGTCAGTGCCTTCGCCCTGCTCGGCAGCTTCGGTGCCACGCTTGCGAAGGCTATAGTTCTCAACAGACTGGAGGAGAAATACAGAAACTACCAATATCACTTCCACAACTTGAGCTACCAGTACAACATTCAGTTCCCCTTCTGGTTCGTTTGTATCCTGCTGCAGATCGCAACCTTGACCGGTAAGTTTAGTCGTCGTTTGACCGCACAGAAGAGAGAACCGTCGAGCTGATCCTTGCCACTCTATTCACTTCGGCTTGGCAGTCGCGTGCATCTACCTCCACAAATTCCTCGCCGCTCGCAAGGACATCGAGCCCGCGAAGGTGGATGGATGGAATGAGCTGACTCGCCGCGGCTCCACGGCAAAGAGTGAGATTGATCACACACAGGCGTGATCACAAAGCTACGCGGCCCGAATAAAGACTTAGCAGGCAATGCTCCCCTACTCAAGTAAGAGCATGCTTCTTGTACATATTTTCACGATCTACGCGCGACGGACTAGGTGTAGAACCTCTATACGATTCGCTACTAATTCATAGCGCCAATGGTGCACATATCATGACGAAATCAAACCCTTGTACAGCCTGAAAGCGGTGAATCGATAGCACTTCCATTATTGGTACATCAATGTCCTTCGCTACTAATACAGCTGCGCGATATCGCGAAGAGAGTGACGAAACTAAACACAACTGCAGTCACTACCAACCGCGACCCCTGCCTCGCCTCATGTCGCCGCGAGCTCTACCTCCCCATCCACCACCTCTGGGGAAGCCTCTCGAGCCACCGCCCATCCAGCCGCGCCCTCTGCCTCGGAACGGCATGCTCGCTGGCGATCCGCTCGCAATGCCAGCACCAGCTCCTTCGCGCGGTGCTGGGATGGTGTGAGAAGCGTCAACGAAGCCATCTTCGCTTCCCCGAGGACCGCGAGGGACGCCTGCAAAGTCATCGATGGCCGTCGGACGAGCGGCGTACGTTCCAGGGGGTGCACCGGACTCCACGGAGAAGCTCCCACTGGAGCTCCTCGAGCCGCCTACGTCGACCGCATTGCCCGGTGGGCCTGCAGCAGCCGAGGGTAGCCGAGAGCCATGTGCAGGAGGACTCATGCTGCTCGCGCTGGCATTTGACACCGAGTTCGAGTGCATCCGACGAGCACCAACAATCGGAGAAATGTCTTCGCTACGCCCAGAGAAAGCACTGGACGCGGCTGCCACACTTGGTGAAGCAGTAGCAGCAGAGGCGTTGATCAGAGCTTTCGGTCCTCGAGGTGGGTTGAAAGCCGCAGGCGCCGCCGGTGGTCGAGGCGCAGATGTCGGAGTTTGCGGAGGACGTAAGCTTGGCATGTCGGACGCGATGGGACTGGGAGGCACGACTGGCCGAAATCCTGGCCTGAAGACGGATCGATTGCTAGCGACGTCTGCGCCGGTGTGATCTGACGCAAGTGGCGCTGGTGGCGCAGCACGGACGGGTGAAGTCGCACTGCCCATGGACCATGCCCCAGAAACACTCTTTCGAGGGCTCATGCTATCACCTCGGCTGCGGATGTCATCGCCCACAAAGCTGGAATCCGCGCGAACATGATCCGGTGCAAACGCAGTCTGAACGGAATGCATACCTGTGCCCACATTGAGGGGCTGCCTCCCTATACCGGTGTCGACCGTCATCTGACTTTGAGCTGGTGCAGGAGGCTGCGAGAAGTCCGCCAGACTAGCTCGTTGCGCAAAGCTAGAGTAGGAGGGTGTTTGGCCGGGCGCTGCACCTGATGGAACGTTCGAATATACTGATTGAGCGATCGGAGAGGGCGGAATAGAGCGAGGTGGTGTCGCGGGACGGGGTGGACGAGGCGCCGGGGGTGCGTATCGAGTGGCAAAGAAATCCCCGGCTCCCACCGCTGAATGCTGCACTTCCATGCCGGACGGAGAAACACCGCTTCCAGGCGGGCCAAGCCTGCTCTGCCCAGCAATCAAGGTCTCAAGTGGTGACGGGGGCACTTCGCTCGGAGTCGGTGGTGCAGCAGACGCAGCAGCTTCATTCGCTTGACGTTCTGCGAGACGCTTCTTGTACTCCGCCAAAGTGAGCTTTGCTCGTGGAGGTTCGACGCGAGCTGGAGGCGGAGCTGTGTCCGGAGTCTGCGTGAGCGCCAAATCTCCGACTCTGCTTTGGTTTCCCGTGGACTGTGGCACTTGCGAATCAAACGCTGATCCGTCCTCCAATACTGGCGACGATTCGAAGCTTGTGGCGCTTTGAACTTGCGCCACAGTCGCCCCAGGTGTCAAATCCTCTTCGAGCCCGCTCTCGTCTGTCGAGATGATGAGCCGTGGCTTCTTTGCCTTCACACTAGCCCGGACCACTTTCTTCTCCGGAGAGTTGCTCCTCTGTCGCTTATTCGGGGACAATTGGAGTTTGGGTTGCTCTTCTCCCGAGGACTCCGAGTCTCGAATGTCGGCGAGCGACAAGCGCTTTTGCTTCTCCTGCAGCTTCGCCATTTTCGACGCGGCCAGACGCTTGGCATTTCTACGCTTGATCGCTGATTCGGAAAGATCACTCGTAGCCTCGGACGCCTTTCGCTTCTTCTTGCTCCTTTCCTGTCCGCTCGCCTTCTTCTCGGGAGAAACCGAGCGTGCAGTGCGCTCGGACTCGGATCCGCTGGGCATAAGGGACGCTCGCCGCTTCTTGTCCGGCCGTTCAAGCATCACTTTGTCCGCCCTCAGAGGCTCCTCGATCTTGCTCTGATCACCATGCTTGAGCGAATTGCGGCGCTCGGATTGGGTCGAAAGCTTCCGCTGAATCGTAGGCGCCGGGCTCAGGCTCTCGTCCGACGAATAATCCTTTCCATCATCGGGCGCCGACGTGAGTGGAGAACTAGGCTCATGCAGCTTGCCGGACTTCCTCCGCTTCTTTTTGCTCGATTGTCGTGGCTGAAGCCCCTCATCCCCACTATCGTCGTGCACTTTGACGCGACAAGGTGAAGCGCGCTCAGTGGGCTCTTTGCGCGGGCGACCTCGCGACTTGAGCTTGCGCGTTTGTTCGAGCAGAGCTTGTGCCTTGGAAACTTTTCTCACGCCGGTCACAGTGGCTTTGCGAGTCGTTTGTTGAGTGGGTAGACCAGGCGTTGGCAGCGGTGTAGTGTGTACTTTGGAAGCTCTCCGTCGCCCCGCAGCGCCCGCGCGCTCAGCATCGGAATCCTCATCGCCCGAGTAGGTCGCTTTGAGGCGGGTGCCAGAAACGCGTTTCTTGTGGGGCAACAATCTTGGTGCATCCCACGCGTCTTCCGGATCGGACTGTTCTGGTCTGAGATCGATGGTGCCTTTGTTCGAAAGCAGAGCACTGACGTCATCTTCGTCATCGACTTCGTCAAGATCCGAAAGCCCTGACAGAGGTTCTGTCAACGAGGAAGCGCGCGAGCGGCGATCGTCCTCAATGTCTGGTAGAAGCTCAGCTTCACGCACATCCTTAGCAGTGCGTTTCAGCTCGGCAATTGCGCGAAGGTAATCTTCCTCGCCAACGCGTCCGACGTGACCCGTTGGCGTACGCTTGTATGGCACGTCCAGATGGTGCAAGAGCAAGTCTCGCTGGCGATTTGCCACCTCATCAGGTGTCGTCTCAGGCGTCGGAGGCAAGCTGAGAGGTCTCCACCACCTCCGCACCCCGACCAATGGTAAGAAGTCGGGCTGTCGGATCTTGCGATGACTCTTGTTTCCCGGCATTACGACATTCAAAGGGGCCATGCCTTGAGCTAGTCGGAGCATCTGTGCGATGGCGCAATCCTGCTTTCTAGAGTTGTGCGCGCTCGCTGTCCCACCTTGACCACCCGGAGGAACGGCTGATCCAATGCAAGCGCAGAGCGACATGCCTAGCAGGACAGCGAGCACTGCGTTCATAGATGCGGCGAACCGCGCGTTGGCATATGGGAACTCTCCTCGCTCAGCGAGTGTTGCCATGGCAGCGCTTCTGCGTTCTCGCTCTGTCGTGCGGACTCCCGAGGCCACTTTGGCTGCAATAGCTGCTGCAGCTAGAGCAGCCGCGCTGGCGCCCTCACCGCCAGGTGGTGCAGGAGGCAAGCCCAATGCGGGATCTTTGACAAGCGAGGGAAGCAAATGGACAATGTGCTCGTCGTCCCATTCCCAGCCCAGTGTGATTTCGTGAGTTCGTGAAATGTCCGTTAATGCGAAAATTCCAAACAGCAGCTCCGGTTCCCGCTCTGGTCGCTTGAAGGATGGTCCGAGACTACTGAAATGATCCGCGTCCTCAGATCTCACTAGCTCCGCTTCGGCAGTGCGGGTGAACAGAATAGGCCGCAAGACAGCGTTGGGGTGGCAGGAGGCACGTGCGAAGCGGGCCTCGGTGCCGAAACGTCTGGCGTCGATGGCCACGGCAAGGGGAGGTGGAAACAGATGAACGTGTGGCTTGACTGTGCCGACTTGAGCGTACTGATTTATGGGATTGGCTCGATACGCTGCGGTGCTGAGCAACTCTCCGCGATATTCGGAAATGAAGCTTCCCGCAGCAATTGGCGAGTCTGCAAAGAGGCCGTGCATTGTAGGCCTGGAGAAGGTGCGAGAGGCACACCACGGCCTAGCCGGCTCTGTCGGAAGCGGCACGATGGACATCACATTGGAGAAGATGCTCGCAGCTGCACCTTCCGATATATGCTTGACGTAGGTCGGCTGTTGCAAGCTGGCCAAAGTAGGTCCCTCGATAGCGATGGGGACGCACTCATTGCCCACCGCTGCGAGACCCCACGGCTCCACGTCTTCTGGAGAATCCAAAGCAGGAACAGGCCCAGCTACAGGAGCAATGACTCCTATACCGCTCGAGCTTGGCTGCGTGGGCCAAGGCTCTGCGTCCTCACTTTCGTACTCTGCCATTGCAGCTGCCAAGCTAGTGAGTGCGCGGGGCTCAACCACAAGATTCCTGGAGATTGGTGTGAACTCAGTGTGCCAAGCTTCAGATCTATCCATGCTCCTCTCGTCGGCCTCTGCTATGCTTGACAAGCCAATGTTGGGTGGAGCAGCAGCAGCGCCGCCTTGCGAAGCGGCGTCCGCGGCGTTGCTGCCTGCAATTCCTGCAAACCCCGAACGACCAGTCTGAGGGGGTGTCGCAGGGACCACACCTTCGGGCGCAGGGGTTTTGCGCCCACTTTTGGCACCCGAGCCCTTCTTCCGACCTTTTCCAGCTGGCTGATCATTAGGCATAGCAGGTGTCTGGCTAGTATCGAGGTTCAGCGTGGGCTTGCGACTACGCCCCTGGGTCTGGCCTTGAGGTGGAGTCGAGGACTGCGCCTCTACATGTGGCGATGCAGAGTTGTTGACTTGCTGCAGGACAGCCTGATCTCCTTGTTGGTGCTGCTGCAGCTGCTGTTGATGCGACCACAATTCGGCGCGTGCCTGTTCGAACTGCTGCTGCTGAGATTGTGACTGTGAGAGCCGTCTGGCTGTGTCGACAGCTTTGCGTGCTTCCGCTTCTCGCCTTCGCTGTTGATGTTGTTGAGCAAAGGCAACGTTGACTTCACGGGGGTCGCACATCTCGCACAGATACTCGTCTGGGACTGATGCTTGGGACATGCCGAAACAGGCACAATGCTGCCATACCAGACACCTCTCACACTGAATAGTGAAGCCGTCGTCTGTGTCGTAGCCGCAGATACACCTGTTAGGAAGAGTGTTAGACTATCAGTTTCGACCTTTCGGCAAAGATCGAAGTCGCGTCAAAGCGCACCGGATGACTCCACCTTCGTCGTCCACAGTCGCGTCGTCTCCATCATCCATATCGTCTTCATCTGCAAGGCCATCTGGTTGCTGTTGCTGGGATGGGCCAGCGCTCTCGAACGAGCTATTGGCATGCGAGACTGCCGTGACGTCAGCTATTGAGCGACCAGATTGGTGGGGGCTGCTGCTCGGCAAAAGCGAGGGCTTTGAGGAGATCAGCGCAGGCGGTGCTGGCGGTAGAGACTCTATAGGTTTTCGGGGCGAAGGCGGCATCGACTTTCGCCGAGAAAGGATACCATCGTGGTACTGAGGCTGAGGCTCAGAAACGATCGTGGTACCGCCAACTTGGCCTTCAGCGGTTCCCTCTCGCCGGTCGCGGATCGATGACTGTGCCTGAGTGGCACTATCATCTCCTTCATAGTCTTCATGGCCCGCCTTCGTCTGTGTCGCTAGCGCTGCTCCAGATCCTGAAACCTTCGCAGACGAGGTTGGTGTGATTACATCGACGCTCTTCTCATTGGTGCTTGCTGCACCGCGCTGAGGATCGTCGTCCATTGCTGATGTGGGAGCAGCGCCGGTCAACAAAGGATCGATTGCAGCGTCGCTATCTGACTCCTCAGGACCGACGCGAAGTGGCTTGGAAACTGAGGCATTGACCACGGGTAGGCTCAATTCAGACCCAGTTTCAACTTCACTGGTTGGAGCGGGTGGTGGCGCCAAGGTCGCACCCTCTGAATCGACTTCCATCGTGGAGAGACTTGCTCAAAGAGTGAGCAGGATAAGAACGATCCGGCCGCTCATGGCGTAGCACTTGATGCTGAGGCCTTCTGAATCAGGGACCGAGACTCGAGAGGGGCGTGGCTATGAGCGTGGCGGAGAGGACGAAGCGAAGTCAGAGGCGGTGGGCATGTGGCTCATGGAGGCCCTTTCCTTGGATGTGAGCGAGGAAAGCTGCCTGGAACATGAAGCGTGATTCTGATTGATCCCTTGGGCGTCAAGGCATGGAGATCTCGAGGTTGTGCTGAGAAGATGACCACAGTTGCGAGTCGCATTCGTGAGTGCTGGCGACTCCTTGACTCTTGACTCAAGACTCTGGACATGAGAGGCAGATCTGCAACCACGTGGCTGATGTACGTGCCTGCATGCAGCCCCGGCCAGTCAAAAAAAGACGTCGGTCTCGCTCAGCTTCAGATCGCGCGAGTGCTGCATGCTCTCTCAGCTCGACCCTTGATTTGTGCAGCCAGGCAGGCGCAGCGTGTGCTGACAGACGCGCGCGGGAAAGCTGGCCTCGAGACCGTGCATCCGTCGCGGCGTGTGATTCTGTATAGCTGATGCCGATGCAGTCAGTAGTGAGTCTGATGAGTCACCATTCGTGAGTGTATCGCCGGCAAGCACGGGAGAGAGAATACCTCCTCAAGTCACTCTGCGCTCATCCACCATCTCACCGTCGCCGCCTGAACGCTAGACAGTGTGGTAACGCTTCAATCGCTTTCAACAAATACCTTCCACCATTCCATAGGCTTGACAAGTCGTCACAAGTCTGTGCGTCTTCTGGCAAATTTGCGCATCGCTTGCCACACGACACTTGGACACACCATGTCGCTCCCGTCGCGAGTGGTCCAAAAGGCATGCAGAGCCACTTCTTCCACTGCTCCCCTTCGTCAAGCGGCAAGTCGTACGAGCTGTTCCATCGCCACCAGAGGTTATGCTACTGCTTCGGCCCCCAACCAAGCCAGCGTCGTGCCAAACGTTCAGCCAGAGGTTCGCGCAGGTAGAGGAAGTATTCAACGTGCCAACAAAGGTGAGTGGCAAGTACCAAGATGGGAGTGATTTACGCTTTGTCGAATCTAGGACTAATTGCTTTGTTCTTTCAATGCTCCGCAGAATTCAGTGAGCTGCTCGCCACAGCGCAACCAGGCAGCAGCGCCAAGCGACCCATCTACCTGGATGCACAAGCTACCACGCCAGTGGACCCCAGAGTTCTCGATGCGATGCTTCCCTACTTGACGAACCAATACGGCAACCCTCATTCGAGAACTCATGCCTACGGCTGGGAATCAGAGGCAGCCGTAGAGGAAGCCCGCGAACATGTCGCCAAACTTATTGGCGCAGATAGCAAAGAGATCATCTTCACTTCTGGAGCCACCGAGAGCAACAATATGAGCTTGAAAGGAGTTGCTCATTTTTATGGCTCAAAGAAGAAGCACATCATCACTACTCAGACGGAGCACAAGTGCGTGTTGGACTCTGCTAGGAAATTGCAGGAGGAAGGTTTCGAAGTCACCTACTTGCCAGTGCAGGAGGATGGACTGATCTCTTTGGAGCAATTGGAGGCTGCTCTGCGACCCGATACGGCCGTCGTCAGCATCATGGCAGTGAACAATGAGATCGGCGTGATTCAGCCGCTGAAGGAAATCGGCGCGCTTCTCAAGACAAAAGGAGCAGCCCTGGCTAAAGAGCAAGGACTCTCGGGCAAGCCGCTCTTCCACACTGATGCAGCGCAGGCGGCAGGCAAGATTGACCTGGATGTCGACGCCCTCGGCATAGATCTGATGAGCCTGTCTTCCCACAAGATCTACGGACCAAAGGGCGTAGGCGCCTGTTACGTCCGAAGGCGGCCTCGTGTCAGACTTGAGCCCATCATCAGTGGTGGTGGACAGGAGAGAGGATTGAGGAGCGGCACTCTGGCACCGCACCTCCTCGTTGGCTTCGGTGAGGCGGCCAGACTTGCCAAGCAAGAGATGAAGGTGAGCCGCGAGTCCCTTTTGCTTCTATTCCGCAATGATGAAGTCAAAGCACCGCCTGGAACAAGCCATGGCTGCTTACGTTTCGAGAACAAGCTCGCTCTGCTGGGGTTGCGGTGTACTCTGCGATGCTCTCCTGGGGCGATCTGCAATCTCGAGATGGGCGCTGTACTGGTTGGCAGGTAGCGGACGCTTTCGTCGATCTTGCCGACCGGCAGAGCGAATGACTGCGCGTGCAGGGGTCTTGAGCGGGTGTGCGGCGCAGGGTTTTGGAGGTTGAACTCTTGACTGACATGCAGCACGCCTTGACACGCCTTGACGACAGTACGACCACGCCCATATTTCTGCTCTGGCGGATTACCTGAAGAAGACGCTTATGGACGCTATCCCCTACGTGCTCGTCAATGGATCTGCAGACCAATCTAAGCACTACCCAGGCTGCACAAATCTTTCGTTCCAGTATGTTGAGGGGGAGTCGCTGCTCATGGCGCTCAAGGATATCTGCCTCTCTTCTGGATCCGCCTGCACGAGCGCATCTTTGGAACCCAGCTACGTTCTTAGAGCGCTTGGTCTGGACGACGAGAACGCGCACTCCAGTCTCAGATTCGGCATTGGTAGATTCACCACCCAAGCAGAAGTTGACTACGTGGCTGAGAAGATCATCACGGTCGTCGAGAGGCTTCGTGAAATGTCGTGAGTATTTTATATCGATTTGACATCGCTTGGGTGCAAATTTGGTGCTGACAATTTCACTCATCCGATTCACTCGCAGACCTCTGTATGAAATGGTGCAGGAGGGCATTGACCTCAAGTCTATCCAGTGGAGCGGCTAGACGTCTCGACTCGGCTGCACCTCGTGTGATTCTTACGTGTCCTCTTGCTGCATTCAACCCCTTCGAGCTTAGACTCTGCCAATCGCGCGTCGTGTTTGATTCGTTTGTGTCAGTCAGAGTGTGTGGGTTGGTGACAACGACAAGAAATTGACGAGCGGTCTGAAGTTTGAGATCAGGTAAAACAATTTCATTGAGAGTTCCAATTGTAATTCAACAGGCTGAAATGGTCACATTGGAGAATAAGAATCATGAGGGATGCTGAGCCGTGCAGGTGCGCGGCTGCATGAGTCGAGAGTGGTGAGTGTTGAGCTGCGAGTGGTCCGTCGGCGATAAGGTGCGTACGGGATTTAGACGCGGATAGCTGCGCGCGAAGCCACCCCGAGCTGTGTTGCAGCAGCAAGACAGACGCAGATCATCAACCGAATCACGAACGTGGTGTGAAAGGGACACGCGGCGGCGTGACGGCCTCTCTCCTCTCTCATCCATTCACGATTACACCATTCCTACGCTGCGACTGCTCGCAGGTTCAGCTCCAACATTAGGGTTGAATTCGATTCCTCACACTTGATCGAGAAGCTGACGAGTGTGCTTGCTCTCCCAACGAACGCCGCATTCAGTCCCACTCGCGCACGACCCTGGCCTGCTACAGTACTGGACTAGACAGCATGCCAGGAGAGCCAAAGTCGAGCGAGGCTCAAGAGGCCAATCTCGCCTCGCTCAGCCTCTCGGACGCTGGCAGTGCCGAACAGTCCAGCGCGTCGACATCAGCTCGTGTCATCAATGCTCCTTCCGGATCAGTCGATGCAACGCATAGCAGCGGGAATCAAGCAGCTTCCAGCAGCAGCACTGCGGTCAAAAAACAGGCGAGGTTAGCAGATCTGCCACCAATCCCACCTTCGGCGCCAAAAGAGCCGGAGAGCGATGATGAGCTGGAGCATGAAGAAGTCGAGGAGACTGTCGATGCAGCGGGAGAAGAGGATGCGGATGCGGACGGTGAGGAGGGAGTAGAAAACTTACTGGCGGACTACGCTGATGATGAGAATGTGAGTGTGCGCTACACCATCAGGCTAGGGCAAGCGTGCTCTGGCATTGCTGTCGCTTTCTACAATGCTCCATCGCTTGCTCATTCTCGCTCTATCGCTCCCAGTACATCGACTTGACACACCTGAAGCTCTCCAACAAATCCTTGAAGCGCCTCAACCTACCTCGATTCTCAAAATCTCTGCATAGATTAGGCTTGCGACAAAACGAGATAAGCAAGATCACTCTGCGCGATATTGGGTCCTTGTCCGAATTGAAGGACTTGGATCTGTACGACAATGGCTTGGAAAAGACGTACGGTGATGTCTTGCAGCAGGGGTGCTCGCAGCTAGAGTGAGTGCGCAATCAAGAATGGGCGACTGTTCAAACGGGCGCTTAACAATAGCAGCATCACTTGATGCCTTAGAACGCTCGATTACTCCTTCAACTCCATCAGGCACATCTCACACCTGCAGGAGTTGGGGCACTTGAGGACGCTATATTTTGTACAGAACAAAATATCTCGCGTGAGACCAGGCGACCTGGAAGGCTCGATCGCCACAAATTTGCGGAGCTTGGAACTGGGTGGCAATCGCTTGAGGGTGCGTTTCGCCATTGCTCATCAGTCTGGGCCGATAGCGAGTGCTGAATTTGCACCACTTTGTCATTTCCTACGATCAGGCGATCGAGAACATCGGTCAGCTGACGCAGCTAGAAGAGCTGTGGCTGGGCAAGAACAAGATTACGAAGCTAGAGGTGAGTCTAATGGGGTTTTTGAGCGGCTTCACTGCGCTTCTGACGCCCATCTGTGCCACGACAGAATCTCGACTCTCTAGTGAACCTGCGAATATTGAGCATTCAGTCCAATCGAATCACCAAGCTAGAGAATTTGGCGAATCTCGTGAATCTGGAAGAGCTCTACATTAGTCACAATGGACTGAGCAAGATAGAGGGGCTGGAGCAGTGCAGAAAGCTCACCACGCTTGACATAGGTGCCAATCGCATTGCTCGGATCGAGAACGTGGACCATTTGAAGGACTTGGAAGAGTTCTGGGTAAGTCTTCAGTCCACGCTACCAGCGCCATGGTGTCTGCAGAGCATTTCAAGTAAGCTGAGACGTGCGACTGTCCATGCCCAACGCAGGCTAACGACAATCAGATTCCAGACTTGAATGCTCTTGAAGCGCAATTGGGAACTGAAAAGTGTCCCAATTTGAACACGGTGTACCTGGAGGGCAACCCCGCTCAGAGATCCGAAGGACCAGCGTACAGGCGCAAAATCATCCTCGCCCTTCCGCAGCTCACACAGATCGATGCGACCGCTGTAAGACCGTTGCGAATCAGCTAGCTGATGTCAAGCGCTTCCAAGCGCGACTAGTCGAAAGTCTCGGAATCATTCGTGATCGTGGTCTCCACATTCTTAATGATCATGCGTGGTTCGTACCTGCCCCATCAGGACTAACAAGTCAAAATCTGCTGCACTCATGGAAAGCAGCTCGATCGTCCTTTGCACCACCGAGTCATCGCCACACCAGCAGCAGGGATCCTTTTTTCGCCCGCGGCCGCGGTCAGTCAGAGGCAGCCACATCAGCAGCATGCGCGTTGATACATATATATAGCTTGCAAGGTCAGTCATGACCCTGAGGCACCCCGAGCAAAAGGCGCAACTCCGCGGTCAGGCAGTCAAAGCAGTCTTGCGCGATCACGAATCTTGGACGGTGCTGAATGATGACAGTCTAACATGGATCGTAATGAGAGTGCGCCACGAACAGTCCATAAACGTAGGAGTTCGTCGTCCATGAAAATTGAATCAAGAACGCTTGGTTGGCCTGGGAGATGCGAGAATCGTGGGCTTCTTTGTTCAGCGATTCGTGATTGGCGCTCCCTACTTTTGCGCGGAAGAGGACTCAGACTGCATGGTGGTTGTGAAAGAAGAAAAGTGGATCTCATTGGTCTTTGTATACAAGAGACGGCTCCCAGAAAGAGTTTGGAGGTTCCAGTTCAGAGAATCATATCGCCGCTCGCATGCTGCTTGGATGCACATTTTCCATTTTTGTTTCGCTGATTCTTGATCCGTGATTCCTTGCTTGCTGTACAGAATGTGAGTATATAATACAAGATAGGCATCAGCAATCACGAATGTGACGACATGTCAAGGCGTTCCGTCTGAACGAGCATGTTGAGGAATTGTAGATTAGACATTCCGAATTCTACCCACATTCAAGGTTTGGCGCGAGTGTATGGACCTGATTTACGAATCGTGACGGGTATCTACCGTGCTCACTCACGATTCTGATTATATATTATTTTTGCGCATCGCACGTATATCGATCGTTGCATGCTGCTTCGCAGTCATGAGTCATGCGAGTCACAGCCAGCAGCAGCAGCAGCAGCATGCAAAGTGCGTGAGATGTCTCACGTCAAGGCTGAGCAATCAACAACCACCAAGCATGCGCTCTGAGCGCGAGCTATATACGATGTCTATATATAGTCGTGACTCGAGAGTCGAGCGTATGATGAGCAATCATGAATCAAGAATCAGAAGGCTTCTGTTATTGTGCCAGTTGCGCACAAGTCGTGATAGTGGTCAAGTCAAGTCATTATTATAGCTGGAGGACCAGTGCCGAAAATCGATCTCGATCGCGCCCGCGTGCGTCCGCGTTATCCTAGCTGAATCGTCATTCACAATTGGTCTTGGGAGGATCAGGGGTCGTCGCATGGGGGCCGGGATCAGAGGTGCAATTAAGATGGAGCTGACACACATGTGAAACACAATCATCTTCTGTCCTTTATTGGAATTTTGAATACGAGAGACCAGATCAAGAGACCGCGCATGCCATAGGGAGGGTGATGGTGAATGCCAAATATACCATCAGCAGAGCGATGATGCAGAGCGCTGGCTTTCTGAGCAAATCTGTCAAATTTGCTGCAGGCAATTCTTGTACACCGAAAGAGCGCGCAAAGGTCGCTCTTCGACTCGAGTAAGCATGTACGTACGATTCTAGACTTATACAGACTCAGACTGGATGATCTGAGGAGTCGCTCTTCCACGCGTCAATGAGACCGGCGCAAGTCGAGGCACGATGGACCTCGACTTCAAGTGGCTTGCTTGTGTCAATCCCGAACAGGTCCAGAATAAGAGGGTACAATCGTGAATATGCCAGCTTGACTGTTTGACTCTGAACAGCATTCTCAGCCGCCATCCGCACTCGCGGCTGCCTCCATCCCTTCATCTCCTCACAAAATCCCATAGCATCCGCTTCTTGACGCAATCCTTCTTTAGGCGCCGCGCTTCACCGACCCACTCCCCTTCAGAGTCCCGCATCAGGCTCTTCTGTCCAGCTCGACACACTTCCGTCATCCATATCCTCCCGCCGATCTTGGAACCTCACGATGAAGGCGACCAAACCTTTTTCGCTCTTCTCGCTCGTTCACTGGGTCATCCTCTCTACGCTCTGCGTGATGATCCTCGGCGCGCCTTTAAGACACGCGCATGATTACAGCGCGTCCCACTCTGCTTTTCTCGAGAGCTCTCATATGCCGCATCGTGGTCTGCTTCGCCAGTGTGAGTGCTGCGTTGTGCGAACGCGTTCGAGGGAGGGCGCTCCGAAAGGCGGCTTTCGTGCAGGCGAGCTGATAGAGAGCACTTCGGGACCCCATCGTGCTTCGCAGCCCCCTTGCGCCTACACACGACCGAAGCGGAGGTAATGTGGATCGACGTACGTCATTCGACAAGCAGCAAGTTCGCCAACGCCCAAACACTTGCCAGACGTTCCTTTGGCTCCGCATTCGGGTTCAGCTCTTCTTCTGTTGCGCATGACTTCTCAGCTGCTCAATTTCCATACGGACGCGTTCTGATCTCGCGAGACTCCAACTCCAAAGACACGGGCAAAGGAAGCGGAGACAAGCATAGTCATACTCATCCCACCAAGTCGAGCGAGAACCAATCGTCGAGCACCCATGAGAAGACCTCTCTTGAGAAGGACTCCAAGGTGAAGGAGGAGAGCGCGCCGAAGATTCTGAGTGGTCAGAATGAGCAGAAATTCGCCTCACCGATCGTCGGTGGAATAGGAAACACCGTCAAAAGCTCTTTGTGGACCGGCATCGGCCTCTTGGGTAACCTCCTCGACAACTGGTCTCGAAAGCGCAAATGATCATCTTCGCGTATCTTCGAAACGCCTTGACGCAAGAAGTAGTCTGTCTGGTCGATGCCTTGCGCTTCGATACCAGGTCCAGCTTGCCGCGAGCAAGTTGAAGCATGGTGACTCTGCCAGGCCCTTCGCTCATCGCCGTCCATGCATAGCGCACCCAGACGAATACTACCGACACAAGCGCCTTCTCTTAAATGCCATATGCGCGTTCAAACGTCAGTTGCCCTGCAAGGCGCCCCTCTCGCTCTGTCTATTTCCCTCTCTCTCCTTTCTTTTTCTCCTTCTTCTCTCTCGGACCATCCTGAGACATCATCAGATGCGCGTTTGCGTGCTTCCTTACCCCTCAGATTCGCAATCTGAAGCGCTTTGCCTACGTCTTGAAATCTTGTTTCGTGTGAAAAGCGCCATTGAGGCCCTATCCGCGTTTACTCTCAATACTTGCCTTGACCTTCAATAGTCCTGATGAGTGTTCCAAAGAAGACCTACTTAGCAGCCGTGAGTGAGGCAGAGGTGTGCTGTTGGTCGTGCCGGATGTTGGAGCAAGAGGACATATACGATCAGCAAAGCAACACGATTCAAGATTCACGATTGCCTTTGGCTCCGTGAGCAACCACGTGGTGAAAGGCGCGCAAACGTGCAATGCAGGCGCGGCAAGTCAGTGAGTGTATGTGTGGGCATGCAGCAGCAACAGCAGCTCAAAATTTGGGTCGCTTCGTCGACGCGTCCGCTGCGTGACATCTTCGAGCTTCGCACAGGCTTCTCCATCATATGCACGCGCATTCATGAGACTCGTGACTTGCAATTCTTGATCTGCTCACGGCCACACTTCTCGACTCGTCTCGCCATTCCGACAGCTCTCTGATTGGCGCCATCTCCACGACTCGATCCACTCAATTTGCTAGCACACGTGTGGTCCACCCACGCACACTCTCCTCGTCTTCGGGGCTCTAACGTCACTTGCGAAACGCTGAGCTCAGTCCAACATGTCGGCTATCGAGCTGATCAACCCTCGGGCCGAGAGCGTCCGCAGGGCACAAGCACTTGCCGTCAATTGCGCAGGAGCGATGGGTCTGGCGAATGTGGTCAAGTCCAATTTGGGACCGCGAGGCACGATCAAAATGCTGGTGGATGGCAGTGGTAACCTCACGATGACGAAAGATGGTTGCAGATTGCTGAAGGAGATGCAGATTCAGAATCCTACCGCTTCGATGATTGCCCGGACTGCAGTCGCTCAGGACGATCAGTGTGGAGACGGTACCACCAGCGTTGTGCTTCTGGTAGGTGAATTGCTCAAGCAAGCAGAACGATACATTCAGGAAGGCGTTCATCCCCGCGTCATCAGTGAAGGCTTCGAGGTCGCAAAGGCTAGCACGCTGAAGGTGAATGAGGTCGCGCAAGCCCCGCACACCTGGACAGTAGTTGATCGGTCTTTCATTTCGATCACAGTTTCTAGAGGAGTTCAAGCAAACACCAACACTCGATCGCGCAGCTCTCGTGGCAGTAGCGCGCACTTCCCTTTCCACCAAATTGCACGCAAAGCTGGCAACACAGCTCGCCGGAGATGTCGTCGATGCTGTGCTGGCCATCAAGCCCTCCAAGAGCAGCCCTGTCTCTGCTCCAGCGCCCAAGGCTGGCGACAACACGACCGAGAACCCTGGCGAGTGGACAGTCACAGATCCTATCGATCTCCACATGGTCGAAATCATGAAGATGCAGCACAGACACGAGACGGATACCCAACTCGTCAAAGGTCTCGTGATGGATCACGGGGCACGACACGCAGATATGCCTCGCAGAGTCGAGAATGCCTACGTGCTTACTCTGAACGTTAGCTTGGAGTATGAGAAGACGGAGGTGAACTCTAGCTTCTTCTACTCCTCTGCAGAGCAAAGAGAGAAGCTGGTCGAGTCAGAAAGGAGGCACGTCGACGCCAAGCTCAAGAAGATTGTTGAGCTCAAAAAGGCAGTGTGCGATCAAGCTGTGGAAGGATCCAGCGAAAAGCCAAAGAAATTTGTGATTTTCAACCAAAAGGGCATCGACCCGCTTTCGCTAGACATCTTGGCCAAGAACGACATCCTCGCCCTGCGCCGCGCCAAGAGAAGGAACATGGAGCGATTGCAATTGTGCTGTGGAGGCGTCGCACAGAACTCGGTGGACGACTTGTCACCGGACGTGCTTGGCTACGCTGGTCTCGTTTACGAGCACACTCTGGGCGAGGAAAAGTACACGTTTGTGGAGGAGTGCAAGGAGCCGCAAAGTGTCACGCTGCTCATCAAGGGTGAGTCTTGTCGCCATCGACAACGCAAAATCACTGGCCATGGCTGACGAATGCGTGCCCTTGAATCTTTTCTTGCAGGCCCGAATGCGCACACAATGTCACAAATCCAAGATGCCATCCGAGACGGGTTGCGCTCTGTCAAGAATGCTATCGAGGACGCTGCGCTGGTTCCAGGCGGCGGTGCCTTCCAGATCGCGGCGGCCGCGCACTTGGTGGACAGTGTTGGCAAGAGCACAAAGGGACGCGCAAAGTTGGGTGTGCAGGCATTTGCGGACGCCCTTCTCGTCATTCCCAAAACTTTGGCTGCCAATGGCGGGTTCGATGTGCAGGATGCCATCGTCGCGCTGCAAGATGAGCACTCTGCCTCTCCCGGAAGTGTCGTTGGCTTGGACCTTACGACTGGCGAGCCCACGGATGTTGTCACGCAGGGCATCTGGGACAATTACAGAGTCATCAGGCACATGCTGCACAGCGCGTAAGTGTCGTCTTGTGCTATTGCGCGAGGCCTGTCACTGAATTGAAAGGCTGTTTTCGTTCGCTTCGCGCAGCTCCGTCATCGCAACCAACATCTTATCGGTGGACGAGCTTCTGCGCGCAGGACGAAGCACCCTGAAGAACGAGCCACCTCCAGGACAGTAGACAGAGCAGAAGGGTCATCACTTTGGCCAAGGATCTTTCGCGCATGGCTTGAGCCCTTGACGGAGGCCATGTAATGCTGTCATTGGCCCCTGATCACAATGTCGATCACGCTACTGTGACAGTTGTGGTGGGATCGTCGTTCATGAGCGTACAGATGTGACATTATCGCTGTGCGTTGCGCTGTCGCCGCAATGCGGATTACCATGAGGTTTTTAATATTCGTCCAGTGAGGATCAATTTGCGTTGCTTGCTTGCAGACAAATGCATACCCAAGGCATTGCAAATTTTGGACAGCTGTCATTATATCTTGCAGAGGTTTTCACCCCCCGGCCAAGGTGATGTTCGCGCTATCCCGCGGCGTGCCCGCGACGCGTGCGTGCACGGACGCGTTCTTTGGCTTGCCTGATTGCGAACGCGTCAATTTACGATGAGGCCGGAGAATCGCGTCTTTCTAGAAAAGGAAGACGCGCTGAGCTACCGGTGCATGGGGCTTCAATCAGCAGCATACCGCTCTTTCTGGAGGCAGGGGTCATGGAGAGCTGCTGCACGAGCATGAGCCGTGCACGCATTACGTCGGATCCAAAGCGAGCAGCGGCACGGATGTATAGCGAGCTTGATGATCCGTGCGGCCACAGCGTCGATTCCGATGACCCGCCCAAGTGTACAAAGTGCCAAAGAGACAGTCAACAGTGGTAGTAGTAGTATCAGAGATAGCGGCGGTCATTAGTGTGTAGGTGACGCAAAGAAAGCTGTCTGCTGGGTGCATGATGGCTAAGCAGTAGTCACGAGTACGAATGTGAGCGTGACGAGTCTGAGATGCGCACGAGTCGTGAGTCTCTTGAGTTGTGAGTCAAGAGTGCTGTACGTGCTGCGCTGTGCTGTGCGCGTTGCCGCTGCAGACTTTTTGGACACTTGGCGACTTTGTGTGCGCGCTTCCTTGACCAGAGAGAATAAGTCACGAGGATAGGCAGGGAGAGCTCTTTGCCTGACCTCGATGCCGGACGCCAACACTGTTTGCCATGCTCTATCCTCTGCTCTCACACTCATCCTCACAGCCGAAGAGCACTCTCACACCCAGCGGCCGGCCTTCCCACCAGCAGTCGTCCTCTATCTGACGCTACGATCTGCGGGTAAGGAACCTCATCTTCGATCCTACACGACTCCCGCGCGCTCGCGCAACGATTCGAGGTCCAACCCCAAGCTGGTGTTGGATTGCGCAGTTCTCCTCGCACGTGAACGAGATTGCAGTTGAGCAGATAAGACTCTCCTGCAGAGGGGTTCTGCATCCATCATTGCACCACCAAATCTCTCGAGCTAGACAGCACACTGCGGTCTGCTGCAAATCAGTCAAGCGTCAACATGGTGCGCACAGTCACCTTCGAAATCAGATGGCACGAGACGCAGCCTATCTACTCTTGCAACTTTCAGCCCATCTCCACTTCTCACTTGCGTCGTGTCTTGGACCACAATGCAGCACAAGGTGAGCAGCACGATGGGCTTGACTCGTGAAGTGCTGGAGTCGTCGGCTGACTCTCTCTACCATTCTTTCGCACCCTACCAGCAGCAGGCTTGGCCCCAGGCAAAACGCTCGAGCATGCGTCAGGAAGCAACACCAGCACGGCAAGTGTCTCTACACGGCCGACTGCTGCGTCTACAGCCAGTGCATCCGCACCTTTAACGTCACGCACTCAATTACCTATCATGGCTGGAGGCCAGAGCTGGCGCTTCGCTACTGCCGGAGGTGATAACACTGCTAGGGTGAGTCGTCAGGTCTCAGAGCGTAGATGAGGGGATACCATGAGAACTCATCGTCGTCGTCTGTCTTGTGCAACAGCTCTGGCAAGTGCACCCAAATATACCATCACCTGCTGCCCTAGCCGCGGCAGCTGCTGCCAGTGGAGGAGCATCGTTGCCAGCTCCCCATCCGCCGCGAGTCGAGTATCTTGCCGCGCTCAAACGACATTCCGGAGTGGTCAACTGCGTTCGCTTCAGTCCAAATGGAGAGCAGCTCGCGACAAGTGGAGATGGTGAGCTTGCTTGCGCATTCAAGATTCGACACGCAGCCTATCTCGGCTGAGCCTTATTCAAACCCGTTTCTTGAATGCAGACGGCACTGTCATCTTCTGGGCCCAGAGTGATCACTCAGCAACGACCTTCGGATCGACTAGTATTGGAGCTCTCGACGACGACCCCGACGCCGAATTTGCGAAGGAACACTGGTCCATCCGAAGGATCGCCCGTCCTAGCGCCAGTGAGATCTACGACCTCGCTTGGGCACCTGATGGCGAAGCAATCGTTGTTGGTGGGACAGACTTTGTCGCTCGCATTGTTAATCCGCACGACGGTGAGTAGGCCAAGACATTCTTAGCGAAGCAACGACATCTGAACGCATAATTTGCCCCAACCGCAGGATCCATTGTCCGCGAAATTGCGGAACATAGCCACTACGTGCAGGGAGTCGCATGGGACCCTTGGAATGAGCTGATTGCTACTCAGTCCTCGGACCGCAGTGTTCATGTGCATGCGTTGCTACGGCTTCACCATGCTGAAGCAGCTACCGGCACAATTTCCGGCACCAACACCATCAGCAGGAACTCGCGCATGGATATTCACCGCAGACAGGGCAGCGGCAGCGCGCAAGGGAGCACACTGATTTCAAATTCTTCCTACAGCTCTAACTCAGGCTCATCTCACGTCTCACATGGCTTCGTTTGGGACCCCACAGCCAAGCCCCCTATGAGGCGAGCAAGTAGTCACGCCTCGCATGCTAGTGCGAGCGATGACGACAGGAGAGAAGGCAGTGCAGTGCTCCATCAAAGCAGAGTCACTAGCGTCAGCACTCCCAACAGCGCCGGCCCTAGCAAAGCATTCGACCGCACTCGCAATGGTCGCAGCGCTACACCTCACGATTTGGCTGCACTGCCAAACGCCATCAGCAGCGCAGGCATCCGCTCCGCTACCCCTACGCCGGTTGCCGTGCCTCCTAGTCCGGCGATCTCCACCAGCGGAGCCTCCACATCGCATGCGATGAACCCACCTCAAACAACACCTTCTCGTCGTTCCAGCTTCAGCGGATCGCAAGCCGAGACGATGTCCCCCATGACTAGCACAACATCTTTGGCACCAGCATCAGTCATGGGTGCCAGTGCAAACAGCAACAAAGCCACTCGACGGAGCATGTCCCGCACTCGAGCTGCTGCGGCTGCATCTGCCACGCGCAGTCCTTCACCTGTTCCCCCACTGCCTGCGATCAGAGCGCCGCCTTCACCAAAGCAACGGCTTGCACAAGCTTCGGCCCAGGGCTCTCTGGCCCGTGTCGGCATGCGCATGTACGGCGACGAAAATTTCAGCGGCTTCTTCCGGAGGCTAGCCTTCTCTCCGGACGGTGCTTTGCTGGTCACACCTTCTGGCATCTTTGATGCGCCTCCGATGACTCCGAGCAGCCCCACGATGGCAATCGCGAGCACGAGCATCAGTGCCCGTCGAGGTTCCGAAGCTGCGCAAGACGCTAGAGCTAGTCCTGCGCCTCGTGCGAGCCCAGTGCCAACCGGATTCCCACCCTCTTTGGCACCCGTACCAGCGCCTCTTGCCCCCCGCAGCACCGTGTACATGTACGGACGCGCAAATCTTCTCAAGAGCAACGCACCTCTTGCACACTTGCCCGGTCACAAGACAGCAAGCCTGGTCGTGTCGTTCAGCCCTATGCTGTACGAGCTTCGCAGCAACGGGGGCAGGTCCTCGATCCACACGTCGGCTGGACCCAACGGTGGGGACCATGACGGTGGAATGTTGCCGCATCCAACGGTCCCTCTTGAAGTCGGCAAGCAGAAGACGGTGGCGTTGCAAAGCGCTGCTAGCGCAGCTGGTGGGTCTGCAAGCAGCACGGACGTTCATAACTTGGCAGATGTCGAAGACAAGAATCAAAAAGCCGTGGCAGATGGCGCCAATCAGGGCATCTCTATGATTGGTCTGCCCTACCGAATGATCTTTGCAGTCGCGACTCACGACTCGGTATGGATTTACGACACACAACAAGGTGGTCCCCTTTGCTGCTTCTCTAACATGCACTATGCCAGTTTTACGGATCTTGCTTGGTGAGTCGAGGCAATCGCACATCACCACTTTATTTCCTGACTCATTGCGTGCTCCCTCCTTAAAGGTCGCCCGATGGCCAAACCCTCATGATGTGCTCCACAGACGGCTATTGCTCTGTGGTCGTCTTCGATTACGGCGAGCTGGGTGCCCCTATCGCCCACACACAGCAACCTTGTCTGCAGAAGGCGGCCTCGCAAAATGCGCACGCTGCTGGCGCTGGACCTGCAGCGATGGCTCCGAGCAGCTCTTCCAGCGGTGTGTCGAGCGCACACAAGCGCAGTGCAAGCGGATCGATATCAGCGTCCACGCCGCATCATGTGACTTCGGCACTCGGACTCGGACTTGGAGATGCTATCGATAGCAGTCATACCGCGTCACCTCTTTCTAGCACCACCAAAGGGGCGAGCGATGTGGCAGGTGACGCAAGCGACGGGCAGTCCAAGAAGAAGCGAAGGGTTGCTCTGACGCTGGAAGGTCCTTTGGGAGGCCGGTGAAACTCTCTTGAAACTCTCTCCCCTCTTTCCCCCCCTTCTCGCTCCCAACCATATGCCCAAAGTTACGCGACGCGGTCACTCATTCGCCTCTGTCAACGTGGTTCGCTTGTCTGCTCGCGTCGCCAAAGTACGTTGATGACGAATTCCGATTCATCCGAGAGCATTGTACACTTGCCAATTTCATCCATGATTTGATCATACGTTAAGGAGATTCTTGGGGCCTTTGCAGGGAAACGTTGGGAAGCGAAAAAAGAGTACATGTTGAGAAAGCATAGGCGAGTCGCATGGCTCCAATGTAAAGTCTGATGCGGGCTTTGCTGCATACATCGAAGCGGGCAAGGATGAGCAAAGGTCAGAGCGAGTGGGAAACAAAAGGGGGGCAAAGTCGTACAAAGCGGCGCGGCAGGAGGAAAGTAGAGCCTCACAGGCCAATGCGTGCAGCGATTCTCGCTATGGGGGCAGCCAGAGTTGTCGCGGCGCCATGTGAGTGACCATCCTTAGCAGGCACAGAGGGCATGTACGAGGCCAAGTCGCGCCAAGAAAGGACCGAGTCGGTCGAAGCAAAGAAGAGGATCAAAAGGACAACGACGAGGGCTGGAAGCCAGAAGTACAGTAGCATGGGATCGTCCTGCAAGGTGGGCGTGCGCCGCAGAGAAGTTGTCCTTGAGCGCGTTTTGGTCTTGGTCGTTGTAGTGATGGATGCGTCAGCGTCCGCGTTCCTTGTTGCCCTGCGCTGCAGCTTGCTCTCGGTCTGCGATGAGACATCAACAGCTCGGGGCGTGACTGTGCCAGAGGTAGCGACGGACTCGCTCACGTCCTTCTCGGACGAGTTCGTAACGGCGGCGTGTGCTGTTGTCGTTGCTGGTGCAAGTGCCGAGCTGCTTGGTTGCGGGTGTTCAGAAGAAGCTTGCGTAGCCTTGGCCTCCGCACGCGCCTCGCTCGCCTTCGAAGAGGTCCCCGCTGAGGCAGCAGAATCTGCGTCTGCTAATGTCGACTCATACGTGGGCGGCGGTGGCGAATACAATGGGTTGATCCAAAGGGCGGACTCCTCGATAATGCTTCGTAGCATAGAGACTAGCCGATGCCGCTCCTGTTCGTGCTCCTCGTTGAGAATCGGACTGTTTGAGGTGCTGGCCTCGCCCTGGCGTGGGCCCCCAGTGGTGTGGACACTACCTTGACGGGGAGCAGAATTCGACCATGGCACAAAGCTGTTGCCATTGAGCAAAGCCGGCACCATTCCAGCCAATTGCAGTCTTTGTGCAAGGTCGCCGAGACCATTTCCGACCATGCCCCGAAGGCCCAGCTGCCCAGGATCTTCGCCCGTCGCGGGTGCATTTACAGCTGCAGGAGCGGGGCCTTGGATGCCGCGCGCGTTGCTGATATCGGAAGCGACGTGAGCCGGCACCGCTTCCTCAGCGTCGCTGTCATTATCTGCAGAGTCGTCGTCATCACTAGTGGTGAAGACGCCAGACTCGTCGACGGTCGTGCTGATGTTGTCGTCATCGACCTCCTCATCTTCCTCGCTCTGAATCTCATCGTCGCTGACGGACACACCAGAGTCTGGCACAGCCACACCCGCTGTGTGATCCTCGGCGCACACCCTTTGTGCATGCTCGTCAAGAAGCGTCTCCACGTCGATCTCCTCACGCTCGTGCGCGATGTCGATCGGGAGCCGGCCCGTAGCGTTTCGCAGGTCGCTTCGCGCACCGTGAGCCAGAAGCATGCGGGCGATTGTCATGCGACCGGATAGCGCAGCGAAATGCAGCGGCGCAAAGCCATTGTGATCGCGAGCGTTGGGAGGGCACCCGCGCTCCAGCAGGGCGAGCGCCAGTCGATGGAAGCCGAGCATCACAGCAAGGTGAAGCAATGTGTGGCCTTGGCTATTCGCGAGGCGGATAGCGTCTCTGCGAGGTGCAGAGTCTGCCTCAGCACCTTCGTCCGCAGTATCGACATCTAACAGCGTCAAAAACTTCATGACGCTATCTTGGAAGGATTGCGAGTCTCCGTTTCCACCATGAGTTGAAGCGAGCCCTGCAGTGAACAAGCCGGCCACAGCATTCCTGGCTTCTTGCGAGCGCTGCTGCCCTCCCTGGTTGGAAAAGTGCTGCTGCTGGCCACTCTGGCCTGACTGCTGCCCACTGGTGGCGCCTGATCCGACGACACGCATGGCTACGTCGCGGGCAGACTGCATCTGGCCAGTCATCTGCAAGCCAACGACCTGCAAAGCGAGCTCCATGAGGGCGCGATCCGTGGTGTCGATGTAGGTGAAGAGCTGAAGCGCGCGATGCTGCTGCTGTGCAAGGTCTGCCGCAGACGGAGGTGGCCCGCCCTTGATGTCGACTACCACAGGGCCTGGACTGCAGCTCGGGGGCAGAACGCAGACCAGCGTGTTGGAAGCCCACACCCGAGTGTTGGTAGCTGGCACGTCGCCAAACACGCAGATGAGACCGTCGGTAAAGTTTTCTCCGAGAATAGTTACTTCGATACCCCCGCTCGTAGGACCTTCACCTGGAATGAGTTTCGAGATGCTGGGCAAAAGCCGACTGGGAGCTTGAGTGTTTAGGGGACCCTGCTGAGGTGCAGCTTGCGCATTCGGCATGAAGCCACCCGAAGACGCAGTGGAGGCCGCACCATTTGGGCTGATCATGCCGGTAGGATATTGCTGTAACGCATTGTTCACATGGGGCTGAGCGAATTGTGAATCCAAAGGCATTTGAGATGCAAACGCTTGCTGATTCTGCATTGTTTGTCCAGCATGCTGAGCCCCAATGGAGCTTGCGGCGAGCGCCATGAGCGAGTCTCCGCCTCTGCCCGATGCAGCATCCCTGAAGAAGCGCTCGAAGTCGAAAGCAGGTGTACTTTGAGGTACAGTGGCAAGCGTAGCTGGGGACAACGAGCCTTGATCGGCAGCTTGCCACGCAGCAGAAGGTGAGGCAACGCTCAAATGACTTCCAGCACTCGGTGACGATGCTTCGTGAGGAGTACGCAGACCGTTGCGACTGCTTCCGCGACTGATGCCCAAAGCGGCACCGTTCGCCCATGGCGTCTCTGCAAGCGCAAGATCTTGAGAAGCTCGCGAAGGGGTCATCGACAAATTTGCTCCGTTGGCGCTGCTGTTGGTAGATCGACGACCAGCTCGATCCTTTGTATCACCGTACGGCTTGGCGCGTCCGGCTTTGCGAGACGATGCGCTGGGCTTGGATGTTTCGTTCGCAACGTCGGCATCCGCGGATGGTCCGCGACTTGTTCGTGAACCATCAACTTGCTTGATCGGACCAGACCGCGCCGACGCGTGCGAGCTTTGGGCTGCACTACGTTTGGCCTCGTGTGGAGCAGCAGCAGCTGCTGCCGCCGCCGCTGCAGCTGCAGCTTGGTGAGCAGCGGCAGACTTGTGATCGTCAGTGATCAGAATGGGAGGGGTGGAACCGGTCGCGATCACATTGCCTTGCCAGTCGCGCATCGTAAAGATGATGCAAAAGCCAATCTTCTCGTTGTGATGGCGGCAGTAACATGTGATGCGGGTCGGCAGAACACAGTTGCCCTCTGCAAAGTCGACGTATTCGCCGCAGTTGAAAAGGACAATGCGCTGCTTCTCTTCCTCGTCGAGTCTCTGTGCTGCCAATTCGATTGCGCCTTCGGCTTGAGGATCGACGCCCAGTCGTAGCATATCTTCCTCGGTCGGTGTGTGGTCCAATCCTTCCTTTTTGCGCAGAGCACGTTTCCTCTCTCTCATCCTACAACCTTTGCAAACAAAGACGCGGTTATGCGGTGGTGTTGCATTCACTACGGTTGCATCTACGAACAGCGTGCGTTCCGGTACTATTGAGCCCACTTTGGGCTTCTTCGATTTCCTTTTAGTGCTGCTGTGTGGAGGCAACTTGATGTGAGAGAAGGAACCGATAGCTTCCCAGGGACTCGAGCTGGAACGGTCGGCATTCGCCGCCAATTGTGAAGCAGACGCGCCATTGATCGACGGGTTTGCAGGACGGACGAGCTCGATGCGAGCGCGAATTTGGGTTTCGACACGAGACTTTGCACCAGACAGAGGAATGCCGTGGACATGCACCTGCAGGTTGTGCAGCGCCTGGACTGGAGGAGTGACGACAGTGGTGGCGGAGCGACTGATGGTGTCGTCTGACTGATGTGCGAGATTATTGCTGGACTGAGCTTTTGCAGCGCCAGACCGCACAGAAGTGGCGCTCGATCCGTGCCCGATGTGGACCGCAGACGGGACGGAAGACGTCGCCTCGGAAGAACCGACATCCATGGTGACGTCCTGCTTGATGTTGGCCGACTGCTGGGACTCAACGTTGTGAGGCACGGCCAGCTTGCTGAAATCCGCGGCAAGAGGCTGTGTGGATGACGCAGGAGAGTCTTCATCGCGATCTGAGGCCGCAGCGGAAGAGGGCCTTCAGACGCCAGGACAGGCAAGAGTTGTGTCGTCAGCGTATAGGTTCACATGATTAGAGACACGTTGCTCAAGGACTTACCCAAAGCTGTCCTCTTGAATTAAAGAGTCGAACATGTCGTCCGACGGCACGCCGCTAGCGGTGGCACTGGAGGCGTCGTTGCCAAAGTCATTGCCGTCCATAGAATTCCCAGACATGCGAGCATTCGCGCCGCCGCCCCTAGTCAATGCTCGCTGCACCTCTTTGCCGACGTCTACACCGGGGATGGAGAAATTGTTTGCGGCCATCGCACCCCATGAGTAAGGATTGAACGACTCGGTCGCAGCGATGCTGCGGTTCGACGCAGCATTTGAGGTGACATTGCTGTTATGTGCTTCAGCAGCAGCAGAGCGGGCCGGCATCATTGGAGCTGCATCTGCCACTTGCTCGTCCCAATTGCCAGTCAAATGCAAGCTTTGCTGATCTTGGGCAGCATCGACGTCCCAAGGCACACGCTCCGAGGTTTCGCCACGGACGCCGACCTCCGTGTCGGGACTCTTGGCTGATAAAGCACTGCTAAAGGAGACGGGTGTGGTAACAGCATCGGTGTACTGCAGCTGTTGCTGCTGCGAAGACGGCGATGAGTGATCAGACATGGAATGAGGCGAGTCTCCGCTGTTCGTCAAGCTCGGAGGTGTATCGGCGTCGGCTGAGGATGTGCTTGCAGCGTCGCTCCTGTCTGGCTGAGGGAGACGTTGTGGGTTTATGCTGTTGTGGACGGCCGCGACCATGTTGCCGAAGGGTATGGCGGGGGCCCACACCTGTGGGATGTCCTAGCCTCGTTGTGCAGGAGGCCTATATTGATAGGGAGGTGACTGTATGCGCTCCTGATTTTGATTTTTTTTGCCAAAGGCAAAGCGGGGGGCTACGTAGAGACTGAGTAGCCAATATGCCGACGGATGGAAGCTGAGGATCCACACCTCACGCTCGCCTCCTGGTGCCTCGAATGACGTCGCTGGAGGCGTCACTACGCGAATGGTCTGGTCCGAGCTACGGCTGTGAAATGAGGGCGCGTGTGTGATAATGGACTAATTATCAGTGGATGAGAGATAAGAGATGAGTCATCCGAGTCGAGTTTGTGGTGGGATGATGGAGCGAATCTGATGGTGTCTCTACCGAATCACGATCGCGATGATGTTGCTGGGAAACAGAAATCGTGAATTCAGCAGCACCGGTCACCGTCAGCATGTTCTCATCAATCAATCCGCCCTCCTTGTCGGCTCACGTTTTGCCGCGCATGTATGCGACGCTGCGCGGACATGCAGCCATGCCCAAGAGGTCGAGCAGCACAGCACAGCACCGCGCATCACACGCACCAAGTCCTGTCAAAGCGACTTATTGACGAATAAGCATGCAGCGCGAACTTGCTGTCCAATGGCGGACCGATTCGGTTTCGCACGCTGTCATGAAACACCCTCATTCGTGATTTGAGCAAGATACGACTTGATTTGACACGTCACTTGAGAATCACACGTACGTGCCAGACCGCCAAGGCGACGGACGAGCTCAGCTTTGGATAGATGGAACATTGGTGTCAGCCGTGGGTACACTACAGTCACACATGCTGGGCTGGGCTGCACCTTCGCCCACGCCCCCTGCCTTGCTTCGTGTGGCTGCCGCTTTTTTCTCGCGGCGTGGTAAATAGCCATGCTGCGCATGCTCCACGCAGCTATATAGGCAACGAGGCAGGCTTGAGCTTTACTTTTTCTTTTGGCTTTGGTGCAGCTGCTGCACAGGCCTCTCGACTGTACGCGGTACTCATGCAGTCACTACGAATTGTGAGTCACAGTGTACGTACTGCTGAGTTCACCGACTGTCTGAGTGAGGCTGGGTGCCCGTTTCTGTACGTTGGGGCGGACAAATCAAGCGCGTTCTGCATGGGCCGACGCCAGGCTCACCCAAGTCGATGCTGCTGCAGCTCTCTGTATGGGCGCAGCAGTCGTGAGTCGACAGACTCGACACCTCGTACCTATACGCGCGTTGGAGCGCCGCACTCAACCGCGACGCGCAGCTGCTGAGGGCCGGGGGATCAACTTGCGGCCTGGCGTCTGCGTGAGCGTGCTTGCGGCGCGTCTCCCTCGCGGTCGAAATTGCCGACGCGCGCGGGAGGTGATGGGATGGATGCGCGACTCCGAGAGCGCGCCGAACCGAGATGTGGGGCAGCGAAAGCCACATGGTCGCAATTCACGTGATTGGATGACGCACGCCAGTCTGATGAGTCAAGAGTCAAGAGTCACGAGTGTGACGCACATAGATAGATGTCTGGCAGGCTTCCAAGCAACCTAGACTCTTGACTCTGTCACCCATGTACACGCGAACGCGGGTAAGTCGGTCGTCGCGAGCAAAGGGTCCCGTGACCATACGTCTGCATGCACCGTGCAGCCGCTCGGCAAATTCTGTCAATCAAAATCTCAATGAATCTTGATTTATACGGCGCATTTTGGTTCGTTCAGCATGGATGCCGTTGTCACCGAATCAAGAATAATCTGAATATTGATCGCGCGTATCTCCGCGGAGAGTCTTGAAAGTGCCCAGGCGGATCCTGATTCAAAGAGATTCAAGAAAGATATGACAAGCACATCAATTTGATCTTGCCTAAACACATCTAGCTTTGTAATATCTCCCCTCCCCACCTCCATCCGTGGTCTGCTTCCTTATTCAACGCGAGGCTCATTTCACCATGGCGGACGCAATTCCAGCGCCATCTACGGGCAAGACGGCCATCATCTTCGGAGCGACAGGAGCTGTGGGGACACCTTTGCTCGAGACGTTGCTGCAGTCCCCCACCTTTGACAAGATCCACTCCTTTCAGCGTCGCGCTACCGATGGACCTCCCAATCCCAAGCTCATCACTCACACCGTCGACTTTGACAAGCTGGTGGCAAAGGATGAAGAAGAGGTGAAGCGAGTCAAGGAGATTGCGGCAGATGCAGTCTTCATCACCCGTGAGTGAGACCTTTCAGCGGCGGATCATCGACGGCGGGGAATGATACGTGTCGAGCTGAAATGAAACCAATCACGATGCACCTCTCAGTCGGAACGACACGCGGAGCTGCAGGATCTGCTCAGGCTTTCGAGAAGATTGACAAGGACTACGTCTTGGCTGCTGCTCGCGCTGCTGCCAGTCCCGAAAAAGCTTCCAGCAACAAGGTGGTGTACTGCTCCTCTCAAATGGCCAATTCGGGTAGCAGATTCTTGTACACTCGGTGAGTAGCACCTGCTGAGTCTCCTCAAAGCTATGCTCGCGCCGAACTCTGACGAGTCTTGGTCCCTACTGTCTCAGCTCCAAAGGAGAGACGGAAGAGGGACTCGCCAGCGCTGGGTATTCCGAGACGATCTTGTTCAGACCTGGCTTCCTCGCACAAGCTCAGAGGCCCAAGACGAGACCTCTGGAAGTTGTATACGGTGTGAGTGCAGTGTGCAGGCTAAAGCGCATGATTCTTTCCGACCTTCTGACACCGTAGCTTCCATCATGCGTAGGCTCTTACTGGAAAGGTGCTCTCCCGCTTCAGTGACGGGGCCGAGATCCCGGTGCCTATCCTAGCGCGAGCGATGCGCTTCGCGGGTGAAGCAGGAAGCTCAGATCTTACTGCCAAAGGGGTCGGAAGCCCACCCGTGGAGGCCTTCAAGCGGCCTGCTGGCTCAGCTGTCACGGTGCTGACGAACGGCGAAGCTTTGCGCCTCGGAAAGTCCTTGCTGTAGAGGATGGGACTAGACACTGCAGCCAAAGGCAACATCTCGTGATACCCAGACACATGGTCACGCCGGTGCCCGTTCCAGCTGTGTTCAGCAGTGCAGTGATCTCCGATACCACAATGCGACAATTCAGGAGCCAAAGCGATCATCCGATCGAGCTGTGTCTCAAGCCAGCCGATACTCAACATGTGATTCACATACCCTTGCAGACTGCGAGCGAGCAATCTAGCGCCCATGATCCATTCACTCTAGTGGTGCCAGACGTGATGCAGATCTGGTGCAAGGACATCGATTGCAGTCTTGTTACTGAATGCGAATGATGGTCGCCCGGAGAAGCGTGACAGATTGTGGGACGCGACAGTAGAGGGAGGGAGATGACCAAGACGGATGGCGAGGTGCGCGATACTAAGTCGAGCGACGTCACGCGGGGTGAAAGGGCTTTTTGGTAAAAGCAAATGAATGAAGAGGAGGATGCATTTTGAAAGATGCATAGTCATTTTGGGGCATAGCTGTGGTCGGGAGTTGCAGATCAAGCTAAGTCGGTCTTTCGTTGACAAAGGAGGACTCGATGCGAGGTTTGAGTGATGGCATGTTTTCGTTGTAGGCCCTGAATTTCAAAGCAACGTTTCGATAGTTGTGCTGGTTAGGAGTGTCGTTGCCGTTTGTCTGCTGTTTTGCGCCAGGTCAGACGTCCTCGCTCGGCGTGCTAGCGGACAAACTCGGCAACGTTTACTTTATCCAGATTGAGCAGCCGTCGCTCCCCCGCGCCCGCGGGACGGTCCTCCCCTTCCTCGGCCGCGGAAGCCACCACGATCACCTCCTTGTCCAGTACCGCGAATGGGACCACGATTGGTGGGAGGAGGTCTGTCGCCTACCTTGCGTTTCTCCTCGACAGTGACAGTCCAGCCGTTGTTCCCCACAGGCACACCGCCCTGTCCTCCTTCCGACACGCGAACGCTCATGGCGATGGCACGACGTGCCTGCTCTGCGCTGACAAACTCTCCAAAAGCGCAAGCTCGCGAAGGGATGATTTGACACTCCCTCATAGGCCCGAATTGCTTCTCTAACGCAGCTTGCAATCCCTCCTCGGGCATCTGATCCATAATTACGTTTTTTATGAAGACGCCTCCATGGATCTGCGGAGCAGAGGTACCAGAGGTGCCAGGCTGCTGTCCAGAAGTTCGGGTGCCATTCGCAGCCTGAGGTCGGGCGTTGTTGGTCGTGGCGGTGGCAGGGGTGGATACGTTGGCAGGAGGTCGAGAAGTGGAGACTCCGCGGCTCTCCGAAGCGGTCGACCCCCATCCTTTGACGTTGGCTGCAGCGAGATTGGCCCAGGTCTTGGGTGCGGAAGGCGCAGCAGGCTTAGTCTCCGCAGACTCAGGCTCCGTCTGCTGTTCGATGGGAGCGCTGGCGACCGGCTGTTCCTGCTGAGCTTCAGCGGCAGCAACGCCAGCCGGCTGGACGGGTGCGTCCTCGGCTTCGACGGTGGCCACCTTAGAGTCCATGCCTACCTCTGCCCCAGCTCCCTCGGCAGGTGGAGGGGCCGGGGCAGCGCCAGCCTCGTCAGTGTCCGGAGCGACTGCAGGAGCTGCAGCATCAGCAGCGACAGCCGCCACTTCAGCTTCTACTTCGCCAGCGGGCTCGGAAACTGCCGCTGCAGGGGCAGGAATCGGCGCATCTCCGGGCGATTGCTGAGCAGCCTCCTCGGCAGGAGCAGCAGAGACGGCGCCGTTGGGAGCAGCAACAGCATCGGCTTCCTCGGGTGCAATGTCATCGCGAGCATCATCGTCCTCGCTTAGGAAACGGAAGATGTCGTTCAGGACGTAGTAGCCATTGGGTTGCTCCGCTAGAAAGAAAGTCTGAGCGAACTTGCGCCACGGACCCTTTTTGTTCGATAGCTCGCCTAGAACCTGAATGACAATGCCGCCGGAGATGGAAGATTGAGAGTCGACGTTGGACACGTAGACTTTGCAGTCCTCGAAACCCAAGGAAGAGATTTTGTTGTGAATTTCCTGAGACGATGGTATGGTCGATGTCAGTGCTTTGATACTGCTTGAGCCTCGTCACCAACATCGAACAGTGCGAGTTCGTCCACAACGTAGCGATCTTTCCATGCCAGCTGCGGCAAGGATGCTCCCAAGGTAGACAGTTGCTGTCTCCACAGCTCGCGTGCAGCGTCGCACGACACTGAAACACTCACCTGTTGTCCAAAGCAAGGCTGCACCTCCTCCAGCTCGTTCCCGTGAATGAGTGTACTCTTCTTGGTGTAGAAGCAGTGCAAGCGTTCCGGATTCTGGTTCAGGAAGGTGTAGTATTGAGGGACGAAGAGCCAGCCAACTTCGGAAGGCTGAACGGTCTGCTTGGTACCCGAAGAGGCAGGCGCGGCAGCACCACCTGCTGGTGCCCCGTTACCGGCGCTGCCATTGGCGACAGCGGTGGAGGAAGACATGATGTTGTGCTGAGAATAAGCCGCGAATATGCTGCGAAGAGGTTTCGAACGCGCAGGCCCCAAGGTCAGCGCCCCTTTTGCAGCTGCGCTACAGACATGACAACCACTGCACTCACCCACGACGTTGTTTGTGACTAGCAAAGGCTCAAGTGCAGTGCGATGCGGTGGGAGGCTGATGAGAATGTGACGGCGTGAGAAGAATGAGAAGCAGGTGTATGCGTGAGTCTGCAACGGCTTGTCGGCTGTTGAGCTTTTGGTGGAGAAGAGAGAATTCTGTCTCTAGGATGAGTGCTTGGACGAGGTGATCGCTGAAAGGTGCGAGATGCAGTCTTGAGTCAGATCGAACTTCCTCACAAATGCATCATCATCAATCGATCTCTCATCTTGATTCACATTCGTCATTCGTGATCCACGATCCATGATCCAGCCAGGCGACGACCAGCCCTCGTGACTACACAAATCTCATCATCGCTTACTTCCTTCGCAGCGCATCAGGTATTCAGCATCAGCAGCAAGCACGCACAGTCCTCGCCGCGTATAGTCACATTGCGTTTGCCTCATGCAATCAATCTAGCTCACGCGCGTGCGCCTCCTCCTGCTGCAGCTGCCGCGGTACCACAAAACGCACGCGTGTGCGCATTTCCATCTTGCACGCAGAACTTCGCATGGAAGAACACTTCGCGGTGTCACGTGGCGTATCATGAGCACCACTCTGACTCCCTCTCAACTCACATCAACTCTGACTCAAAAACGCTCGACTCGCGTTGACTTGACTGTAGTCGACTTGAAGCTCGATGTACACCTTGACCACACTCACGCTTTCTCAAAGCTGTGAGCAGCCGATCTATACTGCAGGATCGCGTCTTGCTACGATCGCCGTTGAGCTAAGTTGTACGCAAAGATGGTTGCGCAGCAAACAGAGCGACGACTCAGGCGGACTCAGGTGGATGCGAATGTGCTGCGAGACATGTCGACGCTGAGGAGAGCGCGAGCTCTGGCCACAAGTACGGCGACGCGAAGCAAGCAGCCAGGGAATTTCATTCTTCCCCGTAAGGCCTGGCGAGCTAGATTCGAGAAGAGACCCGCTGTGATGCAGAAAGAGCGCTCAAGACATCCCAGGCGCGCAAGGAAGTTCGATCTACAAGCGTCGATGAGCAGGCAGGAGCAGTGTAGTGACATTCTAAGATTGCTTTCAGTGCCAAATGCCAATGATAAGCAGGAAGCAGTAAAGTGTCTGTACAGCGGCAATCGCAAAGAGGAACTGGATGCGCCTCGATCTGGTTTGTGGTGTGATGGTGACGCTGCTAGGGCTGCTAGGATCTGGCAGCACCACATATCGAAGCGATCGCAGCTGCGAGGCGAGCCAAGGATAAAATCGCATTTAAGCATGGAATTTTTTTCGTCGATGCAGCGCAAACTCTCGAAGCGACTTACAAGGAAGAAAGCGTTGGCGGCGCAAGTATATGCGAAGACGCTCCAGTAGATTAGTCGTCCAGGCAGCGTCAGACCAGCTAGCAAAGTGACGATGGCACCGACAAACTTGTAGCCACCGTAAGCAACCAAATCGATGACGGTGTGGTCCCCTTGAATGTTGAGCAAGTAGCATCCGAGCTTGACGGCAGCAAATTCGAAGAAGACGATTCCCAGCGCTTTCGATGATGTCAGGCCAAGTACTTCGGGATGGAAGCGCGATTCGATACCGCGGATGATGCAAACAAGCAGGACGTATGTTACGAATGCCATCACTGTCACGCGAGACGAGATAGCAGACGCAGGGCAAATTAGCGTTGGGGCTCGCAATCTTTGTAGCAGGTGGTGACTCACCGGGGATGTAGAGGTCCGGACTGTTCACGTCTTCCCTCGGCGGAGCGTACCCTTCTGCCTTTGATGTAGACGCACCGTACTGCGGTTCCCCTCCATAAGCAGATGCGCCTGCAGCAGCCGCGTGAAGCCTGGACCAAGGCTTATGCCTCCAAGGGAAGAGGACGAGGCGCAACTTGTGCAGCACGTACGAATTCGATACGTTGAAGTAGTGTTTCAATAATGGCACCGGCAGAAAGGATCCAAACTGTTGAGGTGCACCTCAGGGGTCAGGTATGAGCCGCTCATCTACTCATTCCGTGCATGCATCGACTCACGTTCTTGCCAACGTACTCCTGTCCAGCAGCTGCCATCTGACGCCCAAACTGTACTCCCATTTGAGCAGTAGCATCATTCAACATGTTGCCTCCCATTCCAGCCTGCCCATTTCCCATTCCATTCGCAAAGCTGGCAAAGCTTCCAAATTGTTGGAAGCCCTGATTTGGATGCTGCTGCTGCGGCTGCTGCTGTTGATGCATCATCCCGCCGGTCACTCCTTTGGACCCCGCACCCATACCCCCAGCATGCTGTTGGTATTGATTCTGGGGCTGTCCATAGGGATTTTGCAAGGGCGGAGAAGCATAGCGGGCATAGCCACTTTCGGACTGACCGCCTCTGGCTCTCGCGGACGAGAGATGGGCTTCCGCTGTGCTTGTGCTTCCAAACCCTCCCCCGTCAATAGAGGGTCGCCCGCTGCTCTGGCTTCCCGGCCCTGGTGTTCCGGATGGGATCGGGACCTGCACCGGCGGGTGCGTCGGTACGGGGTGCTGCAATGGCGGCTGAGCATGTGAAAATGGCTCTCTCCGTCTTAGTCACCCCTTCGCGCGTGTTCAGAGTTGCAAGGGCTACTCACCGGCGATCGCGACGAATACTGGCCTTGCTGGTACATCACGAGGCCTCTACTTGCGAATTGTGTTTGGCGGCTTTGTGCGCGAGGGATTGGGTCTGAGCTTGAATGTTGCAAACGTCACCTGAGCTCGCGGCTTGGCATCGAATACGGTCTGCAGAGGTGCAAGCTGCAACGTGCAGCTCAAAGTGGATGAATGTTCGTGAGGAAGGGCAGTAAGGTGTTGGCGTCGAGGCGACTTGTAGCATGGGCTAGGGCTTAGTCGTGCCTGCAGAGTTGAGATCACGTCGAAATCCTATACGTAGCCAGAGTGCGGTTTCCGCTCTCCAGCGTCGTCATGAGATCTTACCACCAATGGCGTGGGCGCTCGTGACTGTGTGTATCGAAAAGCCTGGTACAACTCGTGACTCTTGACTGGTGACTCTTGACTGTACATAGATGCGCGATTGAGCACAGCGCGTGCGCGAAATGAGCACCACGTCGACCAGCCGCCGTTATACGCCAGCCAGCGCGGTTTTCTGGCGCACGGGCTTCTCATGCGGCGATCGTATGTAGAACTCTATCACGTGATCTGTTCACCTTTGGCGGAACGTCTGACGCTTTAGGGTGCTTGTCTTCCCATCCTTGATCGTAGGCTTCTTAGGCCGGTGTCGCCGATCGAAAGCAATCATGAATATGTTGGAACGCGAGCAAATCAGGCGTTGCATCCTGGAAGCACAGTACAACAGTCACAACAGCTTTGGCTCGTGGGTCCCAAGTAAGACCGAGCGCATCATCAACCCACGAGCTCAGCTAGAGACCGCGCTGGGGGTAGCAATGACCTTGTATCGCTTGACCATCGCTTCGCGTGAGCCGACAGCCAACATGGTCCTCTTACATGGCGTGCACTTGTGATTCAGCGCTATCTCGGACGCAATCAAATGCAGGCTTGGCGCACAGAAGCTTTCCTGGTCCTCTGCTTGCTGCTTCTACCCAACCCGCGCTCGTAAACTAGTCATTGTAAACAAGTCAAGAGTCCCACAGCGATCGTGAATTAGCATGCACCTTGCATGGCTCGCGTGTGATCACGACAACACGAATATGAATATGAATAATAGAGTGGCACATATATATAGAGGTATATACCTAGGTCCCACTTCCTAGGTCCCACTTCGCCGCATGTAGGATATATATGCTAGCAGCACGGAACCGCGCGCGCGGTATCTACACCACTCACAACTGCACGGTGTGCTTGATATAGAGCAGCAACGCCCGCTCGAGGCGTGTTGCTCAATCCTTGAATTGTGAATCGTGAATGTACCGTAGATATCACGACAACCCGCTCGGCGCGAGGACGTTATGACGCGTGCGCACGGAGCACATTCGTGATTTCCGTGCGCATGCTGCATGCTGCCGCTGCTATGATATGGTGGCGCTGTTCATGCGCGCGCGCGCGGGGTTGACATGTCGTGCCCAGCAGCATATGCAGCATCCCCATCACCTCAAGCCTACGACTTGATTGTGACTGCGCCTCCACCCTGTGGCCGTTGCATGGGCACCGTTCAGATACCGTTTATCTCATATAGCCACAGGGGCATAGAAGCGCTGCGAGCTCCTGCTTCATTGCCGTTCATAGCCCTGCGTTGTCCACCTCCAGGTTGACGTTTCTTGTTGCAAAGGCAGAATGTGACTGTACAGCTAGCTGCCTGTCTGCCTCCTATAGCCTGTGGACAGCAAATACGAAATGCTGTACAGGGACCGCGGCGCAGACAGACTTGACTCTTGACTCGCATGCACTCTGACTGGAATTTGTAGAGTTGCGTGCCTCAGCTCCTGCTGCTGAGGCGTACAGCAGGGATGGTAACACAGCCACAGCCACTCGTCATATCTCGGGTCCAGAGTCAACGATCACGCACTACGGCAGCCGTGATGCCACCCTAGCTGCTGATTGTGTCATTTGCGCCGCCTCGCTCTGTTCCTCCTAATTGCCCTCTTCGTGATGTGCATGGCAGGGACTCAGGAGTCGAGTTTGGAGTCATTCGTAATAGTTGGTAGTGAATTGAGCGTCACGCGCACTCTCGCCTGCTGTGACTTTCCTTTCCGACTTTAGACTCACATCTGGACAAAGAACGTCGACAACCGCTTGCTCGGCGTTTTGCATTCCACGTCATCACTTGCTTCTGCTGCGAGCAAACAATCAAGAGGTATCGATCGATTTTGCTTTGACGAAAGTGAGTCAAAAGGCCGGTCGCGAGCGGCTTGTCTGCGTGTTTCGCTTCGCTTCGCACTCGGCGGACCCTTGCTCAGCGCATCCACACTCACCACTCACCACCCCTCGATCAGATTCGAAGACAGCACGCTACACCTACTCAAACCACTATAGCTGGCCCCCATAAGCCTCTACTCGAACATCCATCCCGTGGTGACAAGACTTGCTGGTTCGCAAAAGTCGGCAACGCGTACGTTGCAGTATCCGCTCAACCTCGCTTCGAGGACCACTCGCGCGGTAGTCATGTCAGCTTCACCCATGACCATTTCAGCTCGGCGTCCGAGTCCAACGACGAATCATGAGACTCGAGGCGGTGCTGCTAGTCTGAGCTCTGCCTCTGCTCGCGATCCAAGAGGCGCTGATTTGTATGGCACCACACCAGGAGGGTGAGTCGCTTGCGTCGCCGAGACTGCCGTCGGTGCAGCATTGGGTGCAAAAATCGTTGGCGAGAATCGCGGGAACGCGCGCGGGAGGGGGGCAGCTGGACCGCCTGCAGCAAACGGAGCAGCACGCACACGCCTCTGCCCGCAAGCACACGGTCCATCCTCGTATCGAGAGGCTGGCGGAACAGTGAGACGTTCAAGCATCTAGCAATTCGCGCCAATCTCACTAGCATTCTCCGCATCCCTGATTTCGCTCCATTGCAGCTCTCGCCTAATGTACTCGCGCGAGCAACTTCTACAGCTAGCTTCTTCTCCCCTCTCTGCCAGCCCGCCAAAGGGTCTAGGTCCCAACGGCATTCCCGCTGAAATCTCTCGTTCGCCCGAAAAGGCCTACTACACTTACGGTCCCAGCTACGGCTCTCAGGCGGGACAAGTTGATCGGCCTTCTATTATAGAGACGAACGGAACAGGGACCATCGACTCCGGCTCGGGCGGAGTGGGGTCGATCTTTGGACGCACGCCTGAGAATTTCGATGTCTCTTCCAGCAAAAGGGCGCACCAGAATCACAGTCACAGTGCGCAAGTAGCGTCGACGACATCGAGAGGTTCCACCGCTCTTGGCTCTTCTTTCCCTACTGCTGCGGCGGGCGCAGGGCAAGACCATGCGAACAAAGGTGGGGCGATCAGAGGTTTCGCACCTTCTTCCCCAAGCGCCATCAGAACGCGTTCCCCGTCCACCTCCTTCAACATCGACACTACCAGCCCAAGCAGCAATGCGGCAGCTGGAAGTCCCATCACTGCCAGGTCCGGCGCTCCTCGGTCTCCAGGTTCAGCCTTTACCTTTTCGGGTCCTGTCAGTCCTACACAAAACACCTCCTCAGCCAGCAGCAGCAGCAAAGCAGGCGGAGCGAGAACAGGACATGGTCGACCGCGCGATAATTCTAGCGTCTCGCCGTCTCGTGAGAAAGGCACCGTCATCGACTCTGCCGCCACCACCGCCGCTGCTGCTCGTGCGACCAACACCCACAACGACGAGCACTTCCACATGGACCTCTAGAATGCTCGAAAGAACATCTGTTCCATCGCCTGAAAGTCGGGGGGCCAAACTACGCCACAGTCCATGATGGGAAATGGGGACCGCCGTTTGCAAGGCCAAGCTGACGGGACTTCCGTGCACTCGTCCGATCAATCAATGTATTGTCCTTAGACCGGTGACTGCGTGGTCGAAGAGCGGGAGTCTGGACTGATGTAAGCCTATCTGTGGACCGGTGATGCTGTCGTGCTATTCAGGAAGTCGTTGCGCCCGACTTCAAAGCTTGCCAGCGAATAGATCGTCTTGAAAAGGATGCGCGCTCCAGGTCGGAATGCAAGTGACATATCGGGACCATGGCAGGACTGCAGACGTACGAACAAAGCCAAGAGATGGACGAGGTGAGTCAAGGCTGTTGCGATCGGGCCCAGTAGCAGATTGTGGAGCATCGAGGCAGGCGAGCGCTCCGCCGTTTCTGCCTCAAAACTCACCGTCCATGTGCGCACTGAAACGGGAAGCGCGTCGAGGCGAGCTGTTGCAGCATTCTTTCGCACTGCTCTTTCTGCAGCGCGTCGCCGAACACTTTGCCAAAAGAATGTCTCGGGGGTGCTCAGCTCACAATCGTGGCAGAGACGCGTCGAGCCGTCTGCTACCCGAAGCAGAGCTGATTGAGAGCAACTCACTGATCGCGCCTCGACAAGCCTTGCTAGCGATCATCTCCAAAATTCGAGGAGGCAAATGTCGAAGTCCAGTCAACCACGCCTCTTCCCCTTCTTCCTCCGCCTCCCCGCCCTCGCGCTTCACATCACTCTTCCCATCTCTGACTGCTCTTCTACGCCCTAACAGATGCTTGGCCCTATTCAACCTCTCTGCACCTCCTTCTTCAATCCAGTCCACCAGATCTTCCAAAGCAGCCGACAGCGTATTCAGGTCCGTCAAACGATCCTTTAGAAGGCTTGGCAGCTTGCGTATAATCAATGTAGATCCTGATGTAGCTCGACTCTCTTCAACGATTCGCGACGGCTCGTCCGTCGGTCCGGGTGCAGCCGCAACAGTTCCTGCGCCGAAGCCGAAGCCCAAGTTTTCCAGAACTTGTACAGACGTAGAGTCCTCGCAGAGACTAGCGACGCTGCGGCTAGGCATGCGCATCTCGTGCGCTTTCGGCAAGGTAAATGTCTCTAGCTCGCCTTTGGAAGCTAGGACCGGCTCGAGATAGGTGCGTAGGAGCAGTTCGAAGCGGATACGTTCTGATCGAAATGGGGCGAGAGAGCGGTAAAGGTCAGCAATCGACTGGGCAAAGGGGGAGCATCGGAGCAGGACGGAGGCGCACCGTCAGCTGCATGTTGGTCGACCAAGACGAGCGCTTGGCCCTTGTGGAGGGGCATGGTGCACGCAATGAACTTGTTGTCCACCTGCTTCAGCACGCGAGCCTTGGTGAGATCGGCAGCACGCAGCGACGATATCGTGCTTCCATCCTTTGACGCTCCACGCTGGGAGAAGAACCTGGATCCGAGGCGATAGTCCGGACCTGAGGGTCTGCTTCCTCCATTTCTATTTGCAAGTCGAGGAGGATGATCCGCAAAGGTGCTCTTGAATATAGAAACATCCGCGCTCCCTAGAGATTCCACGCATGGAATGTCGGCTTCCGCAGGGGCAGGCAAGATCGAGTCCCTGCTAAGCCTCATCGCTTCCCCCAACCATCCCGGCAAGCTCGAGTCCGGTGCAGCCCTGCCGCTGTCTAACAATCTGCGACTCTTTCTTAACGCTAGCGGACCTCTCTTCTCAGAGGCGACGGGCAATGAATCTCCTGTGCGCTCATCGACGAGGTAGTGCTGGCCTACCATAACCTCCTGATGGGGCCCAGGGGTGCTTAGCAAGGATGTATCACGTTGAGCATGTTGCAGATCGCAGCAGTGTGGATGCTGCCCTTGGACAACCTCGTAGTCGTACTGACTGGCCTCAGCAACAGCATTGCGAGCTTTGAAAGCTTCAGCAAGGTGTTCGCTGAAGCCTTTGCGCTTCTTCGACGTTGGGCGACGGGACAGATGCCTCTGCACAGTGGTTGATGGATGATCCTCGGCTCTCATGGTCGCATCAGGGCGTGTTGCACCAGTTTTCAAACCCGTTGTGCGCTCTCTCTTTGGCACCTTTGCATTCAAGAGGCCCGATTCGACCAGCTCTTCCGCGACCGTCTCCGAGAGGACTCTGGCGACCAATCCGACGACTTCGTCCTGACAAGCGGTCTGCTGCATAGCCCGCGCCGATTCCTTGCCGGCTCTGAGCGAAACATGCAGCACGTACCCCGGACGCGCTTGGACGCCCTTCGTTGGGCTCGTCTGCTTCTTGTTTGCTGTGCGAGCTTCAGAAGCTGAGAAAGCACTTCGAGCGTAGACTGCTTGTACTGCCTCGTGAAGAGCAGCGCCCTCGTGAGAGTCGACTTCGATGAGTTGCCCGCCAAAAAAGATTGCTTGGCAGCCTTTTGGCGCTGGACTGAGCAGCAACAAACCATTGACGCTCAGCGTGGCCGTAGGATCGTCGAGAGCCAGTAAAGCAGGCTGCGTGCTCGCACGTCGTCGTTTCTTTGGCGCTGCTCCACTACAAGCCACACTGTCGCAGGGTGAGAGATTCCTGACCTTATCCACCGATCTGATCGGGGGTGCCGCATTGCCCAGCTTCAAAGCAGCTCCAAGCCTTTCCTCATAGTCTTTCGCCTGGCACAGAAGCAATGATCCGACCATGGCGTTCTCAGCACGGGATGCTGCTTGGGCAGACGAACGACTCACCGCAGGTATAGACAGCACCAATTTGGACCCTTTGGACCCCTGCACGTTCACAGCAAAGCGCACATCGGGCCAGCCGAGCGAAATGGTGACAAGACTATGAATACATGCGTTGATGGTGCTAGAGGGCGAGTGTTGTAGTGCACGCCTTCGAGCAGGCAGCTGGTAGCGCACGCCGTTCAGCGAGCGTTGACAGACTTGGGCATCAGCATAGAGAAGGATCACCACGCGAGACCGATCAACTCACGGATGCGTAGAGATCAGAGACGCTCACGCAGGAGCCTCTTGCTCTTGTGGATGCAACGTGCACAGCATTGAGCGCGTCGTTAGCAGGTCCGTTGAGCATAGTGGTATCTCCCTGATTTGCGGTAAATATGGATTGCAGCGTATCAGACATCATGCGCAGCACATCATCCCGTCATCTTTCGCGGCTCACCATCCTCACGTAAGCCCATCGATTGCCAGAAGTGCCAGTAGCGATGCTCAAGGTACCGACATCTGCCATCTGATGCAAGCTCGGCGCTCTTTCCCTCCACACGTGTCTCCCAAACAAGCTCCTATCAAACCCATCCCCATCATCCACACAAGCCACACTGGGAGGAGGTCCAGCCGCACTGCTAGACCCATTCTTGGCGCCAACATCGTCGTACGAGATGCACAGATGCAAGTCTACGCGCTTGGGACTGGCCTGTAGGGCGTTGTGTACCAGCGCAGAGAGGATTGCTGGGAGCGTGGGCAGTGCGAGGTAGCTGCGAAGTTGGTGCCTAGCTCGGTTTGGCAGACGTACGATCTCCTGCGGCATCGCGTGTCGTGCTGCTGATGTCAGAGCAGTGGCAGATACGATCACGTCGGGGGGTGGTGACATACTTCCAGTCGCATGCATAGCCCAGACTGATGATGCGCGCTGTCATCGAAAGCTCTGTAGGCGCTTTTACGCACATTTCCCAATCACCACTACAGTATGGAAGAAGGAAGTCTTTGAAAGTGCAGCGTCCTTCATTTTTTGGCTCCTGTCGATGTACTGTCAGCCAGCGAGCGTCAAGCCTCAGAGCATTCGCGCGAGTCTGATTGTGGAAATCGACAAGTCAGGGCGACGATTTGTAGCTCTTAAGCGTATAGTGAGCTTGAATGCGCAACTTTGTGCTGTGATGTGAAGGATGTGACGTCGAGAGTCCAGATCATCGAGTTTGCCGGTCCAGAATCCCCAGGCTCGCCTCCACCCGTCATTTTGAATGCAAGTCACGTGAAACGGCACGCGCCTTTCTTGCCGGTGATGCTTTTCCCAGCGTAGCTAGAGGCTGGTGCCGCGGGCATATCAACGGTGAGTCAAACATAAAGCCACTTATCGGCACAGCTGATCGGCCACGGCTCGGGTGAAGGCCAAGGCTGGAATCAGGACATCACACTCGAGACTTTGCGACTTTGGATTTCCATAGTGCCACGAGGGTGCAGTGCGCAATCAGTGTGATATACGTATCCAATCAAACATTGAAGAGTGTCGGACGTTTGCGTAGGCCAAGGGGGCCGAGACCGCCCAGACCTGAATGTAGCATTCACGTGGATGCTCTCCATGTCTCCTTCCCTATCCTGACCACTTGATCAGTCAGATTAAGCTTTGCCCATCTCCATTGCCGCTTGCATGCCCACTCGCATTCGCATTTCCGTTGCCGTCCTTCTTGTCCCTCTTTCTCCTCTTGGCCCTAGTAGCCTGTTCAGGCGAATGGCTCGCAAATGGTGCAAATGCGGTGTTGTTGCCGCTCGTCGCAGGTACCACAATACCTCCTCTTCTATTTCCCGCTTTCGGCTCTCTCTCTTCCAAAGAATGTCTAGGTGGTGGGAGGAAGAATGAGAAGCTATTCGTGGCCGATCCAGCTGTCGCAGGTGCATTTGGTTCCCCATCTTGATGATGCGAAGGAGCGACACCTTGGCCAAATGTCGATCGTTTTTTGCCTTCCCTTCTTGGTCGATTCGGAATCTGCAATGCGGCTTCTTCACCGACCGGACTCAGCAAATGTCCGGACTGCTCGTGAGAGCTGCACCTGCTCTTTCCAGCATGTTCGCCTCCTCTTCTCGTCGGTTTGCGTTGTCTTCCACTGGGCGTCATGGGCAAGTGTGTGGGCGTGCAGTGTGCGGGTGCTCGCACATTGACAAGCGTCTCATCTCCTGAAGTAGACCGTTGTTCGCGCAACGTCACTTCTCCCAGCTCCGAGCTAGATCGACGTGAACGCGCTGAATCTGACCGACGTGGGTGAGGCGTTGGCGTCGCGAATGACATTTGCGACTCGGCGAGATTCGCCGATGGAGCCGATCCCGCTGCTGCGGTGCTGCCTGATGATTGCGAGCTCGAGGCGCTCTCAGCTACGCTTGCAGCGTCAGACTCCATGCCGCTCGAAGGCTGTACGTGTGCAGGCGCAGAGGCCGACTCTCGAGGTTGAAGATCCTGCGGGTCCTCGATCAATTCTGGATTAGATGACGAGCTGAGAGATGAAGCTGGCCGTTTCAGGCGGGGCTGGAAGAGATCAGTGTTGCTGGAGGATTGCGAGGTTGTGCCTCCAAAAGATGCAGGCCGGTGAACAGGTCTGTCACCGGCGGCGTTTTCTGATCCCGACTGCCGGCGGAATGCAGGCCTGCTCTCTTGTCTCCGAGAAGTCTGCGGTGTCTCCTGAGCTGAGACAGTTTCGGCACTCAGCTCGCGTTCCCTCGAGCGCCTTGACGGCGCTCGCCTTCTGGCATCCATCGAAGGACCAGCCTGATCAGCAGCAGCAGCCTCGATCTCCTCGTCTTCCGCTTCACCCTTCAACGCCTCGATTCGGCCTTGGAGATACCTCTCCATCCAGGCCAATTCTTGAGTCGATGTCGAAGCGCTAAGGCTGGAAGGACCGGCTTGATGTTGCTGTTCGGACGAACGAGGATCGAGTAGCGCATCTTCCATCATTGCTTCTGCTCTCCCTCCTCTGGCGTTTCCACGTGCTCGTAGAGCAATCATGTCCAGCAGGTCTGATAGAGCAGCCAAGTAGCCGCGAGAGTAGACCCTCTTGGAGGTTGACAAGGAGGTCCTGTACAGCGTTGTTAGATGCAGAGCAGCAGCTACCAGCCAGAAGAGAAGGGGTGTCCAGAGTCAGCAATCAGAAGTACAGCCGCACCAAAAGGAGCGCCTGCTACATCCGATCGCTCGAGGCTACACATGTACAAGAAATCACGTACCTTTAAAATCCGCAGTGAGTGCCACCTCATCTCGCTTAGAGAAGCCGCCAGGCGGCCGACTCGAAGAGTAATCCAAAGAGTCTCTTAGGTTATTCAGAGAGTCCATCTTGCTTTTGTACGCAAAGGTCCAAAGGGTAATGTGCTGGTGGGCGTTGTCGCCTGAGTGTGGGAGAAAGTTGAAGTCGAGAGGTGGCCTGTTGATTCAGCAGAGGATGCCTGCCGGTGGGTGATTGCCTGTGGTCGACCGTCTTCCCGTGCTCCCAGCAGGCCAATCAGCGAAATCGATGCGAAGTTGGTGAGGTCTACTCAACTTGAGCAACATGCAAGCGCTCCAAGGGCGGTGAATGTGGAAGGCAAGCCAAACGCGATCCAAGAGCGTTGGCGTGACTTGACGAGCTGCAGCAAGCAGCGCCCAAAGCTTTGCATCGATCGAGGCTGCTGTGAGCGCGGGTGGCACTCACTGGCCAAGGCAAGCCGCTGTGCTGAGCTCAAATCACGAGTCAAAGCCTTGCAAGTCGAGCGAGCGAGCGTTTGTCTGCACGATGTGCCTCTCACGCGCACCGCGCTCCAGGGGCAGAGACAGAAAATGCTTGCAGCGAGTTGAAGCACCTGAGGATTTTTGTATTCATGCAATACAACAACCTCGAGATCAAATTTTGACGTTCAGACATGCCCTGTCGCAGAATTTGATGAGAGTCGCATCGCCTCCACCCATCATCCATCCTCACGGCTCGGCGTGCCATTTGACCTTCCAACCCACAGCCTATTGATCTTTCGGGACTGGATCAATCCGCAAAGCGAATTCACCACCGCATCCCTCACAAGTTAGAAGTAACACACTTATTCATCGACCATGCCGACCATTGAAGAGATCACGGACGAGGCTCTCTCCAAGCAGGCCAACGTGGAGGATGAGGAGTGGGATGACGAGAGCGACGCAGAGGTGAGCACCAGCGTACGAGAAGCAGCGCTAGATAGCGGACTATTTGCATCGTCAAGGGATTGCCGTTAGCCGAAAGACTCAGCTACGAGAGCACAAGTCGTCCCGGGGCTTCTCTTTCTACACGAGCTGCAAGCCGCAACAAGTGTCGTTCCTCTGCAACACGTTCAGAGCTGACATATGCACACGCATCGCAATCGCTCAGTCCGACTTCTCCGATGACGAAGAAGTGACAGAGAAGGGACTCTCTCTACGCGAAGAGACAATCTGGGAGCGACTAGCTGCCTTGGTAGACATTATCCCTTCTTCTACACGCACCCGCATCTCCCACACTTTCCGAACAACTTCCGCCTTTGCTTTTACGGGAGCCAAAATCTTTGGGAATATCGCTTGGGTCGTCACTACTAGTGCGTTGCTTGTGGGATTGCCTTATGCGCTCGCGGTGGAGGATGAGGGAAGAATCATTGCTCAGGAGAGGGAGTTGCAATCTCAAGGTGGAGGTCCTGTAAGTAGGCACGATCGCGGCCAGAGCCTACCTCAACGCATACAAGGCCGCAAACGCCGACTTACTGATGTCTCTCGTGCATCCACAGATGCTCGCTGGTGGAGGACTAGGCGGCTTGCCTCAGGGACAACAACAGCAGCAAGCAGGCCAAGTGGGCGCCAAGCCCCCTGGCTTCTGATCGTCTCCTCCACCGCCGTTGAACGCAAAAGGACGCGGAGTATAAGCAGATCATGTCCCCATGTCGAACTTGACGATCAATACATCATCATCGCTCGCAAAGCACTGTGGGGACTGTGTGACGACACCAGGCGCTGCTCCATGTTCGCACAAAGCGTGAGCAACTGTGGCAGCCGACTCTCGCATGTGAAGAGCCACAAGTTCGACGCTACGCTTCATTCCTCGCTGATCAGCGTGCAAGCGATAAGGTCATTGGACGCATCAATGGGCTTCTCCAGCGGCATTTTTATCGCTGCAGTGGAGGCAGCGCTTCTTACAGCCATTGCGCGACGCAGGCGATCACGGCGCTGGCAAAGCTGCCCAAGAGTCAACATCGCCGTCTCGAACTGCGTGAAGGTGCGGGACGCGCTCCACGGCCTGCTTTGAACCAGCAATTTTTGTTGTTAAATGTTCCTTGCTTGGAGCTGTACTGAGTCTTGAATTTTATGAAGCGTCTGCCGGTCTGCCCCACGGATGGCATTCAAATTCAGGATTTCTTGGCCGGATGGCTTGTTAGCTCGGCCTGGCCTTGAGCCTGTCGTGAGGTCAGCAGGCGAGGCGGCGTGCGCGCCGCGGGTTTCGGCACGTGATGCACATACATGTAGCTGTCCTGGTCGCGCGGTGTCTCGCCAATCATTCAAGATTCAAGGTTGCCTTTGAATTCAGTCTTGATTCTTGATTTACAGCCTCACTCATCACTGAAGGCACGACTCTTGACTATGAGCATCGCTCACGATTTGACATTCTTCGATTGCACGCTATCGCTCAAGCTCCTGGAAAGCGAAGCAACTTCAACGCCCGAGGTACACTGCGCGTCGTTGTTACGTGCAATCGGCTGGAGCCCTTGCGGTTGGAAGACAGGCCGATCTGCTCGACTCGTGTGACCATCAACGCACTACTTTGCGCACGCATCAAGCGCTCATATCACTCTCGCCTACCTATATCCGCACGTCCGTCGTTGCAAAGAATCGCAAACATGGCCACGCGCTCAGACGTTCGGGACATCTTTTCCCTTCCCGACCGCACGGGCGCTTCCAGCTCCAAGCCCAGCAAACGCACGACGAATGGTCCCTCCAACATTTCATCGAGCACCAGCTCGGGACCTCCAGGTCTTCTCTCCACAAAGTCAAAATCCAGCAAACCCAAAGTGGATGGCATGACGAGAGAGCTGTACGCGCTCTTGGGAGACAATGCGCCCACCCTCAATGTTAGCCATGCGGTTGTGGCTGGAGGACACAACGAGATGTTCAAGTTCAGACCCAAATTCAAGAAGAGACCCAACAAGGCCCAGAAATGGTACGTCGCGGGACACAGTCAATGAAGATGCGGACGTGATACTGAGGTCACCCGACTGATCCGATAAACCACTTCCCTTCAAATCTGTCTGCAGGGTAATGGCACCTTTTCGCAACCCAGCTCGTGAGGATGACTTGGTGTTGCATCACTGGGTGCGGGAAAGCGAAGCTCTGGAAGGGAAGCAGGCAGAGCATAATAAAAAGGGCGACAGCGAATTGACCGAAGTGATGGATGTGGATGGTGAACCCTTTGACGAGGCCAGTGAGGGCAACACGAAAAGCAAGGGTCGAAGGTTGCCGCCCAAAGGTGAGTCGTAGTGCCACTCTTGATCTTTGGTACTGCGCTGCGCCTCGTGGTCTCTGACAATTGCAGCGAATCCTTAATCATGCAGACTACAAATTCTCGCACTTTAATACATCCTCGGGCGTCTACTCGTATTCCAACGACGAGTACCATCAGCACCTCCGCGACGACGACTGGACAAAGGAAGAGACGGATTACTTGATCGAGTTGTGTCAAGCGTACGATTTGCGCTTCGTCGTTGTGCACGACAGGTGGGAATGGAGAGGAGGGAGGGCACGTACAATCGAAGATCTCAAGGCGCGATACTACGCGGTCTGTCGACGTCTCATCAGATCCCGCATCACTACAAGCGATATGGAAGCCCGCCAGCATCTGCTGACCACTTACAGCTTTGATAAGGCCAGGGAGACGGAAAGGAAAAAGGCGGTAGAAAGATTGTTCTCTAGGAGTCCTGCGCAGCTGGCAGAGGAAGAAGCTCTATACGTCGAGGCTAGACGCTTGGAACAGAATGAAGCACGCTTTGCTGGAGAGAGGGAGGATCTGCTTAGGTTGCTTGGAGGATGGGAACGATTGCCTAATGGCGATCGAGCGACTACTGCAGGCCTGGCTGCAGGACTTGGCTACAACACTCCAAGTGGCACTTCTATCATCGAAGAGGCCTCAGATGGCAAGGTGGGTGCTGACTTTCCCTTTCCACTAAGCTTGCCTGGCTCACAACACCCCTCATCTCCCATGAACAGCGCAAGAAACGCAAGATTACAGATGGTGCAGAAGAAGACGCGCCCGCTCAGTCTTCACGCACCGGCTCATCCTTGTCCCAGAAGCAAAAGGTGGAGCTCAAGCAGGCACAATTCGGTGAGTGGAGTCACGTCTGATTCGCTCGAGGCATCGCCTCAAGCAATTTCAAGTGCTGACGATTTTGTCATCCATGGCGCGACAGACGAGACGCATTGCATTGCTCGCTTCGACCCTGTTCCAGCCGCGCCTTTCAAAGCTCCTTATCCGCACCTGCAAGGCACTGCCTCGTCTCAACCACCTGTCAATCCTGTCCCCTCCAACCAAATCTCCGCTCATGGAGCCTACTTGCGTTCCGCTAGAGTGCTAGCTCCTCGATCAACGCTTCTTCCACGGGTGCATCAGACCCTCGCCGAGCTGCGTCCTCCCGTTGGACCTCGCTTAGTCTTTCCGACTCAACGCAACGTGGAACGGTGGGAGGGCTTGTTGGGCGCTGTCACTGCTGGGTTGGAGATGAAGAGACAGTTGGATAGGGTAGAGAGCGAACTGAGGACGCAGAAAGCTAGAGTGGACGCTCAGATCAGTGCGATGAAGGCTGCTCAAGCGCAGAGCAAGACTCCTGCGCAGATTCAACAGGCTGGTCAGGCTGCTGCAGCTGCCGCTGAAGGTGCTCTTATATCGCAAGAAGAAGAGGCGGAGAGCGCAATGGTCCAGTAGCCCCTCGCTTCATCAGATCCGCGCGCAGCACCTTTGCCTTCTCTTGCAACACACACCACGCAGCCGTTGCGACATCAGACAATCACGTGCAGAATCGTCTTGTCGGGCCATTCAATTGTGACCGCTTTCTTTTGGGGGAAAGATACGATACATACAATCTGACGAGCGCATCACCAGCTTCTCCAATACCCCGCATCTGCGCCGTCCGTCTTGCCCGCATTGCCCGCTCCACTGACCTCGCTCGAGATGACGCGGTGTACTGCAGAAGCACGTACGAGTATTTTCAGTTTATGAACGCGAGCAACACGGCGTGACCTCGCTCCGACGGGTCCAAAGAAATGTCCGTGACTCACCGTGGCACAAGTAGTCGACGTAGGACATCATGTCGTTATTCTGATCCTCCACCAAGTTGTTGGCCAGCTCCACTTCCATGCCGTCCCTATTCTGTCTGGCAATGAAGACGGGTAAAGCAGGTTTGCTGCGCTGCGTCGCGAAGCTTTGCACGAGCGTTCTGACTTGCTTGGACAGCTTTGTAGGCAGCTTAGGCAGGGTCGTCTGGAGGATAGCGTGGGGTTGTGCATGCGCGTCAGCGGGCCAGCCTTCAAGCCGCTGGGCAAGCGCGAGCACAATCGGCCAAAGCGCGCGGTCGTCTCTGCGCGCATTGTACTCACCATGCGAGGATCGAGCTCCTCCAAACTGTTGACGCCGTACAGGTCGTCCAGCAACCTCGGATTGACTTGACTGCCGAGCCACAAGATGCACATGTCTCCATTCTCCAACAAATAAGCTCCATGCGCTTCCATGCGCTGATAGCTGGGGCGCAGAAGCGGAGGACACTTGATCCTCATACCTTCCACCTGCGTCTCCGAACCATCCCCATTGGTTTGTTGGATCTTGATGGGTTCTCCATCATCATCGCTCATGCGATGCAAGGCAATCATTCTCGGATACAGTGCAGACATGATCAAGTTGGTGCCCATGCCCCTCAACGTTCGCATGTGGTACGTTCTGACGTCCGACGTCACGTTGCCTCCTTTGATGGCTTTGGTTTTGTTGATGCCCAGAGCGTAGAGCGGCAACAGCTTGAAGCTCTCTGGCAGGATGAGCTGACCCGGGCTCGTCGAGGAGGCGCAATTACGTCGATACGCTAGGAGAATCTTGACGCACCGCTCAGTGAGGTAGTGGCGAACGTCCCGCAACGACTTGGTGTGTGCAAGCGATATTGCTGAGGCAGCGGAATCGTCGGTCTGTCAGAAAGACGCGCACGCTTCAATTCGTGCCTCAATTTGAAACTTACATTCTTTCATGAAGTAGGCAACAGTGCTGTCCAAGTCGGCGTATCGGAATACGTTGCCAAGCAAGCTGGTGACAGGCACTGCCAAGTTCGAACACCTCACTCGTCTCTCTCCCGAAGCAGTAGTGTACAAGATGGCGCACTGGAAGTGGGCTTCTTGTTTCTCGTCCAGCTTGGCTTCGTGCTTGATGAGCGCCGCAATAGACTTGTCCGCATCCACATTTGCAAACTCCAGATCCGTTGAATTGCGCTGCAAGAAGTTGCCGAAGTGATCCGTCACATGCAGGCCGTTGCTGCATCGAATGCGCATGGTCGAATTGTAGCCCGTCTCGCGCAGCACGGCACGCTTAATTTGAGCGTCCAGCTTGACGCCATCTCTGACGGGATCGAAACGAGGGTGGAAGAAGAGCTCTCCTCCAGTTACTCCACTCAAGGTGCCGATGGTGGCCACATCGATGTACTGGCTGGGGAAGAAGAAGACATTGATACCGATTCCGGCCTCAACACACTCCTCAGCAACTCCCCTATACCAGCCGTCTTGAGGAATGAAGAGGTTCCTCTCCTTGTCCGTGCCATACAGCTTCGTGTCTTCTCGATGTTTCAATGCGCCAGGTCCCAGAGTGGGAATCGTAGACAGGAAAATGTTCGCTTGACCTCCGATCGTGCTCAGCGTGGCCTGCACGCCTCGAACAACAGCACCGAGAGCGGCTTCGGAAGCGGAATTTTCGGCGAACATCGTAGGCAAGCTGTCGAGCAGGCCTTCGATCTGCGACTTGGAGTCCCATGGATCTGCCAACAGACCTTCGCTGATTGGAACAAAGGGCTCGTCGATGTCTGCGACAACGAGCATCTGAGCTTGTTCCAAGCTCGGCAGCAAGTTGTAGAAGTGCAAAGCCCTGTCGAAGGTCAAGATCACCACGCGACTGCCGTGAGGCAATCCAAAGCCGGGAGCTTCCTCGTTCGCAGCTTCGCTGTTCGTGCCAGAAGCGCCCCTAGGTCCGTACAGGGTTTCCCTGATGCTCTCGATGCATTTTTGAAGGCTGCCACACCTGACGGCGGAAAAGGACACGTCAATCGCAAAGAAGTACGTCATAGGCCTCGGAGCGCGAACAGTCGTGCGTCCTTGGCCGATGGTCAGGGTGTTGCTCAGCGCCTCACTCGCGGCCTTCGTCGCAGCTTTGGCGGCTTGTCCGCCTTGTCCACCAAGACCCATTGTTGAGCCCGCAAATGCTTCGCTAGGTGCGTTGTCCGGGCGAGGACTCAGCTTTGCAGTCTCAGTGAGCGACAGGGCAGGAGCGACTGGTAGCAAGACGCTAGCTGGTGGGCTTGCCTGCACGGCCCAATACTCTTTCGGCACTCTGAATTCCACCGTACCCCGGCTGAGTTCCGGCCTTTGCTCGAAATCTACTCGTCTGCCTCCCATGTCCAAATTGCAGAAGTAGTCAGGCGCGACATCCGTGGCTGTTCCGCAAAGGTTACAGCACCACTTTTGGCCTCCTTCAACGAAAATGGCCCAAGGGTTGATGTAAGCCCTGCACCGCTTGCATCGAGGAGGACCGCTTGGACCGCACTCAACAACAGGCACGGGCAGCTCATCGGGTCTCTGCTGAGCAAAGGGCTGGACTACAAGCGAGATGGGAAGCTGCGACATGGAAGCCAGCTCATCCGAGAACGGCAAGCTGTAAGTCGTGAGCCGCATGTGCTTGGGAGAGCAATTTCCCTGGTCCACTGCGCCAAAGTCCGTTGTGCTCAACGGCAACCCTCCGCGTCCGCAAGTCGCAAACCATTCCTTGTCAAAGAATTCTTGATCTGCGTCTTGAGCTTCGACCGGTGCCGGTATCTGATCAGGATCAATCTTGCTGCGAGGGCCGGCAAAGCGCTGGCCCGCCTGGTGTGGAGGTTGGCTGATCCCACCTGGCTGACCAGCTTGCTGGTGAGCAAAGCCGGACTGCATGGGGGCACCCGGAGTGTGCGGTCCAGGAGGGCCAGGCGTTATGGGCATCGATTGCATGAAGGCTCCTCCAGCACCACCGGGCGCTTGCAACTGACCACGTTGACCTTGAGCTTGAGCCTGCATACTCGCTAGGCGCTGCTGATTTGCTGCCGCTTGTTCTGGGGACAACACATTACGCTGTCCAGGGTATTGATCCAGCGCTGCATCTGCGTCACCTTCCAATTGGGACTCGTATGCTGCAACGCGCGCTGCTGCTTCGGCTTGCCAGTCCGCTTGCTGGGGCTGACCATAGCCGTGAGGTCCCAGCCCGCCCTGTTGACCTGCGGGGGCAACTTCCTCCTGCTGATGGTACGCACGAGCACTCCGCTTATTCTTGGAGCTAGCAGCAGCTGCACCCTCTGCCGGTGGCGGCGACAACGCAGTAGCAGGAGCCGCGGCAGAGCCACCTTGCTGACCAAGGTTCATATTTGACATTTGAGCGTGCAGACTTTGCGGGTTTCCCGGTCCTTGCTGAGGTTGCTGCTGTGGGACTCCAGGTCTGCCCTGAAGGGCACCAGGCTGAAACGGTCGAGCGCCTTGAGGCATGGGAGGCATACCGGGTCGAGGACTTGCCCGGCCCTGCTCGCCAGGTGGCGCTGGCGTGAGACCTCCGTTGCGTGGAGGTAATTGTTGTTGCGGATATGCTGGCACGCCTCCCTGGCCTGGCGGGCTCATGACGCGCTGTTGAGGATTGGGCATGGGGGGCTGACCTGGCCTGCCTTGCTGTGGGAATGGACCGGGTCCGGTGCTGCCCGGTCGGGCCAGTTGAGGTGGTTGTTGGCCGGGAGCCAGTCCGGGCCCAGATGGCCGGGCAAACTGTGAGCCTGGAGGGGGAGGCCGACCTGCACGAAGACCGCAGCGTGTCAGCTCGTCGAGATCGCCGTGCACTTGTCATCGAGGCTATATTAGCTCAAGAGCATCCAGCTTATTGCAGTGAAGGAATTTCCAACCCACGAAAGGCCAGATGCTAGACACAGCCTTGAGAGGCTACACTTACCTGGGAAGCCATTCGTGCCCGGAGGAAATGGCGGCCGACCCAGCTGAGTACCAGGAGGCGCAGGCGGCCTAAATTGTCCATTCATGCTACCCTGCTGAGGCTGCTGATATCCTCCCGGACCACCTGCGCCCTGTCCCTGCTGGGAAGCCATGATTGGGGAGGGTGTCGCTGGCTTCAAGTCGTCAGGTGCCGTTGGCGTCAAAGGCGGCGAGACTAGACGGGTTTGGAGGGAAGGCAACGCAGAAGCCTTGATGATTCCTTATGCCTTTTGAGCAGAGCACGAACGCGTCGCGAACCAATTAGACTGGCGTAGGTGGTGAAGGGAGGGGATTCGTGAATGAGCCACTGGTAATGAGGAGACTCCGTCGGAGCGAAGTGGATAGTTTCCATTCGCACTCTTGACTATGCGTCCACCGACCGTCCTTGGCTGCGATCGAGCTGCGCTGGTGGCTTCTCCACGGTGCATGGCTTGCTGCGTACGGTAAGTGTGAATGCGCGCGCTTGGATCACATCGGCAAGCGCAGTCCTGAGTGTGATGAGTCGTGAGTCGTGGGTCAGCTGCAGGTGACGCGACATGCTGATTGCTGTCGTGCTGGAGGTGAGCGTTCTCAGAATAGTCTCGAATAATGCTGTCTCACGCACCGACGAGCCCTTGGCCATGGACGCACGCGCAAAGCACCATCCTAATCCAAATTTCACAACTGGAAGATTGACATATATAATCTCAGGGTCATTCACGTTTGAGCTGCTTCTCCTTGCTTGGACTGAGATCTTGTTCACTCATTCGCTCTACTGGTCCGTCCATCCCTGACAGTTTGCACACTCTTCAAACTGCCACGAAGACTCACGACTATTCTTGCCCGCCCAAGGCCCTATCGAGTGGCGCAGCATCACTCCTCTTGAAGCGCGTTGCATCAAGCGCTCATGAGCAGAGCTTCAGTCTTGCTACATCGCACTTGAATGCTTGTCTTGCCACTTTGAATCGAGAGCCACTCACCAATGGAACAAGACACTTTAGTCGACCCATTTCACGCACGATCACTCGGCAAGACCTCAATTTTCTGTAGCTAGGACCTGGGCGAGGTCATGAGCGGCGTAGGTGGGCACGGCGGGCGCGCTGCCTCTTCAGAGGCCTCCTATAACCTCAACGACCACTTTGGCGATCTGGACGTCTCTTCGGAGTATGGAGGAGCCGCTCCGTCAGACTACTCCGACTCAACCTCCACCACTGGAGGTCGACCGGCTTTTCGAAACTCAGAGTCGGTCGCAGATTCGGACTTTGACATTTCCAACCTGAGCATCACCGATGCTGATATCGATGGAAGTGGGCCCTTGAAGGCGAAGGATCCGCTCAAGGATGCAGGATTTGCGCTGGATGCAGCAGACGACGACGATGGACAGCAAGAGGAGGAAGTGCCTCCGCATGCTTGTGTGTACTGCGGCATACACAGCCCAAGCTCCGTCGTAAAATGTCTCGTATGCAACAAGTGGTAAGTGTGGCTCGCAGTCCATGAGTCGCGCAAAGCGCAAAATCCAGAGGCTCGAGCCCGCCCAGCGCCTTGCGCTGATCACGCCGCTTCACCAGGTTCTGCAATGCTCGAGGCATGACTTCATCATCCCACATCGTCACACACCTCGTGCGTGCGAAGCACAAGGAGGTCTGCTTGCATGCTGAATCGCAACTGGGAGAGACTACGCCTGAATGCTACAATTGCGGAACCAAGAACGTCTTCTTGCTAGGCTTTATTCCGGCGAAAAGCGAGACTGTGGTCGTTCTCCTCTGCAGGTGAGCATGCTTCGCTACATCTAGTTGTGGTGACCCACACTGACGCCACGCGAGGTGATGCAACAGACAACCGTGCGCTGCCATGCCGGCATCGAAGGACGTGGTGTGGGACGCAACGCAGTGGGCTCCTCTCATTGATGATCGTTCGTTTCTCAGCTGGCTCGTCAAGGTCCCATCGGAGGCCGAGCAGCTCAGAGCAAGACCTGTGACATTCAGACAGATGAACCGTCTGGAGGAACTCTGGAAGGAGAATGAGAGGGCGACAGTGGAAGACGTAGATCGACCAGGAGTTGACGAAGAGCCACCAGGCGTTTTGCTGAGATACGAAGATGCGTATCAATATCAAAACATCTTTGGCCCTCTGGTCAAAATCGAGGCAGATTTCGATCGCAAGCTCAAAGAGAGCCAGACCCAAAACGACCTAGTCGTGCGTTGGGATCAAGGTCTGAACACGAAGAAGATTGCGTGGATGAATTTGCCCCGCTTGGAGAGCGGTGAGGTGAAGCTCGCAGTGGGGGATGAGTTGAAACTTAGGTACGCCGGCGAGCTCGCAGCACACTGGGAGGGCGTCGGACACGTCATCAAGGTACCGAACAGTGAGTCCTCTCGACACCATGAGCAATGCAGCGCGAAGATCGTTCTGGACTGACCTCAAACCTACTCCTCACTCTAGATCTCTCCGACGAAGTGGCCATTGAGCTGCGTCGTAATGACGGCGTTCCGGATTGGTGCACGCACAATTTCAGTGCCGATTTTGTCTGGAAGAGCACCAGCTTTGACCGCATGCAGACCGCGATGAAGACTTTTGCGGTCGACGAGCAGAGCGTTAGCGGCTACATCTACCACAAGCTGCTCGGACACGAGATTGAGCCTGTCACTCTCCGCACGACGATGCCCAAGCGTTTCAGTGCACCTGGTCTTCCGGAACTCAATCACAGCCAGGTTGGAGCAGTCAAGGCGGTCTTGCAGAAGCCTCTGAGTCTCATTCAAGGTCCTCCAGGAACCGGAAAGACGGTCACCTCTGCTACCATCGTCTATCAGCTGAGCAAGATGAATCCTGGTCCAGTGCTTGTCTGTGCTCCCTCAAACGTAGCTGTCGATCAACTGACAGAGAAGATCCACGCCACGGGTCTCAAGGTCGTTCGGCTGACTGCCAAGAGTCGAGAAGCCATCGAGAGCCATATCAGCTTCTTGACACTGCACGACCAAGTGGCAAATAACGACACGCACATCGAGCTTCAGAAGCTGATCCAACTTAAGGGTGACCAAGGAGAGCTGAGCAGCAGCGACGAGCGCAAGTACAAGGCTCTCACGCGCGCTTGCGAGAAGGAGATCCTCAACACGGCCGACGTCATTTGCTGCACCTGTGTTGGTGTTGGCGATCCTCGCCTTAGCAAGCTCAAATTCAGGACTGTCCTCATCGACGAGGCTACTCAGGCTGCGGAGCCAGAGTGCATGATTCCCCTCGTCTTTGGTTGCAAGCAGGTCGTCTTTGTCGGTGATCATCTCCAGCTTGGCCCAGTGATCATGAACAAGAAGGCGGCGCGAGCAGGTCTTTCTCAAAGTCTTTTCGAGCGTCTCATCGTTCTGGGCAATCGGCCCATCCGTCTCGAGGTGCAGTACCGCATGCACCCGTGCTTGGCCGACTTTCCATCCAACATGTTCTACGAGGGCACCCTGCAGAATGGCGTCACTGCGCCCGAGCGTCTGCGAAAACACGTCGACTTTCCCTGGCCCGTCCCAAGCCTGCCGATGTTCTTCTATCAAAACCTTGGCCAGGAAGAAATTTCGAGCAGTGGTACATCGTTTCTCAACCGTACGGAGGCATCGAATGTGGAAAAGATCATCACAGCTTTCTTCAAGGCTGGCGTCACTCCTGGTCAGATTGGTGTCGTCACGCCGTACGAAGGACAGCGCAGCTACATTGTCAACCACATGCAGTTCCACGGCCGCCTGCGCAAAGACTTCTACAAAGAAGTCGAGGTCGCCAGCGTCGATGCTTTCCAAGGGCGAGAGAAAGATTACATTATTCTCAGCTGCGTCAGATCCAACGAGCACCAAGGCATTGGGTTCCTGAGCGATCCTCGCCGTCTCAATGTTGCCCTCACGCGTGCGCGTTACGGTCTCGTCATCCTGGGAAATCCCAAAGTGCTGAGCAAGCATCCGCTCTGGCACTATCTGCTCGTGCATTACAAGGAGAAGGCCACTCTGGTCGAAGGCGCACTGTCGAACTTGCATCCGTCTATGATTCAATTCAGCAAGCCGCGTCGCCCTCTGCAAAAACCAGGCGATCTTTCGGCACGTCATCATCTCGACGCGGACGGTGTTGTCGCTGGGCCGAACAGCTCCTATGGCGCTGCGAATAAGGCTGCAGGTCATGATGGAAATGGTGCAGGCTTGTCCACACCTAGTGGACCGGATCCGAGCTTCTTCAGGCATGATCGCGTCTCTTACATTCCCAGCGATGCACAAAGCATTGCAAGTCTGGGCACGCAAGCTACGTATCCCTCCTCGCGCCTGCCTCCATTCGCATCAGCAGCTAGCTCCATCAGCGGCAGCTCTCACCTGAACGGCGGGGGTCACGGAGGTCTGGCGTCTAGCTACGCTAGCAGCATCATCAGTCAAGATGTGGATGCGGAGAGCATTGCAGGAAGCAGCGTCGCTCCTCCGCCCAGCATCACCTACAATCAGAACGATCGACTTCGTAGACGACTCAGTATTACGAGTAGCCAAGGAGGGGCGAGCGACATTGCCGCATTGGACGGCTACAAGGGTCAAGCGCTCGTCGGCGATCGTGACGATGTGGACGATACTCTGAGCAACTACTCTGCTCCGATTTCTCAAGCAAGCTTTACCACTTTCTGATCGACAAAACCTTGTTTCTGCTGTCGGCCCGGTCAACGCCTGCGAGTCCTTTATGCTGGACTTGATTTCGTCGGTCCCCGCAATGCCGGCCACGTATCGCATCGACACCAAGATGCTCATCGCTAGATTGGGCATATGCAGGCAAAGCACGCGCGCGACAGCTTCGTCGAGAGTCGACTCGAAGGCAGAATGCCTGGCAAGCCAGTCGCGCTCCCATCGAGGCGTGTGGTGTTGATCTGGCTCGTTCTTCGTGTAGCAAGTCGAGTGGCTGCTTCGCGATCCGACTTGGGCAACTGACTGAGCACGTAGAGCTGTGAAGGCCTGTGCGCAGGCTTGACACGTTGCAGCAGCAGGGCCACCTCGAGCCAGCTGTGCCTGCCCAGTCTCTGCTTGGGGCTCCCTCGCTCACTACGCGCCGCGGCCCAATCACGCCACGTAGCATCTCGCTCATCAATCTCCTCTCTCTCTCTCTCTCTCTCTCTCTTTCTCACACTCTTGTTCTCTCTTTCTCTTGTGAAATTCATGAGCTTTCATTTTGAAGCCTCGATTTGGATCTATTGTACAATGCAAGACGGGGCATGGACAAAGCGTAGAGTGATAGGAATGGAGTGCTTGAGGGATGCTGTGGAGCGGCGGGCTTTGCGATCAGGCTTGCATCGCCGCTATGCCCCTTACGCTTTACGCTGTGAGGGAAGCGCGAAGTTTGAGGCTGAGGTTGAAGAGCTGCAGTTCTTCATCACCCCCATCTATCAATGCCTTGTCCGCGTCTCCCAAGTCTATTGCGCATTTAGCCTTCGCTTTAGCCGTCAAGAGCGGATGGAGCATGATGTAATCGTGTAGCTGCGCGAGCGCAGAGGCGAAGAACAAGGAAAGAGGCGTGAGTGAGTAAAAGTCCAACTTTGGCGCTCTGCTCGAAGTTCAAGAGAGCAAGGAGGAGGAGGGGTTGGATATGTGCAAAACAAGATGTGCTTGGGTCTCACCTGTAGCAGCAGTTGGGTGGTGGAAAAGCCCTCCATGGCTAAGCTCTTGACCTGCTTTTGCACAATCTCAAAAGGCGTCGTCGCAGGACCCGGAGCCAACATTTCCACATCCCCATCGTCCACATTGCCATCCTCGTCGGGCGGAGGGTCGACACCGATGGACTTGCCTAGGGCGCGAATAGCCAAGGATGGCACCACTCCTGCGATCTCGACGATGGATTGCCGAGTGATAGGAGTGCTAGAAGCGGTTCCTGCTCCGTGCAAACGTGATGCGGACTGCAAGTACGTGATGGCTCGACGCAGATCGCCGTCGGATGTGTCGATGAGCGTATCGAGCACCTGCACGACGACGACGACGATGATGATAATGATGATGATGTTCCCCATTGTACTGGTAAGTACTCGCTCTGATCCTTAGATCGTACCACCGACGTAGAACTCACGCCATCCTCAAACGACACCCTCTCAGCTTTCGCGATCTCTTCCAACCTTTCCCGCGTGCTACTTGTGTCCAGCATACGAAAGCGGAACTTGCTGCAGCGCGAAGCCAAAGGCTCGATGATTCTGAAAGTGCAGTAGGCCGATCAACAATGTTCGGTCAGCAGGTCTTGCAGGAGTAGAAGCGGTCATGGCCAGCGCGCACAGCAAGACGCTCACCTAGTCACGTAGTTGCACACCAAGCAGAAGCGAGTGATGCGGCTGTACTGCTCCATGATTCTGCGAAGCGCGCTCTGCGCATCTTGCGTCATGCTGTCCGCCTCATCCAGAATGATGATCTTGTATGGCGGGCAAGGAAAATCGCTGAGGGTCGGGATGGCGAGGGCGAGGTCGCAATGTGCGAGACGCGCATCAGCATCCAGGTGTTTTCAGCCCTTTGCCTGGGCGCAAGACGAAGGGGCGCGGCGTGGAGGAAGACTCACACATTCGCATTGCTCACTGCCGTCTTTGCAAAATTCTTGATCTTCTCTCTGACCACGGTGATGCCTCTTTCATCCGAAGCGTTCAGCTCGAGTACTCTGCTCCTCATCAACTCCGGACCAAAGAGCTGTCTGGCCAGAGCCAGAATGGTGCTCGTCTTTCCCGTTCCAGGCGGACCGTAGAAGAGCATGTGAGGCAAGTTGGAGGACATTAATGTTTTTCTCAAAACGGCCACCGTGTGTTCTTGTGCCGTCACATCCTCGATCGTCTTTGGTCTGTACTTTTCCACCCAAGGTCGAAGTCGAGCTGCTTGCTCCGCCTCTTGAGCAGAGCTTTGCTTCCCCGCTGCTTGATTCTTTGCCTTTTGGGGTAAGAACATGTTTTGATCTTTTGCACTTATCTGCTAAGCTTTATTCCTATTCCAGTGATGCGACACCTTGCACCTCTCGCTAGCTTCCTCACGTATCTCCCGTGCGCCGTCGCTGAAGATTGCTAAGGCTGCCGCTGCGGCTTTAGCAAAGCCGGCCTCTGTATCGACCACGAATGGTAGTCTTTTTGCGCACCACTCCCGCAGTCCTATCAATCGATGTCCGAAGAGCCGTTCCCGATCTTTTCGCGGCTTCGGCCTCTTGATCAACCTCTCCTCTGCGATCTTTCTCGACCGGCTCACCGCAGTCGATCTGTCTAGCCGGCGGCAAGATGTCCTTATCAGAACGTCTCTCGATCCAAATATCGCGCTCCTCCTCTTTAGGTCTAGCGGAGAAAAAGTCTTCAGGTACAATGAAGCTGCAACCTTGTGGGGCTATAGGGACCGAGATCTGCGGTGCGCTTGCTCTGCGAGGCTGATTTGGAGGCGCGTGTAGAGTGAGCTTGTTCACAGCGAATGTCGAGGAGGAGGCGATGGGGGTGTTGGAAGTGGAGATGGCACGTCTAGTCGAAGAGATGAGTCCTGCTTTGCCGGATGAAAGGCCGGCACGATCAATAGCCTTTCGACTATTTGGACCGAGGCGAAAGTCGGAAAGAGCAGGTACGGTGAATGTTGGCAAGCTGGGAAGTGCGGGACTGCCTTTGACGAGCTGCGCGGTTTGGATGCTTGCTGCTGTAATCGAGTGACCCGTCGAGTCCAGCAGGTGTGTTGCCTTCTCTACGCTTCGAGTCGACGTCGCAGCGGTGAGATCCGACCAGATCGGATGCGCTTCGAATGCAGTCGCCCTTTTCGTCGAGGGCAGCAAGGCGTAATCGTTGACAGCGGTGGGTTGGGCGAGTAGGATGAGCGGTCGAAGTGGTTTGTGATGGGCATGCGCATCAGCAAGAGGTAGCAGCAGTGATTGCGCTTGCGAGTCGAATCGCAAGCCGCCATCGCCGCTCGTCGCTGCTGCTGCTGATGCTGGCAAGACGCGTGGAGGAGACGCGGTGCACGTCGCGTCCTGCTGCTGCTGCTGCTGCTGCTGCTCATCTAAATGCGCATTTGATTTTGTCGAATTCGTATTCGAATTTGAAATGCTCTCCACAAAATAAGCGCGTCGGGATTGCACGCCGGTGATTTTGCGCAGACTTCTTCGTCTGCTGGCTGCCGCTGCCGCTGTCGATGCTCCTGCTCCTGCTCCTGCTCCTGCTCCTACTGCGGCGGAAGCGGAAGCAAAAGCAAAGGCTTGCTGGTGGTGATGAAAAGGCGAAGCGTGAATGCTTGATGGGTTGCGTAGATGAGCTCGAGCTGGGCGCGCGGGGGAAGAGCCGTGGCGAATAGTGTGTGTGCTGTGATGCAGGAGTTGCAATTTCCGCGGACTGAGATTGCCGCTTGCGCGTTTGTTGGAGGTATTGTCGAGGAGCATGATGATGATGGATGGTCGATCGCGTTCTTGGCCGCCGGCGTAGTCGTGAGCCAGTCGTGATCGTGAGTGCGAATTTAAAATTGTGGGCGAAGCGGAAATTGGGGATGATGGTGAAAAGTGATGAGAAGACAGCAAGCGATTATCTCCTCTTGAACAGCTCACACACACACACACGCACACCCAAGTCCTCACCCAAATCCATTGTGATTCGCGCTCGATCAAGAAGAAGTTCACAACAGCCGTGAGTCAGTCCAGCATCTACGAGTCGAGGTCCAGTGAGCGTCTCGCCGCATTCCTAGATTGTCTACCAAAAGGGATGCACGCGCGCGCCTACGCTCGCTCAACGGTCATGACGGGCCTCGCGCGCGCGCGCGCGCGCGAGAGCCGTTGTACTAGCGAGCCTAAACGATCGATCTGAACGAGTCAAGCAAGCAGCTGCCCCTACGCTCATCTTCCGATTTGACCATCGTCGATGATTCGTTGCCAGCGTTGCAAACAAGGCGCCATTGGAGCTCGTCCGGCCTACTCACCCGCTTGCCTCATTCGACAATCAACACATGCACATTTGCTCGCAGATGAGCTCAAGCAGCACGCCTGCGGCCGTCCACGCGCCGATGTTTGCTGCCACCTTAACTTACGCGAACCATGCACCAACGGGAACGAGAATTTACAGCAACCGAACGAATGCAAAAGAAAGAAGCCGTCGTTCCATTCGTAGTGGAGCTGCAAGGACGAGCGAGCGAGGTTGGAAGCGGTAGGAAACATGGTTCGCCGTTGGCATCGACATGCCATACAGGGTTCGCGTTGCCTTACTAAGCAGCGCTCGTGGACATGCACAAAGGTGGAGAGGAAAGCCGATCTGGATGGCGGGGCAAGATCTCCAGGGAAAGAGACGCAACAGATGAAGGGAAAAGCGGGTATGCTAGCCCAGACCAAAGGGCTCGGCCCAACGCGGCGTGATGAAGTGCGCGTCAGACTGACAGATGAAAGGCTACCATCTAGGAGTAGACCTTCTTCACCTTGTCCTCGTACTTCTTGACAGCTTTGCCGCGCTCCAGCTTTTGAGCTGCAGTCATGGGCAGGTCCTCAGGCACGAGCACGACAACATCGAGAATCTCTTGGCCTCGAAGACCGCCCTTCTTGCCGACCTCATTGAGCGACTTGAGCACCTGGTTGGCCACATCCTCATCCTCTGCCGCCTCTTCAAGACTCTTTGAGGTGAATTGCTTGAGGCCATCCTCGCGAGGGAATACGATGGCCATGGGCTTGCTGTTGTTGCTATCCGCATGAACGCAGATGTTTTGCACAACATCGCAGCTCTTGTAAACGCTCTCAAGTTTCTCCAGCGCGACGTACTCTCCACCCGACAGCTTGACAAGGTTCTTCTTCCTGTCAATGATGCTCAGCGTGCCGTCCTCGTTCCACTGGCCAACGTCACCAGTCTTGAGCCATCCATCCTCTGTGATGGTCTCCTTGGTGACCTCGTCGCGCTTAAAGTATCCCTTGGTAACAGCTGGGCCTCGGATCCAAACCTCTCCCTGAGGGGGCGAGTTGGTGGCGTGGTATCCCGCGTCTGGCACGTCGACCAGCTTGATCTCAATGGCTGGACTAGGGACGCCAACAGTCCTGTACGCGTTGTAGACAGGCGTGCCGATCGTGCACATGCTGCAGGAGTCATGCACCAAGAGAATTTCAGATGTGAGCAGAAGAATGCCGAGCAGCGTGGGAAGGCCTGAACTCACCCGCAAGACTCGGTCATGCCGTATCCTTGCAAGAGCTGCATGAGCGCCAAGTCCAAAAATTCTTGCGTCTCTTTGGAGATGGCAGCACCTCCACTGAGCGCGACGCGCAGTCTGCCTCCGGTCTGGGCGCGCACCTTGTTGAATACGATTTCGGACGCAGACGAAAGCAGGGGAATCTTGTTCTTCTTCCAAGTCATGGCGCCGCGGAAGGCATACTTGGCAACAGTGGGGCCAGCATTGACCTTTGTGTTGATTCCCTTGCGGATGGTCTCCCAAACTGTGGGCACACCAACCAAGACGGAGGGCTTGAAGCAAGCAATGTCACCCAAGCAGTTCTTGGTTCCCGCAGGCGTGAGCGTCTTGACTCCTCCGTAACCCATCGTCAAGCCCACATACATGAGCGAGCACTCGACGATGAACTCGAGAATGTGCGCAAGTGGCAAGTAAGCCAAGAATGTGTCCGTGGGCCTGAGGTGAGGTCCGAGAAGAAGCTCCACCGATCCGCACGCAGCAACCAGGTTGCCGTGAGTGAGGATCACACCCTTTGGCTTACCAGTGGAGCCTGAGGTGTACATGATGCAAGCAACATCCTCCGCCTTGGGTGGGTTTGGCTTGGCAGGGTTTGCCTTGCCCTCAGCCTTGAGCTCATCCAGACTGAGGACGCGAGAGCCTTCTCGGCTCTGCAGCTTCTCGCGCAATTGCGAGAGGAGGCTCTCTTCCAATTCCCCATTGTAGACGACATACTTGACAGTAGGCGTCTCGTCAAGCACGCTGATCAGCGTCTTTACCAGATGTGGGTTGGTGAAGATGCCGACAACGTCGGGCTCAGCGAGCGAGTGCTGAAGACCCTCTGGGCCCAGAGTGTCGTAGGCAGTGCAGAATGGGATATTCTGGGCAAAGCAACTGTGGGCGAGGTTTTGCCAGTCAAGCCTGCAAAGGGGGGGACAGAAGGAGAGTGGATGAGCAGCGGCTGGAGCTTGATGATTGAATACGCTTGCACTCACGAGGTGGAGCCGTAGATGTTGAATCGTGTAGAGGTGCTCAGGCCAAGGTGCGCAAGACCGCTGGCTGCGTTCTGCACGCGCTCGTTGAACTCGGTGTATGTGATGTACTTTGGGCAGAGAGTGGCATGCAATGTCAGCGTCTTGCTTATTTGCGACAAATGGACGACCACCCTAACCCACCTTGTAGTCGCTGAGCTCTTGAAGCTGCCAAGTCTTCTTCTCTGGAGCGCCGAAGAGGGCAAGCACACGTGGTCAGGAGAGTTCAAAGCGTTGTCAGAAGCCCCGCACGCCTTGAGCCGAGAAGCTCAAAGGCTTTGGCATGCGAGCCATCACGCTTAGCGCAGCCTGCTGGTACTCTGGGGACCGCAAGCAGCTCGAGCTCGACTGGACGAGCTGCGTCCTACTCCTGACTGCTGCCGCGCTTTTGCACAGCTCACCTTTGACTTCCTTGCCATCCACCTTCTTCGTGACCTCCTTCTCTTCATTGTGAATCTTGATGAGTTCACGGTAACCCATGCAAGGCTTGTTGGTGTACTCTGCGATTCAGCCAACGGATCGACAAGGGGTAGGTCAGCGATGCTTTTTGCATGCGGCCCAAATGCTACACCTTTGCAATTTCGCACTCACTGCCTACGATGAATTGAAGAATGTCGCTCATGGTGTTGATCTTGCCATCGTTGCCCGTAGGTCTCTCGACCAGCTTGTCGGGCGAGCAGAAGGCTCGGCGCACCTTGGTCTCCCCAGCAGGTGGGGCACCACCAATCTCGACTGATCCAGGGACTGGCGCCATGGTGTAGAAGTTTGGAAAAGGTGAAAGATGCAAAAGTTGCAAGAAAAGGTGATCTGTGAGAATCGAAATTGGTGAGGGTCAAGAAGCGAGCGTCACCAGGATGATGATGAAGGTGATGGAGATGCGCGCGTGGACTTCGGGATGTTGTGCAGCAAACGTGAAGGTGCGGGGAAATCTCTCTCCCAGCAGCTTATGCGCGCAGCAAGTTCAGTCGACCGATCGATGATGCTGCGATGCCTTGCTGCTGCTGCGCTGGTTGGCGCGCGTTTTGCGTGAAAGTGAAGCGAGCGAGCCGTGCGCTTGCAATAAGGACTTCGCTGTTTGTGTGGGTCTCGAGCAATTTGGCTGAGGCGTCAGGCGTGTGCGGTGTGCGGCTCCGCGAGTTCTGCTTTGTCTCTTCTGTATATATGGCTGTTTCACTTTGTTGTGTGTGATGAAGGGGAGAAGCCTATATATATAGCTCTCATCAGCGTCACTACGCTGCTGCTGGACCAGCAATGACAAGTGATGAACTCACCTTCACCTCGTTCCACACCCATGGCATATACGTGTCTTGGAGCCGGGACGCGCAAGATGACTAGCTGAGACACGCCCAGCAGCAGGATTGAGGTGATGCATACGCGGTATCGGGCGCAGCTGTAGAGGACTTTTCGGCTCGGAGCCTGCAGAACAAGGAAGGGGCTGACTGTACTCCACACAGCATGCGTTCCCACATCATCATCATCATCAGCAGCAGCAGCAGCAGCAGCAAGCCTCATGCATGCAAGCAGCTGTGCGGGCATCGCGCCTTGGCGCGCCGCGGCCGCCAGAAGCGCGGAGCGCGGAGCTCATATAGCCCGTGTGCACAGCAGCACAGCAGGACCAAAAAAGTGGGGCCACAGAAAGCAGGAAGGCCGATCGATCGAGCCGTGAGTTTTCGATGCAGTCCATCACGAGTCAATGTGAATCCACTCACACTCACGACTCCCAAAAGTGTCGCTTCTCAGTGAGGGCCGCTGAGCAGGCTTTCCTTCGTCTGTGCAGCGTGTGAGCCTATGACGATGATGCGAGCGCGCCACACCAATTTGAATGCGAATGCTGAGCTTCTTGGCTTCAGCAGCGAGCGCTGAATCACAAATTCAAATTGATTCTGATTGAAAAGCATCCATAACCCTCGTTTTGTTATTGTGATTTATGCCTATATACCTCTGCTGTCAGTATTTATGCAGGGCTCGCTCTTGCTTTGCTCGGCAAAGGAGCGCCACAGTTCTATGGTCACGAGTCACGAGTCACAATTAAGTCGCTCGATCACCCAGCAGTCCTGCATGCGATGCCGATGAGCGCAAGTGGGACGTGGGGCCGGCCGGCTGCTGGCAGCTGGTGCAAAATTAGCCATCTGGTACCCATGTGCGGTCTCTGCGTTGATTGTACAAGCTCGATTGCGGTCGCCTATTGATCTCCCTTCGCAGTCTTGAACTCGCAGTCTTGAACAGGGACAACAGAGAGAAGAGGATGTGAGAGGGAGGATCGAAGCGCATGCATGCAGATTTTTGATTACTTACTAGTAATCGTGAAGCCACGTATACGTGACATCGCATATACAGTCACGAGTCAAAAGTCACAAATCTTTGGTGCAAGATTCAATTGGTGATTGGTGATTTTTGATTCAAATTGTTTGAGCCACATCAGAGTCACGAGACAAAGTGCGGTCCCTGCCGTGCATGCTATATGACGCACTCAAGACTCGCCCTAGCGCGATCGATCGCTGCACCGCTTCAGAGCGCGGCAGACACAGCTGAAACATATGGTCTTCTGCGTCACGAGTCCAGATGGCTTGTCAAGTGTCAAGTCAAAGTCTTGAGTGCCACAGCAGGCATCTCGACGTAGATCCATGGCGGCCTGGTATTTGGAGACAGCTGCTGTTCGAAGAGCCGCGCGATATTCTTACATTTACGTGTAGAAAAGCAGCACAGGCACACGGTTTCCGAATGGAGACGAGATGGCATGGACGTTGCGAGGGGGAACGGCAATAATGATAAGCTTTGCCTTCAAGCGCTCCAGGTCGCATTTGCCCGGACTCCATCTTTCATCCCTCGAATTCCTTGAGGAACGACCTGGGATCGGATAAGTGTATCGATTCGATCGAAGCAGGCGAGTCAGACGCATGAGAGGCTGGGCGGGAAAATCACCCGACAAGCGCTTGATGGACTCACTTGTGAAAGTCGCCGAAACGCTGGATAAATTCGTCGGTCTCCTTGGCCAGGACAGTTGTGCGGCTGGAATTGAAGAAGATGCATCGATATCACGTATCCGAGTCAGTCGTGTGAATTGCTCATTGTCTGCGGGCATCGAGCATGACTTACAGGAAGCACTCTCCATTCGGGCCGGGTTGCTTGCCAAAGCCGCTTCCAGGCACGACGCAAATACCTGTAGCGTCCAACAATCTCAAGCAATAGTACAGGTCTGGTTTCCTCTCCTCCTTCTTTGCAGCTTCGATCGCTTTGGGAGGCAAGGTGATCTCGGGGAACAGATACAGCGCTCCTTGAGCCTCTCCGCACTTGACTCCAGGAAGTTTGGCGAATTGATCCGCCATCTTTTGGCTGCGCTTCTTGAGCGTTTCATGGATTCCTTCCGTTTCTTCCTTCCACAGCGCGTAGCTTGGCTCGCCTTCCTTTGGTGGCCGCACCAACAGATCCACACCGATTTGTCCTTGCAATGGGGGACACAAGTTGACAGATGCCATCTTGTACACCTGCGCCTCCACCTTTGGATCCATATTGGTCAACTCAAAGTATCCTCCTCTCCTTCCACACTCGCCGCTGACGCCCTTGGAAATCGAGTGAAAGCTGACCAGCTCCACCTGATTCGCCAACTCCTTTTCCTCGACATTGCCGCTCTTTCCAAAGTCTCTCAAGACCTTTTTGAAGGAGATGAAGGGTCGCTGATCGGGGTGATAAATGTTCCTCTGGTACACCTCATCTGCCATGACTACTAATCTCTTCTCGTGCGCCAGCTTGAGGATATCTTGAATGTTTGCCTCTGTCAAACAGCTTCCTGTAGGGTTGCCTGGATTGATGACCACCAAAGCCCGAACATCCACACCCTTTGCCCGCTCCTCGTCCACCGTTCGGCCCATCGCTGCTACGTCCACTGCCCAATCATCGTCCGCGTCCAGCTCGTATCGCACAGCGTGGCAGTTGTTAAAGGCGAGTGCGGCAGAGTAGAGCGGATATTGAGGAATGGGGATCATCACTCCTACTTCTGGTCCTGAGACAACCACCGAGAGGAGCAGCTGGACGCCAGCCGAGGCGCCCGCAGTCAAATAGATCAGCTCCGGATCTGAGGGATGGCCATCTCGCTCTATAGAGGGGG